GAGTTAAACAATCAGGAAGTTTTAGGACCGACTGGCTGGTTGAGAACCTGGGGGTGTAACCATTTTAAGTTAGAAATGTGACGATTTCTTTTGAAATCTGCACTTTTTGTAAAATGAAAATAAGAGGACAAACTCTTCCCACATAAAGCATTTCAGCAAGCTGAAGTTCTTTAATCTGCAGAGTCCCTTTAAGAATTGTTCTGATCTATTGCTGTTTTTTAAAATTGGATGCAACACTGAAGAGTGTGACAGTGTCAGGGGACTCAAGGCACCATAACCACTCAATGAGATTACATACTTATGGTGCCCAGAGTCAGAGGCAGAACTTGAAACCACAGGGCCCTGGTGCGAAAATTGCCCTGGGGCCAACCCCATACGTCTACCCCCCACACATACACAGTCACACACAAACAGACACATACACAGAGACCCATACATATACACACATACACAGAGACCCATGCAAATTGTCACCCTCCTGTTTCCTACCTTCTAGGTGCAGGAGGGTGACTTTCCATGGGGTCCAGTGGCTCAGGCTGATGGGAGTCCCCGCTCTGACTCCCTCCTCTCTTCCTCCCGCGCGGCTCTGTGATTGAAGGGAGGAAGTGATCGGGGCAGTCACTTCCTCCCTGCGCTCTGATTTCATCAGAGGGGGCCCGGTCACGTTGTTAAAGCGCTGCAGCGCTGAACGGGCCCCCTGGAAATTGATTTTCATCGTGTGGCCCTAACAGCATGGGCCACCCGATAAGCCCCTTAACGTGCAGCCTTGGCAGATATACCGTGTGGGCCAGGGCCGCAACACATGGCCGGTGGGCACTGGGTCGCTGGGCCTCCTGGAGTGACGGGCCAGGTCACAACTGCGACTGCGGTAGTTCCAACACTGCCCAGAGTGTCCCTCTAAGCTAAACAAAATTGAAGAAAATCTGCTTACCATCATCAATTTAATACACATTTTTTGTTTTATTATACAATTTATTTCTTTAGTTATTTTCTGTTTCCTTTTTTTTGTTAGTGGTCTGATATATAGTATAATGAGACGATCACAGATAAAATAAAATAAATAAACTTAAAAAACAACTTTTTCTTTGTGACCCACATTTTTGTTCAACTTTCTCCTTTTGTGATTGTTGTTTTTGTTGGCTTCAGCCAAACATAGTTTTTTTTCATGTAACAGAGCATATAGGGAAACATGCAATGTTTTGCAATTGCATTTTGTATTACACTTTTCTAATATATGCTGCTCTACATTTAAAAGAATATATTTTTATTGGATATTTACCATGTTCTTCAGTGTACTAAAACCACCCCTCTATAAAATAAGTTATCTGCCTACTTTCAAAGCTATAGGATTGGTAAAGTAGTCTACAAATAAATTTAGATACCTATACTGACAACAAGGCAGGTTTGTAATATGAAAAGAATTTGCTGTTAAAGAAACATTCCTCCAATATATCCTCCCCAACAGAATAACAAAATAAGGTCTAATAAACACTGTTCAACAATGCTTGATCAGCATCTTTAAATACTGCTAATAACATAACCTCGACCCCACACAGGAACGTACTGCTCTGTCATCTGAACACGGAGGTGAACTTTGACAAAATGTCCTGCTAAATATTAAGATTTGTATGCAAACATTCTAATTTACAGTTTTTAAATGAACTTTTTTTTAAAATTTTATATATATATATATATATATATATATATATATATATATATATATATAAAAAACACATAAAAATTTGACAGATGCACATTTTAGTGAATAAGGTACTTCTTGTTTAATATTGCATTAGTTAATACAAGGATTAAACAAATGGTTATTCAGTAAACTGTGAAATGGTTTCATAACATGTTCACAGAAAATGTTTGAATGCAACCAGAAATAGAAATTCAAGTATTCACTAAATTGTTTATTTATTGCTGGCATTTATAAAGCTCCATCATATTCTGCGGTGCTGTACAATCAGTAGTTCACAAGTTGGACCAGATCACTTTAAAATTGTGATTTTTCAGAAATCTTAAAACCAGAGTTATACAGGCTGCACCACGGTGTCACGTATTTCAAGTCAAATGAAATATCATAAACAATCCACACACAAAAAAATAAAAGCACCTACATGAACTAGACGCGTTTTGGAGTAGCTCCGCAAAGTCAGCCCTACCAGACCGAGTCGCGAGCAGATACTGACCCCGATACTGGGTTCAATGTGCCAAGGCCCAATCCCTGATACCATGGGGGAAAAAGTAAGTATTTGAGCTCGGACCTGGGATTCCTGCACACAACCGTGCGGCCTGAATCTGCCAAGATGGCGCCCACTGAGGACTACACACCACTGTTCGCAGACAGCATCCCAGCCGACCTCTCCCCTGCACTGTGGCGGCAAACAGGGCCACAGACACACGCAGGGGTGGAAGAATCAGCTGTTTTTTTTACCAGGGCTTTTCTAAGCATACGCTGTCATGGCGGAAAACCCTCAAGCCAATCACCCAGCTCCTCCAGGAGAATTTGATCCCTTACAAGAGGGGCACTCGCCGACAAAGCAGGCAAGACGTTAGAAATATCACATACAATCTTCCTGCAATCCCTCGGCTTGCCTGCGAAGAAGACAGGGCCACAAGACCATCCAGCCTGGACTGTAGCAGGAATAACCCCATTTGTACCTGGAGGGGGAGCACCTGTAGCAACCGAACTGCCAACCTGATCTTTGCAGCTGCAGAAATCTTTGCCCTCAAATACACAGTGTTCCTTAACTGTGTTTAGTTTACTTTTCTTTGCCTTTAAGTTTGTTGAAACTGTTTATAATACATTTGTTATCCTGGCTCCGTAAGCTTCCGATAATTACCAATATTGCCAACTAATGCACGCAATGCTTATGGCCACGGCCTTCTACTTAAGCACCCGTGCACTACAGCTCCACTTATTAGCTATGGAAGGCTATCCAGCCACATGTATCTACCATAGGCGACTTATCAGAGCCTTTGGTTCATGGCACTATGCCACTAAGCCACAAGAAATCCATCATTAGCATACCCCCTAGGTGCAAGCTTAACGGCTGAACTACAGGTGAGTCTGGGTTTCCCAGCTCCCAATATTAAAAAAAGTAGTGTCAATATTGTATAGACACTATTCTTGAAATGCTGTATTCATTACAAAAACTCTCAAAAAAATTAAAAATAAAAATGTTTTTAAATAAAAATTCAATAAAACCAAATGAAAACTCCCATCACTCTTGGTCGGTCAAGCCAAAAAAGTGCCATCAATATTTTGTTTGTTTCCATAACTTCCATTACTGACTGTGTTGTCTATGCAGATTTATGTATAATGTACAATATCATTGCAAGTGGAACTCTTGGGACTGTACTTTATCTTTAAGTCAACTGTTTTTGGTAGAAAATTATGTATTTGTTTTTCTGTTGTTTTGGGGGGTAGACAGGGGGTTTATTTGTTGTATCTATGTAAAGCCCATGTTTCTGAAAGGACCACTATAGTGCCAGGAAAACATACTCGTGCCAGCCCGGCTCTGGGGAGAGGAAAGGGGTTAAAACTTACCTTTTTCCAGCGCTGGGCGGGGAGCTGCGCACGCACGGCAAGAGCTGCGCACGCATTCAGCCGGTCGCATAGGAAAGCATTTACAATGCTTTCCTATGGACGCTTGCGTGTTCTCACTGTGATTTTCACAGTGAGAATCACGCAAGCGCCTCTAGCGGCTGTCAATGAGACAGCCACTAGAGGAATTGGAGGAAGGATTAACCCATTTGTAAACACAGCAGTTTCTCTGAAACTGCTATGTTTATAAAAAAATGGGTTAAGCCTAGCTGGACCTGGCACCCAGACCACTTCATTAAGCTGAAGTGGTCTGGGTGCCTAGAGTGGTATTTAAACCTACTTCTTGTTTCCTACGGTAAGAAACCTTGTATATGATAAACCAGAATGCCATGGACTTCAATTTAGAGATCTCTGCTTTAACCTGAACCTTTATTGCAGTGCTGGGCAAGCCCCAAATGAACGACAAAACACACAGGTGTAGGTTCATAAGAACTGCCCAAGATTTTAATGCGTAGCAACTTAATAAAAGTGTACTCGTGTCTAGGGACGTGATGTAACTTTGTACCAATCAAGAGTTAACACATTTTCCAAGCACTACATCTTGTGGTCCATAAATGCCGTGATTTCTCAGTGTTTTGCTACGTAGCCAAACATTTGTTTGCTGGAAACAACAGACGAACAATGTCCTTGACATGTTAGTAAACCATAAAACAAATAAATGGACTATTGCCTAAACATGGTTATATCAAAAGGAAAAGAAAAATCCTCTACTTAAGTCAGTTTGAACCATTCTATTGTAAGATTCTGATTGACCAACTCTCATTCTGCTCTTCTATTGTTAGTGTGGTCCCAAATGACCAGGTTTTAATAATTTATTCTTCACTGCAATGTTGCACTCTGTATATATTTCAAAAGATTTCTCCAAACTTTTTGGGAGATCAACAGCTGGCAGAGAATTAAAGGAAGTGAAGCCCAACATCGATATGAGCTTGAACATCCCTAATTCACGTCAATGATGATAACAACCTACAGTAGAGGAAACACCAAAATGTCTCCATCTGCTGTTTATCTATATTGTCAATGATCCTTAGGCCTTTTGAGCATCAAGACTTGTATCTCAATACCTTTATATTGTTGAATTTATGGCTTAGTCAACAGTGAGTCTGAGGATTACAGAAGACTGTTCTTATTTTCTGCAATGACCAATCAGTTCTCATTCTGGGCCTTTCCAGGAAAGATAATTAACTTCTATCAATATATGGCCATGGAATGACTGCAGTTATTAAAAGAAAAAGTATTTTCTTCACCCTGTAGCAGAGAAGCAGTTCGCTGTTTCCAGTAATTATTTACTTTAATTTGGTGCACATTACTGCCTGTCCAAAGTAGTCATCTCCCACTTGTGAGAATCATATAAATAAACAGCTCATCCTACTCACTGCTCATTACAACCATGACTGAGAAGAGATCTCGAAGCTCCTCCAGAGAGCCCCCTCAGAAACAGAGAGACTCTTTCACTCAAGGATCCAAGAGAAAGAAAAGAGAGAGCCAAGGTTCAGTCGGGCCCAGAAGTGGACGGGAAAAAGGAGAAGCGAAAAATGATACCAAGGTTTCAGCCGTGGTGGATGTGGATAATGTGGTGGCTTCCGATGAGGAGACTGAAGTAATGGCACTACTGGAGAGTGGCCAAAAGGATGAGGGTGAGAACCATTTGCTCCGTTTAGAAAGGGTTTATACAGCAATATATCTTTAGAAATTATTTTATTCTATAATTGAGATTATTTATATATGATGGACATCTTTTTTTAAATTGTTCCAGCTGGGGAAATTAGGGACAATATGATTATTTTATAATTTGCTGATCACAGCCAGTGAATGAAATACTTCTCCTCACACGCAGGTCATCTCTAATTTTATCCAAGCACCATGGAATTATAACTCAGGGACTACAGCTCACATGTTGAATCTTTATATTTAAACTGAATTTCAAATTTTAGGCCAAAGTTGCCATATTTAACTTAGAAACCTGTCACACTATCTGTAACAAATGATGAACTTTGCACTCCTCTGAATCGATCATTTGTCAGGGGGTGAGGATAGATGAAGGGCTCAAGTCTTCCATCCCTTATAATGTGTAGATATGAAATAGGAGCAATGTACTAAGCATTTCAGCCTTCTTTCCTCAGCCAAAAACGTGAATCACTTATGGTACTATGTCACTTATATTACGTTTACCTTCTAATTAGGGATAGGGGGGAGGTAGGGGCTACCCTTTGTTGTACTCCTGTGGATAAGGCCAGGAAGTTATATATATTCATTTTTTCTCTCAGGTACAATGATGAAGGTTTTTGTTTTTTTAGGGATAATAGTTGGAGAATGCTCTAGCATACTTAATTCCAAGGCTCCCTCTCACTCACAGTCACCCGGCGTATAGGTCAGACTTTCAGATCCCTAAGGCACTGAATAATTCCCTATATATAATACATATGTTTGTAGGTTTGTATATTACACTGATCCACATTTTTTTCACGAATTGTGGCACTTATATTGCATTGTGTTTGCACCAAAGTACTATTGCACTTTATAATATATGCACCTTAATTGATTGTGTTTTAAGGGAATGTTGCAATTTTCACTAATATTGTCTTAAAGACACAGCGCACCTTAACTTTCGTTTTATGTCTAAATAGTGTTTTGTAAGCTTGTACACTGTAAGGTGCAGCTTTCTTACCACTAATCTATTTTATTGTATCTGTTTAGCGCCTATTTTACTTGATTTTGTGTTTGTTTTTTACTGAATAATTCCCTGCCCAATAGAATAAAGGTTTGGGGTTTTTTTTGTTTTGTTTTTTTAAGTGGTTGGGTTAGTGGACACAGGTAAGAGACTCGGCCATGGTCCTAGAATAGTTTTCAGCAGAATTATTTCTGTGATTTGCAAATAACAGAGATGCAATCATCTAAATGCATTAACATATGTTTGTTTTCTTTCACTTCTGTTATGTTACATACTCTCATGGCAATGTTTGCTGATGGGTTAAATAACATGGTCATTTATTCGGTCAAGAAAAAATGCTTTACTCTTTAAATATAATGTATAACTGATAGAGAAATGACGGGAAACAATCTGCTTTGCAAACATAACTCTTGTATGCTTTATGTAATGGATGTCTCAAGTAACGGAACAATTTATTGTGTAAGTGGATTATTGTAAAATGAGTAAGACATTTATGTGTGTAATATTGTGTATTTCCAGGTGTGAAGGCTGCAGGCATTAGGATATGTGAGAATCTACTCATTTTTTGCTGTCTCCTAGTCATCCTCTTCACATTACCGCTGTCTATCTGGCTATGTGTTAAGGTAAGGTCTATACACATTAGCGGATATGTTAACTGTTGGCCTTCATGGGCCTGGTGTTCTAGAACCTGAGCAATTAAGAGGTTCCAACCTCAGCTCAGTGAATGTGCATCTTGGACATATTGTCAAGTTGACAGAAACTGGTTACAGTTAACCAATATGGATACAATGTGAGCATATCTGACTCCTGGCTGGTCATTTTTTCACTTGTATTCATCGCTGAATTTCTTTCTTTGAAAGAAAATGTCCTGTTTTATTATGATTCAAAATAAAAGCTTGCACATATTACGTTTGATTTTGTAATTCAAACATTTAAACAAATAACGTATTTCAGAGTTTCTCCTGGCCTACCATTGCTCCACAGCAACAGCCATCTTTAAATCCTCTTTGGTCGGAAGCACTAGTTATGCAACCAAACCCCACGCACATCACAGAGGGCCAGCGTGTATTCATAAAACCCGATGTCATGCACAGTAATTGACCTCTCAAAGATTTCCTTTCATTTGGTTTCTGCCATTCCGATTGAATATTGTCCACTCAGATATGTGGTGTTTAAAGGAACCGATTTTCCAGAAAAGTGATAACTGACCACCCCCCTTTGCCTTGTAAAAATACATCTAATAAAGTTAACTAACCTCAGTTTCAGTGCTGGGATTCCAATGCTGTTGCTCCCAGCAGCTACTCCAGTGATGTCACCATCTAAGCTGACATCACCTACTATCACCAATTAATTGATTCTCATAGAAATAAAGAATTGGAACTAGGAATGCACAGCCAAACACTGTGCTCCTCCAATCAAATGCTGCTAAGAGCAAAATTTATTTTCAGAACTATGTTTCATTCGATTCTGTAGGAGGAAGCGCCTCTAGTGGCTCTAAAGGTGTATTTAACACTGAAGAGTTAAAACAACAGGACCACTGCACACAGTGCACATGAAGGGATCTGAATGGCTTTAGTGGTCCTTTAAGATGACTTCATACTACGGATGCACCGAAATTTGGGCCTATCCCATTTCGACCGAAAATGGATCAAATCTAAGGCAAGCTAGCTGATAACGGCGGGCAGGGTGCGGAGCATGCTGGCGCAGTGAGCGTTGAAAGCAGGACACATTGTGCGGGCAGTGAGCACACTGGCTGCCATGTCATTCTGCCGCCCACTGTAATCCCGGAGCGGAGAGCGATATCAGAGCTGCTCTACAGCAACCCCCCCCCCCCCCCCCCCGAGATTCTCCCCTGCCGGGATTGTCCAAGTGCCAGCCCTGCTATGTGCCTGCGGACCGGGGAGGGAGATCAGAGATACTATATAGAGTGATCTCCCTCCCCTGTCCGCAGGCACCGTGCTGACAGCCGGCAGGGGAGGTAGAGAGGACCCGGGAGCTCAGCCTGCAGCTCCTCCGGGTCCTCCTCTACCACGGCAACGCTCCAAATCTCGCGAGAGTGAACTCTAGCCCTGGAGCTGCGGGGACCACCAGGGATTCCCCACCGGACCACCAGGGAACAAAATATTCCCCCCTGCTCCCAGTAAAGGTAAGAAGGGAGGGGGGACATAAATATATATATTTTATTAAATACATTTTTTTTTTTTATTCTTATTAAAAAGCCTGCCTACCATCCTCCCCCCCCATACAAACACTGTCCCCCATACACACTGCCCCACAAACACTGCACACCCATACACACACTGCCCCCCATACACACACTGCACACACAGTGCCCCACACACACGACCCCCACATACACACACTGCCCCACACAGACATACAGTGCCCCCCATACACACTGCCCCCTAACACACACACTGCAACCCTGACATACACTGCTGCACTCACACTCACACACTGCAACCCTGACATACACTGCCGCACTCACACACACCACTGCTCCTATGTCCTATATCCCAGCAGACCCCAGGTAAGTTGTCAAACTGTTCTTAAACGGTACGACTACTTACACTGGGGTGAGATCCTGGCACTACTGGCACCATAACTACTACACTGAGCTGTAGTGGTTATTGTGCCTGGATTATTTATTTAAATAATCTACAAGTGCCCCTCCCGAGATCAGGCTCTGGATCCGCCACTCGCTCTACCGGGACATAGAGGTCAGTGTGCATAGGTTCCAACACTCCTGTATTTACCAGGACAGTCCCGTACTTTGGGGTACTTTTGCAGCAAATTTATGTACTGGGGGTTTGTCCCACATTTTAAAATCTGTAGTCAGATTTCAAAATGGAGGAGAGGACTGGGCAATAGGAGCATGCATGGAGCTCTTTAGCAGTGTTATATGCCTGATTCGTTGGAGTGGGCAGGCTGTCAGTCAGCCTGGCCACACTCTTTAAGAGCAGACTACCCCCCCTTTTGACAGACAGACCAGCCCGCTTTTGGCCTTCAGCAATCTCCCTGCCTATCTGCATCCTAGGAAACATTGGTAAGTACAGTATAGTGACATATCATTATTAGGGATCGACCGATATTGATTTTTCAGAGCCGATACCGATACCGATATTCTGTGAACTTTCAGGCCGATAGCCGATATAATTTGCCGATATTCTGTACATTTACCAAAATAAAAACTATTTCTAAAGGTAAATGCACAAAATATACATGCCACGTGTAGTGGATGCAGTGTGACAGGGGAGCTGTGTGTGTTTGTGTAGTGGATGCAGTGTGTGTTTGTGTAGTGTGTGTGTTATGGATGCATTGTGTGTGTGTAGTGTGTGTGGAGGATGCAATGTGTGTTTGTGTAGTGGATGCAGTGTGTATTTGTCTAGTGTGTGTAGTGGATGCAGTGTGTATTAGTGTAGTGTGTATATAATGAAAGCAGTGTGTTTGTGTAGTGTGTGGGTAGTGTGCGTAAAGTGAATGCTGTATATACTAAATGCAAAGTGTGTGTGTATATAATGAATGCAGACTGTGTGTGTATAGTGAATGTAGTGTGTGTATAGTGAATGTAGTGTGTTTATATAATGCAGAGTGTGTGTGTTTGTATAGTGTGTGTATATAATGCAGTGTGTTTGTGTAGTGTGCATTATATAAACACACTACACAAACACACTGCATTATATACACAGACTACACACACACTGCATTATATACACACTACACACACACTGCATTATATACACACTACACAAACACACACTGCACAAACACACTACATAAACACACACCGAATTATATATACACACTACACAAACACACACTGCTTTATATACACACACTACACAAACACACACTGCATTATATACACACACTACACAAACACACACTGCATTATATACACACACTACACAAACACACACTGCATTATATACACACACTACACAAACACACTTATATACACACACACTACACAAACACACACTGCATTATATACACACACACTACACAGAAACACACACTGCATTATATACACACTACAAACACACTGCATTATATACACACACACTACACAAACACACACTGCGTATATACACACACACACACACTACACACACTGCATTATATACACACACACACACACTACACACACTGCATTATATACACACACACAAACACACACTACACACACACTGCATTATATACACACACTACACAAACTGCATTATATACACACACTACAAACTGCATTATATACACACACTACACAAACTGCATTATATACACACACTACACAAACTGCATTATATACACACACTACACAAACTGCATTATATACACACACTACACAAACACACACTGCATTATATACACAGTGTGTTTGTGTAGTGTATGTGTATATAATGCAGTGTGTGAGGGGGCATTTTTTATTAAATTATTAAAAAAAAAAAAATTATATTTACTTTATTATTTATTTTTGTTGTCCCCCCTCCCTGCTTGTTACCTGGCCAGGGAGGGGGGATATGACAGTCCCTGGTGGTCCAGTGGCATTGGCTGAGCTGGGAGGGGGGGGCAGAGAGCAAGCGCTTACTCACCTCCCCAGTGTAACTCTCGCGGCCAGCGTGTCGCGCGGAGCGTTGCCATGGTGATCCATGGCAACGCTCTGACGGCCGCGGGTCTCGCGAAAGTTGCACTGGGGAGCTGGAGGAGCTGCTGGGAGGTGAGTAAGCGCTTGCTCTCTGCACCCCCCCAGGACCGCCGGGCTTGTAATGAGCCTGGCAGTCCTAGGAGGTATTATCGGCAATATCGGTATCTGAATTGGCCTATACCGATATTGCCTAGAATACCGAATATCGGTATTCATTATATGGGCAGTGTGTATATAGTGATATTGTATCATTATATGGGCAGTGTGTATATAGTGATATTTCATTATGGGCAGTGTGTATAGTGATATATCATAACGGGCAGTGTGTATAGTGATATATCATTATGGGCAGTGTGTATAGTGACATTATATTGACAGTGTGTGTATAGTGATATATCATTATGGGCAGTGTGTATAGTGATATATCATTATGGGCAGTGTGTATATAGTGATATATCATTATGAGCAGTGTGTATAGTGATATATCATTATGGGCAGTGTGTATATAGTAATATATCATTATGGGCAGTGTGTATATAGTGATATATCATAATGGACAGTGTGTATAGTGATATATCATTATGGGCAGTGTGTATATAGTGATATATCATTATGGGCAGTGTGTATAGTAATATATCATTATGGGCAGTGTGTATATAGTGATATATCATTGTGGGCAGTGTGTATAGTAATATATCATTGTGGGCAGTGTGTATATAGTGATATATCATTATGGGCAGTGTGTATATAGTGATAGATCATTATGGGCAGTGTGTATATAGTGATATATCATTATGGGCAGTGTGTATATAGTGATATATCATTATGAGCAGTGTGTATAGTGACATTATATTGACAGTGTGTGTATAGTGACAATATTTTTTTTATTTTTTATTTTTGTTGTGCAGGTGAGTACATAGCAATGTCAACGCCACAACAGCGTAGTTATACATAAACTTAGGATGTCCGTGGCATGGTTAGTTAAGCACATTTTTATTTTATAGAAGCTTCTGTGTCTAGTCTGCAGTGTCTCAGATTTAGTAGCTGAGTTAATGAGTGTAGTCATACGTGTGTGCGGTGTGATAGTGAGTTAGTTGAAGTGAGTAGCGTTGCGTGGGACAGATATGTAGCCTGAGGGGTCTATTTTCTAGTATGCAGGTAGTGGCTTGTCTGACTGTTATATCATGGGTGAAATAGTAACAATATATTATTCCTTTTTTAATGTGGTGTATATAATTTATGACTGGCAACCTCAGTAGTATAATATGGAATATGAAAAGATCCCTTATTTATTTTATTGGCTTGTAGTTTTTCATACTCTATTCATTAAACTCATTAAAAAGTCTAATATTAATAAAATTATAGAAATTATTTAATTTTTTTAACATTTGGAGAGAAAAAAAAAAAAAGTCATTTTCGGCTTAGGGCATCTCGAATTTTCCGTTCCGGCCCAGAATTTTCACTTCGGTGCATCCCTAGTTCACACACAGAGCAAGGTTAAGCCCGGACATGCACAGAAGAGATGTATTTACTTATGTGTATAATTTGCAATATTATACACACTGAGATTATATATGTAATCTTGGATTTTCAATAAAAATAAAATAGGATGACAGTTTATTTCGATTACAAGTCAATCTTGAAGGAGGATAATGCATATTTTTACCATAACAGTAAATCACTTTACTTTATAATGGTTTTTTTTTGAAGTGTTAATATGATGACACATCTTAGTTCATCTTTATTTGAAGAAATTCAGTAATATATGATAATGCATATAATTGCTTCTGTATGTAAAAATGCAACTAATTTTAGCTGCCTTTGTGTATAGTTCTAGAATGTAAAAGGGTTTATTTTTTATGGGTTTATTCAGTAATAAAAAATAAAAAAAATGTAGTGATGGCAGACAATTTGCTAAATGTAGATATTAATAACCTATCTCCATTTCAGACAAGGTGTAGATTTTATTTCAAGCTTGGCAATATCAGTGTAATTTTAGCTCTTCGACTGTCAACTTCCCCAGCCTTCATGGTGTAGTGAATACGTATTTTGAAGTGAGAACTACGTTATGTTTAAATGCTCCCATGATACTCCATTCCCAAGTAGAGATCTCATATGTTTATATTGGTGAAATGTTTTCAAGTATGTGTTCTCAAGACTCCGTCTACAGTCCAAGAGCACTGCAGAATATAAATGTACCACGCAAAAAGAAAAATAAGAGTTTGGATTCAGCATATTGTAATGATACTTAGCAATGACATGGCCTCCAACAATTTCCTTTAAAAAATTGTTATGGCAGACTATGCTTGTTTTAGTGCTGGCAACGATTTGTTCCTCTAGCAGCAGTGTACTATGGCATCCATTTTTGGGCAGTTTTGATAAGAATGGCAATGTACCGTACATAATTACATAGGGAGCTGTATATAAATTGCAAAAATTGCCAAACTGAAAAAATATCAGAGTTAACGAATTCTACCAATGCAGCTATTTAGCCTAGGATTCCACAAGTACAATGAGGCTACAGGCACATTGTAACAACAGTCAATATTTAATTTATTATTTTGCAGATTGTGCGTGAATATGAACGCGCAGTTATTTTCCGCCTGGGACGCCTCCTGCCAGGACGAGCAAAGGGACCAGGTAATAAACATGTACTGTTTCTCAAGTAATAAATCTATTTTATCTTGACGTTGATGCAATGAAAATGTTGGATTATGAGCCAGCATGCACAGTGCAAATGAATAACTAATGCCATGGTTTAACAATGTGTAGTCTTACTCTAAACGTAATAATAATATATTGCAGTGCATGTAATAACCGTTCAAGAAATAATGACCGGTTTATGTCTGTGCCATAAATATGTATATAATTCCCTTGTCGCCAAGGAAGCGGTAAGTGTGTGCTTCGGCAGTGGTTGCACTCACAAATAATAAAGAATTGAGTGCTGGGGGGAATAAAAAACACTTAACTGGGTAATGAAAATTTAATTAACCTGTTAATCCACATACCTTTTTTTTCTGTGCCATATTTCATAGCATACAAAGTTAAGTAATCCTAAGAGACAATATAGACGGGAAATAAAATCTATGTTTCCCTCAAACGATGCGGTGTGAGTGTGATATATAATTTTGGATATATGCCTCAGAGCAATAGGATTCCTTAAATTATTATTAATATTAAAGTTAAGATGGAGAAATTACCTTTGATTTTAACAGTACCCCACAGCGTGAATTCTAGATGGGACTAAACATGAATAATTTTAAAAATCATCCATGTGAAATTTTTAAATGGGGAACTAAATCAAATTTAGATTTTGATTCAAACGTTAAAAAAAAAAATTTCCCCCTCAATTCATCAAATCAAAATTGATGATGTTGTAGAAAGGTAGCTCAGGAGTTTCACCATCATGTTTCAAGTGAGGTTGTTTAAAGTAAACATGTCACGACAGATTTAGGATTGCAGTTTTCATTTTTTTAAACTGAAATTCTTTTTTTTTTTTTTTTTTAAATACATGGCAAACAATTCATATTGTCATATTGTACAGTATGGGTGTCCAACCCACGCTCGGGACCGCTAGCAGTGCGGCCCAGTTGCTGCCCACACTGCCGGGCAGAGGGAGGCAGGGGGTCCAATCAGTGGGCAGCAGGAGGAGGAGTTCAGAAGTGCGCAGTAAGGCACTGTGCATATGCTCCGCCCTGTTTGTGCTGAGCAGTGTTTTCCGACACAATGTGCGGACGGTGGTTGTCTGGATCAACAGGGTGCAGTTGTGTTTTTTTTGTGTGTGCAAGGGTCTTGAGAGGGAGTAAGGTTTTTTTGTGAATGGGTTTGTAGGGGGACAGAGGTTCTTTGCAGAGGTGGGGGCAGGAGTTTTGTGAATGGGCGTACAGGAGGTCTGTTGGAGGTGGGCAAAGGTCTTGTAGAGGGGGTGAGCAGAGGTTTATTGTAGAGGGGTGGGCTATGTATTGGTTTTTGTAGAAGGATGCAGGGGATTTGTAGAAGGGGGACTGGGCAGGGGTTATAGAGGGGGAAGGTGTTTTGTAGAAGGGGTGTGGGGAGATTAGAAGGGGGTCCGGGCAGGGTGTTGTAGTAGGCAATGAAAAAGAAAAATTAGGGGGAGGGGAGGGGGGGAGGGGAAGAGAGGGTGTTTTTTTACATTTGAATTGGGGGAGGGGGTGCCAAAAGCTCTATGTATGCCGCTGAGCCCATTACATTCTGTGCTCCTCCTGAGCTGTCTGCTGGTATATGACATCATCCTGGCATCACTGCTGGGCGCGCGAGGGACCTGTGCATGAAGAGCACAGAAGTCCCAAGCTCCAGCCGAGCAGCAACCACTGGCCAACAGTTAGAGGATCCACTCCAGCGCTCCGAGAGAACGTTAGGGAGGCTGGGTAGACCTCTTTAGTATTAAATGTGTGTGCATGTCATTTTTGTGTATGTTTTGTCAGTGATTGGCTGTGTGTGGGAGGGGGTGTGCAGGGATCTGTGGACATGTCTGTGATTGTGTGTGTACGTGTCTGATTGTGTTTGTGTGTATGTGTGTGGATCTGTGATTATGTTTGTATGCGATTTTGTGTGTGTGTAAGTATGTGATTGTGTATATAGATATGTGATTGCGGGTGGGTATATCTGTGTATGTGTGTGGGGGTCTGTGATTGATTGTGTATGTATGTATGTGCGTATCGGTCTGTGATTATGTGTGTGTGTGTATCTGGGGTTATGTGTGCATATGTATACACATGTGTGTTTAGTAGATCGCTCCCTAATTTGATATCCTTAAATATGCCAATCCCACACAAGGATAACAAATAAGGGAGTTATCTACAAAACAAATAAAATATAAAAATTAAAAAAAGGGATTTTTATAGATATTAATATACATCATCTATAATCCATATTATTCATTTGATGTGTGGCCCAAGACAATTCCTCTGCGCTCAATGCGGCCCAGGGAAGTCAAAAGGTTGGACACCCATGTTGTACATCTGAACATAAATTTTAACACAAAATCAAATATTAATTTTAAACTTAAACTTTGCATCTTGTTATTTTCTTCTTTTTTTTTTTTACCCTTTCTCTTTTCCCCTTTCCCTCTTTTTCCCTTATTACAACCCATTCTTTAGTCTACCAATGTTTTTACCATTTACAATGCCAGTCTCGGCCATATCCCCGTTAGCTCCTAACCTCCTATCAGAACATACCCCCCAGATTTTCAGGAATACCATTGTCGTTAGCTTGATGTGCCATATATTCCATCTGGCAGGTATATTGTAACATATCTGACAAAGTTTTTATATTTGGAATCTTTTTGCTTTCCAGTTTTTGGCAATAAAAGCTTTCAATGTCAGAAAAAGAAAAAAGATATTACCTTTTTTTATGTAAACTTATCGTGGTTAGGAAATTATTCAAGATCGCCACTTCCATTAGAAAAGGAATCTTAAGATTTATTTTAGATTCAATGAAATCACATAACATTCTCCAGATCGGAGTAATTTCCCTGCATGACCACCATATATATAGGAGTCAACATTCCAATCTAGACGTTATAATAGGCATTTAATCCAAGTAGTCAACGTTTCAGTTCACAAGTGTGAATGCCTATTTTTTTCATGCTGAAGTCCTTGAGTGCTGGCTTTCTTTTTGGAGACAGTATTTATGTGCAGCTGAGCACCGGGCCAAGATCTGAAGGAGAGCTGGAGTGCAAAACTCCCATCGTATTGTAGCCGTTATAATTAGTGATGTCCCGAACGGTTCGCCGCGGACTCATCATTGAGTAAACTTTGACCCTGTACCTCACAGTCAGCAGACACATTCCAGCCAATCAGCTGCAGACCCTCCCGCCTCCTGGACAGCTCACTAAGAATGCAGCTTCACAATGAATGTAAAATGGATGCTGTCCAGGAGGTGGGAGGGTCTGGGAGGGAGGGTCTGCTGCTGATTGGCTGGAATGTGTCTGCTGACTGTGAGGTACAGGGTCAAAGTTTACTCAATGATGAGTCCACGGCAAACCGTTCAGGACATCACTAGTTATAATATATATGTGATAAACGGACTGGAGTTAGATACCACCTTATTAATTTTGTAAGAAAGTTTCACATGGTTTGTTAAGCGTGAAATGTTAGCGGTAAGGGGGGCGGAGTCTGACCGCCAAGCTGAACAGACGTGCGGGGAAAGAGCGCCTGTCGGGCGGGCAGGAAATAAGGCAATACCGGCAGCTACACAGCCCAAAGACCCACCAGGGTGCACTACCCACGTCAGGGGTGCATCACAGAATTGATGACACATCCCCCCGGTGGGAGACATCCCGGTCCTCTCTAGACAAGCGGGCTGAAGCTGAAAGCGAGTGATCGCGGCTATAGAACTGGCAGAGGCACGAGTCAGCCGGAGCATATCCAAGACGGCTGCCCAACAAGGGCCAAAGAGAGGGGACACGAGCAACCATTTACACCCTCACCCCTCAAGCCATAGACTGTCTCTGCTCGAACTTCTACATGACACTATGCGACAGGGGAGTACCCTACCTTCAAGCGGCACGGGTGGTGGCCTCGTGGATCCGGCACTGCAGGCCTTTAAAGCGGTCATCCGACCACGTAAGCATCGACAACCGCAACGGCGGGAAGCAGACTTCACTGTCCTGGCCACACGCACCCGCTCCCACATACGTGGAAATGAGACCGCCAGGCAACCCCAAAATCCCAGCAACATACCCGAGCACAGCATCTCAGACCAGCAAGCCACCACGCGGCAATCCAGGGCTGCAGCTGAACATCACGCCGCGGCCCGGGAGACAACCAAGCAACATCAAGCCGGAGATGGACCCATACCTGGGGAATCCATGCCGGTCAATGAGACTGTCTCCCCAACATGACCCACGTGCGGGTTCGGCTGACTCTGGGCTAGCCCGGTACCACTTCATTGGGCACTGCAGACTCTCCTGACCCAAGATGAGAAACAAGTTGTTAATATAAGTTGTTAAAATATGTTTTAATATGCCATACAAACACCCTTTGTCTACCAGCTTAGTGCCTAAGGGCATCTCTCGTGTCCCACATGACACCCAAAGCTAGCGAGTTACTCACCACTCTCTAACTCTCACTGACACCCACAACTCTTAGCCTACTACAGGTACACTCTACAACCACTCCTGAATTTTAATGTTATAGCACTCTTATACCTATATGACAAATTATGTGACCCAAGCGGGTCTCACTCGCTGACAAAAATCTGTTAACATACTTAAGCTTACTTTGATACTAACTGTTGACCAATATAATATAAAAATGTGCATGTCCAATCTCTCACCCCAAATGTAAAGTTTGACCAGTCGCTAGAGGATTGCCGTTGGGGTACCTCGAACCAGAATGTACTTATCGTATGCACTGCAAAAATAAAAAATAAAAACATTTTTTAGTGTTAAAACGTACTAAGGAGATCCATTCTTCCGCCTTAAATGGCCTACCTATCTCTTTTTTTCTCAGCCTTTTCTATATGTGGGATTGGCAGGGTATGTAGCTGCAATTATATTATAGTAGCATATAGACGATTTCCTTCCTTTTGGAGCTTGTGTAACAATTTAAGGAATTATCTAACTCCAGCTCAAAGGATAGGTTTAAAGTAACAAAATAGTGTCTTAAATATTTATAGAAATCTTTATGGTGGATATTATATTTCGGAAAATGTCAGTATCACATCTCCATTAAATATTTTTTTCTATCTTGTCAATCCCATCTAACTCACATTCTGAAAGATCTAGATCCAAGATAATCGTTTCCAATGTTCCTTACGGGGCATATCGTGATACTAGTCGGAGTTACAGTAGTTTCTGCTGTAATTTTGCCCATATTTCCAGACAATAAATTGTTGTCTATAATATATATTTTTGACAAATGTAATTTGTTTGGTGACCAGAGCAGTTGAGGCACTCTGCCTTTGCTCAGATAGGAGTCTTCTGTATCTACCCATGCTATTGACCCTTTTTCTGAGCAAAATAGTAGCGATTGAGCTAAAGAAGTTGCAACAGAGTAGTGTATTAGGTTATGTACTCCTAATCCACCTTCCTTTTTGGTTTTCCAAAGTGTTGCTATGGGTATTCTTGTTTTTTTTTGTTATTCGCATGTACAAATTGTATTATAAATTTTTGTATATCTTTTAATATAAAAGAGTAGGGTAGAGGAGGGGGATAGTTTGGAATAAATGCAAGAACTTTGGCAAGATCATCATCTTAACGGACGCAATACGGCCAATCCATGATATAATATACTTTCCCCAATTTACAAGCTCTTTTAATTTCCCCCAAATACATTTCAGGTTTAAAGTTGACAAAAGAGATAGGTCTGCATATAAACGGATACCTAAATACTGAATGTATGTTGATCTCCAATCCATTTTACAATTTTATTTTTTAAAGTTAGATATTTGATGATCATTGATATTCAATGGGAGAACTTGCGTTTTTTGATTATTAACCCTATGGTACGAAACCTTACAATATTGCATAAGATTTTTTTGTAAGTATTTTATAGATTGATTGGGATGCTAGTTAGTCAGTCATCTGCAAAAAGTATTAGTTTTTGTTGAGCCATATTAAAAATGCAGATTCCAGTTATATTTATTTCTGTTCGAACTGCAATTGCCAAAGGCTCCAGAGTCAGAGTTTATAAGATAGGAGATAAGGGACAACCCTGTCCCTGTCTACATCCATTACTTATCCCACAATAATATGATCTAGATACTGATAAAAGTACAGAAGCCGTGGGTTTTGAATATAATGCTTTTATAGCTTTTATAAGTCCTATTTGTAAACCATATTTCATTAAAGTTTGGAACAAAAAATCCCAATGTAAGCTGTCGAGTGCCTTCTCAGCATCAAGTGACATGAGAAGGCATTCGACCTTACCACTTTCCACCTCAGCTATCAAATTTATTATTTTTCTGGTTGCATCTGAGGCTTGTCGACTTTTATAAAGCCAACTTGGTCGTTTTTATAAGGTGAAGCAATAGAGGAGAGATTCTGGCTGCCATCATCTTTGCATAGATTTTGTAATCTGTATTAAGAAGTAAGATAAGGCGCAAATTGTTGCACTACTTGGGGGTTTTCCCCGGTTTTGGCAGTGCAACAATATGTGCTTCTAAGATCTCCTTTGGGATTATTTCTGAAGACATACATGAATTCAAAAGTAATAACAGATTAGCTTTCAAATTATTAAAGTGTTGCTTATAGTATAAAGTTCCAAACCCATCTGGACCCAGTGATCTTCCCTGTGGCATAGTTTTAATAGCTTGTAAAAGCTCTCCTTCTGTAATTGGCTCTTGTAAGGCCTGAGTTTCATTAATTAATTAATTTGAATATTAGAAAGATAGAGATTTTTTTTTTTTTTTTTTAGAGATCGGTTGGTATGTTTCAGGACAGTCTTTTATATTATAGAGAGATTAATAATATTTTGAACATTCCGACATAACTTGTATGTCGTAAATCCTTTCTCCTTTCTCATTCGTCAAAAAGAGTATAGAAGTAGCCGCCTGTTTCTTTAGTTTATTTGCTAATAAGAAAGTTTATTGCCATTTGTATAAAATTATTTTAACAGTTTCATATATTCTGTTTTCTCTAGTTCGTCTTTGTTCTAATTGATTGTATTTTTTTGTATCAAGTTTTCTGAAGGTCTAATTTAATATAATTTTTAAAGTTCTATTAGTTGGATTTTTAAGTCCATTAGCGCTTTCTTTTTTGTTTAGCTATATATGATGCATGGGATATAAATTTATCTTGAATAACTGCTTTGTGAGCTAACCACAAACCTTCTAAGCCAATAATCGGGGGTATCGTTTACAACAAAATATTTGTTCAATGCATTAACAATTAAGTTTCTAGTCTCTGGCCATTGGAGTATTTTATTATTCATCTTACAAAAAAGGTCTTAATTTTTTGGTCAAAGATAATTTTAACAGAATTGGGCTGTGATCGGACCATGTTAGTGGTCCTACTGTTATACTGAAATTATAGAGAACAGAGCGATTGACAAAATAATCTAAGAGTGTATATATATATATATATATATATTTTTTTTTTTTTATGTACATGAGAGTAATAAGAGTAGTCACGCAAGCCTGGGGTTAAAACCCTCCATGCATCAAGAAGGGGTTTTTTTGACAATCTTTACTTTTCAGAAAAAATAATGTAACATTAGTCAGTCTGGAAAAGAACATTTAGTCCGAATGAACAACTTAGTGCAGATTAGGTTTTGCTCCAGCAGCAACATTGACCCGTCTGTGGGTTTTCTCTGTTGAACCCTCTATCATGTCTAGTGCCTACAGGTACTTAGCGCTCTTACGAAGCTAGGATTGAGTCCCGGGTCTTTGCAGCGTCTGCCGTCTCGGGCTCTGTCTGATTTAGACTGCGATTCTAACTGTCCGTGTATCATACGCTGTCCCTGGGATACTTTCCCGGTTTCTTTCGTAGCCGTCAAGGGTTATTTCTTAGGTGTACTACGCTACTTAGGATGCTATGTGTACAATTGGACCCGGTTATTTAATTCACGGTTCCCCGGTTTGGATCTATCGACCTAAGCCGAATCTTCCCCATTGCATACTGTGGTGCTAACTGACGTGCTGGTCGTATGGGAGGTTGCCTGTGTGTCTCAGGTACAGAATGGGTATCCGTACAACTTGGAGGCAGTCTAACAACTGTAGGTGCGGTGCTCAGGGTAAGTTGCGTGAGCTTTGGGGTGTTAACGTTTGTCTGGGGTCTAGTGATCCCGTGTCTCAAACCTGTCTCTGTGCTACCGGCTGAGTCAAGTTGTCCGTCCTGGATTGCACCAGGTCCAGGTGGGGCGGGTAGGTTGTCCAGGTGTGTGTTAAGTCTTTCAGGTGTCAGTTTTGGTCGTGGGGGGACCTGTCTGTTGTCTGTGTGTGGTTTTTGGATAGGTTGCGTCTGTGCCTATGGGGTGTAAGGTGCTTGTCGTGATGTTCTGCGCGTTTCAGCTAAGTTGGCTCGGGGGCCACAGTTCTATCCGCCACGTATGTGGTCCATGGATACCAGGTCAATGCACACCGCTCCGGTCTCCCGTGAAGGTCAGCCATCAGGGTTTCCATTGAGTGTATGTCCTCCACTGCCGCCACCCATTGCCCCAAGGTGGGCGCTCTTGGCTGTTTCCACGTCCTCGGGATGAGGGATTTGGCGGCATTGAGCAGCGGCAGCTCTAGGGATTTTTTGTATGCTTTCAGAGGGCTTCGGGTGTGGTGCTGTAGCATCGGTAAGGGTGCCAGGGGTATATCGGCGCCTGTGATTTTGTTGATCTCTCCTCTAATTTGTTCCCAGAAAGGGGTAATTACCGGGCATGACCACCACATGTGGATATAAGTGCCAGGTTGTGTGCCACATCGCCAGCATATGTCTGACGTGGTATCGTGCATGCGGTGCAGTGCGTCGGGCGTTCTGTACCAGCGTGTTAGCACTTTATAGTTTAATTCCTGAAATTTCGAGCTAATAGAGCATTTGTGCGTAAGGGTGTAAATCTTGTCCCATTCTTGTGCAGTGAGTGTCTCTCCCGCATCCCTCTCCCAGTGGTCCTTGAACCTAAGCTCCACGTCCCTGTTCGTCCGGGTCGAGAGTAGTGTGTACAGGGTTGAGATACCCCTGGAGATGTGTGTGCGGTGCACACATAGGGTTTTGAAGTCAGTTAAGGGTCTGTGTAAGTGCCCCTTACCCGACAGGGATGAGTAGTATGATTTTATTTGGCGGTACCTGAACTGTTCTAGGATTGTTGGTGTTCTGTTGGGGCATAGTTCCCCGAGTGTTTTGAGACCGTTGGTGCTGAGCCACTGGTGTATATATGACCAGTCCGTAGGTTGAAGTCCGGCTAAGTCACCGCGCGTTAGCGTGTCTGCCAAGTCCGGGTTATGTATGATGGGGGGGTCAAGCGACTGGGTGAAGTGGTAAGTTATAGGCAGTATCGGGTTGCCATCCAGACCCTCAGGGTGGCGTCTATTAAGGGGTTTTGGGTTTGTAGGTCTGCGTATGTGGCCGTGTATAGCCATAATGTGGGGGTATATGCCCTCCAGACTGTTCTAATTCCATTGTGACCCATTGTTTCGTGGGATGTTGCGCATGCCAGTCTGTGAACCTGTGTAAGTGTGCGGCCCGGTAGTACGTCTCTATTGAGGGCAGGCCGGCTCCCCCCAACGGTTTTGGCAGTTCCAAAGTGGTTCTCTTGATGCGTGTTGGGCGCGAGTTCCAGACAAATCTGCGGATGGCGGCCATCAGGGAGCTAAAAAACGCCCTGGGGACCGAGATCGGCACCGCCTGGAATAAGAGCAGTCTGGGTAGTAGGTTCATTTTGACTGCATTAATGCGTCCGAACCAAGATATATATTGAGGGGCCCATTTTCCCGTGTCTGCCTGGATCGTTTGTAGCAGCGGGTGGTAGTTTTGGTAGTACAGTTGGGCCATGTCTTTAGGTAACCATATGCCCAGGTATTTCAATTTAGTGGGACACCACTTGAAGCGGAATTGGGGCATCAAGAAGGTTTTGTTCCTGCATTATGGTTCCAAATCTCATACTTCTTTTATGAGCTGCTTTTTCTGCCTTAGGAGTTTGGAAAAAGTCTGGATCCATAATAAAGTTAAAATCTCCACATATAACCAATCTAGTATGTCTTTGTGTAGAAATTTTCCGGAGTTCCCTTTCTAATATCTCAAAGGGGTTCTGTGGGAGTGAATAAATATTAGCTATTAAGATTTTCTCAGTTTACAATACGCTATTAAAATGACCAAAAGGGACTTCAAAGTGAAATAAGATTTGAAAATGTAAATTATTTTTAATGGACCACTTTAGTGCCAGGAAAACAAACTTGTTTTTCTGACACTATGTAGTTCTTAAATCCCCCCCCTCACCCTCATGGCTCCCCTCCCCTGGCGCTGGGGGACTCTCCTCCTCCTGCCAACATCAGCGCCCATTGTAAAGCATTACTCAATGCTTTCCTATGGACGCCAGCGTCTTCTCACTGTGATTTTCACAGTGAGAATCGCAGAAGCGGCCCCTAGTGGCTGTCAGTGAGAAACAGTTTCTCACTGACAGCCACTGCTGTTTTCAGCTGCAGGGTTAAAACTAGAGGGACCTGCCATCCAGACCACTTAATTGAGCAGAAGTGGTCTGGATGCCTATAGTGGTCCTTTAAAGATCATTGTAGTGCTAAATTTTTTTAGTTCTGTTTGACGAATGAAACATGGTGGAAAAAAAAATTATTTTTGAAATAAGGGACTTTCCCTTTAGCAGAAATGGGTCTCATATTCTGCTGCTGTCTCCCATAATAGCCTGCGTTTATGCGAAGTATTGAGTCAGCAGGCATTAATTGACAATATGAAAAAAGCAAACGAACAAAGCCCAATGCCTAAATCAGGAGTAGATATTGACATTCACACATAAATGGGATATTATATTATATATATATATATATATATATATATATATATAAATAATACATTAAAAAATACAAGAAACGAGGGGGTGGGGCCTGACTGGCAGGCTGAGCAGACGCATGCAGGACGAGCTCCTGACCAAAGCCTGCAAACTAAGAATTCTCCCGCATGCTACCTCAGCCAAACCACCGCAAAACCAGCTTGGGAACACTCGGGAAACCCGAACGGTACCAATCTCGATGCTGTCCTGACTGGGGGGGGGTTAATCCCGGTCCCAGGAGACCACACACCGCTCCTCCATAGCGGCAAAGAGCTACTGCACGCGAGAGTCCCACGCGGCTCCAAAAATGCAGCGCCCACAGGCGACACCCTCTTTGCCTCGACCCTGAGTAAGCTGGATGAAATACTGGGCGAAAATAGAAGAGAGACAAAAGCATGTACACACCTCGGAGGCATCAGTGACTTGCAAACCTTAAACCCCCTCACCCCCCCCGACGCAAAGAAAACTGAGGCACCAGAGAACCCGACTACCTGCAAAGCAGAGGCCCTGGAGCCGAGGTACAACTAAGCACCCAGGGCCCAACAGCCAGAAGGTAAAACCTGCAGCCAACTGGGGCCCAGCTAGGGTGCAGAGACTAGGGACTTTGAACAGCCTACCTCCACAAAATAGCACCAGCTACGCAGGTGAACTGCCTGAACACCTATGCAACACATGCCTCTCCACGGGGAATATACACCCGACAACCCAGCAAGCTCTCACTAAATCAGGAATCGGATGAAAGGGCAAGAACTCAAGGAGGCATTTACATGTCTCACTTACCAAGCGGTGGACTCCTGTATTCAGCGTAATATCAGTTTAATCTTGCTTCAGACATCTCCTCTTGTTTATTTTTCTTTCGCCCAGCATAGCACAATTAAATATAATAGCATAGACCAGACATACTGTATCAGACATAAAGATAGGAGTGGTTAGCCATGTTTTCTTATGCACTGTACTAGCCTGACCGCTAACCTTAATGTGACTACTGGGTGAAACACATCTGTGAACCAATCTACTGTTCTCCTTTGTTTTTATAAGCTTAAGATATTATCCTGTTTACATAACTACGTTAAAAAAAAAAAAAAGTGTGATGTCTTTAATGCCATATGATTAAGCGTGAATACCAACCTGATTGCACCAGCTATTGTGGCAGTGCAAATCCACATGTTAAACCTCTGCACGAACAAAATAAAGAATTTAAAAAAATAAAAAAATACAAGGAACAGGGGTAGATGTGCTAAGCAGTGAGTATTAGAGAGTTGGTGCTGTACAAGAGATATTATGTCTTGTATACTCAAAATACCAGCCTTGATTGATATAGCAGATAAATGATTAAGAACTCGGTCCAAAAGGTTTACAATGTATCAGTATAAGTCCAAGCTGAGCAGGAAACCTCCTATGGGCACAAAGTCTGGGATCTCTTCTGCTTATCTGTAAACACCAATAATATACTGAGATAGTTCAATAGCCCAGAAATGATTAGCTTAATGAAGTGGTCTGGGTGCCACGTCCCTCTGGGATTAACCCCTGATTATATATAGGGGTTAATCCTAGAGGGACGTGGCACCCAGACCACTTCATTAAGCTGAAGTGGTCTGGGTGCCTAGAGTGGTCCTTTTAAGAGCTAATCATTTCTGGGCTATTGAACTATCTCAGTATATTATTAACATAAACACAGCAGTTTCAGAGAAACTGCTATGTTTATAAATGGGTTAATCCAGCCTCACAGTGGCAAAATCCAAAATCACAGTGAGAAGACGCCAGCGTCCATAGGATGCTTTCCTAGGAGACAGGCTGAATGCGCGCGCAGCTCCTGCCGCGAATGCGCATTCAGCCGAAGAGGAGGAGAGCTCTCCGCCCGGCGCTGGAGAAAGAGGTAAGATTTAACCCTTTCCTCTCCCCAGAGCCCGGCGGGAGGGGGTCCCGGAGGGTGCCAGGAAAACGAGTATGTTTTCCTGGCACTATAGTGGTCCTTTAAGAAGGCCAAGTATAAAAGTCCTTGCTATCAAACAGCCAAGGAACTTGGCTATTGAGCTACTCTAGTAACTAACTAGAATCCATGTAGATAATAATCTGGTACACAAAAATGGTAACCAGGTAAGAGGTATATAAGGATCAGGTATGAGGTATATAAGGATCAACAGGACTACAATGGTATCTAAAATAATCACTTTATTCCAATGAAAGAGTAAAGGTAAAATATATAAAATGCAGACACACAATTCTCTGGGTGCAGATATCACTTGAAAATATAAAGTATAAAATCAAAGTCAATCACAAAGGGGTGTAGTGAGATATGCAGTGTAAAGTCTCTATACGCTTTGTGCTGTGCCAGCAGCACAGACAGCTAGAGAGTCCGTGATGCTGTTTTGGCTGTTGGACAATTTGTTCAAGGTAATTAATGAATAGCTTTTTTGAGTTCCGTACAGTATAAATAACGTAAGGCATTTCAACTTAAAGATATACATCTTAACAATCCTCTTACGCCAATGTTACTGTTATTACGGTACGTTATTCACTCATAACAGGATGCAAAAAAAATAGACATACTAAATTTACACCAATAATCACATACACAGAAAAAATTATGTGCAACTGTATTATAGTAGCATTTGTGAGTATCACCTCTGACCCTTTTATTTTGGGTCCTTGATTCTCAATGTTTGGAAACTTAGGTAATACCATTTGTCTCCTTGAAGCATTGGGTGAATCATAATATAAACTTAACCTATAAAGTTACTCTATGGTGTTATTTCCTCTTTTTTTATCCTTCTTTACCTTTCCTTATCGCTTCCCATTCACTTCCGATACTTTTCCCCTCTTTTGCCCCACCTCTTCATTACATATTTACAAGGCTGCTTCTGGTCAAAGGTGGTAAGTAATGCACCATTAAAATTATTACTCTTAACAGAAGGTGCAGAGGGAAGCTAGACAGGAATAAGAGTAGTAATCAAAGGCAGGCACAGGAGTGACTGGCACAGACCGTCTCGAGCTAAGGAGAGTCCACACTAGCACTCACATACGCGGAGCAACCCCAGCAATATACCGAGAGATGCTAGAGCAACAGGTAACGCAAGCAGAATAAATGGGGGATGAGAGGAGAGGATGCACTCTTGATGAGCATGCATGGCCTGATGTCTCCGGTTGATCACAGGGATAAGAACACAGATGTATATGTTAGCTGACCCAGGTATGAAGATAGCTTAACATGATTTAACTTATGTGGCACTATGATAACATGACATGCTTTTACATATGTAAATGTAATATGTTTCAGCCAAGCAGCGGATCTGCACAAATCTAAGCACAAGAGGTCGCACAGGCTATGTTGACAATGTGCGTATGGTATTGCACTTTAACCTTGTCTTGCACGGTAACTAAGATTTTCAATAAAAAACAGACATGAAAAAAAATGAAATTACCCTTAGTGAGAAAGAGAAAGGGGAGAAAAAAATTGGGGGAAAAAAGAGAAAAGTTTATGTCTTCCTCATTCCTTCTTCCTTTTCAATTTATATCTTCTCTGTTCTTCCCACTCCTGTGTCTCTTTATCTTTTACTTTTCCTTCTTACAGTTTTTTAAGAGTAGATCTTAAATAACATCGAGAGATACCTCCGAAGGGCACAGGGTGCATGCGGGCCGCCGATACCGATGACTACTCTGACTCCTCGGAGGAGATGCTGCAGGGCAGAGGAGCGGTGGATATGCTGCACTCACTGCAGTCTTTTCGGGCCCCAGGGAGCTTGGGCTCGGCACGTGTGACAGTGGTCACACTGAAGGAGATGCTGAACGATCTCCAGAAAACACTACAGGCAGACATGGCCTCGCTCCGGACTGACCTTACAGGCATGATCGGTAGGCTGACAACAGTGGAGACAGTGACCAAAAATCACACCAAGTCCCTCGATTCCTTAGGCACGGAGGTAAAAGCCCTAAAGCGACAGCAAGCTACTTTGGAGCAACGCTTCACACATATGGAGAATGCCAGAAGCTGCACGAATCTTAAAGTGCGTGGGCTCTCGGAGGAGATACCTAATTCGAAGCTCCCGCACTTCATGAGAAGACTGGTGGAGTCCCTCCTGCAGCCCAAACAGACAAAAAACCTTACCTTTGAAGGAGTATTTTGGATTCCGAAACCAAGAGGAACCCTGGAAAAAGCCACTTGAGAGTAGTGGTACGGTTTCAAACCCTCAGGGACAAAATGTTGGTACAAACCGCTCTGACAGGGGCTTCTACCCACGTCTTTGAAAACATGAAACTCACATTCTATGCTGACCTCACAGGAGAGGCTATGGATATGCAGTGGAGGAGGTCCCTACAACCAATTACGAGCCTACTCAGAACCCATGACATTCGATATCAATCACCGAGAATACTCCATGTACAAAGAGGAGAGGCAACCAACCCGGTACAAACCTTACAACAAACAGCTGACATACTGGACACCCTGGGCCTCCCAAGGGACTCCTCATTGACCACAACGAAGAGGACCTCTACAGCTCAGTTCCCACGAGATTTGACACGGGCTACATTGTCCAAACCATCAAAGGCACGCTTCAATATCCCGGCATTAGCCCCAACCTGAGGCACAGGGATAGCTCCCTGGATAACAATAACAGAACACTATCCTCTAACTACTAGACCTCCACCTGGACACTAAGTTAAATAGTGCCTGGCACCCTGTAGTTTTTCCTGTTTTGGTTATCTGACTATGTTTCTCATTGTTTTTCTTTTACGCATACAAGTTGCAAAGCTAGGCTATATTTCTTCCTTCCACTTACCGACCAAGCGGAGGTAACCCGCATACACAGCGGCTCAGAACCCTCCGCCTCTGCCCCCTCATAACAACCAGGGGGAGCAACAGAGGCGAAACTAACCCCTAAGGCTACTAGCCTACCACATAATGAACCCGCACGGCCACTAAGAACTGAGTACAGGTAGGGACACTAGCACATAGTTCCAGCATTTAGCCCTCAGCGTGTTACACATACATTTTTCTGATAGTCCCTACTATTTGACACTCCCCGCATCACACAGTATATAATAATTGGTCTTCTGACCTTCTACCAGGGGCCCCCAAATTCACGTGCATACACGCAGAAGGCTATGCACCCCACGAATAGGGATACTTACCGAGCAACCGGGGAACACTCAGGTCACAGACCATACACACATGATGGAACACCCACACTAGAGTATTGCGATTGCTTACACCCATAAAAACCCCCAGCTCACCAGCCAGCCTATTACCAGATGTCATGTAGACAATGTTGTGTTCAACTGGATATTCTCTACCTGAAAATGTTTTTCTCTCTTCTGGGCAGCACTTTATTATCAACCACTTTTAGTATCTGATCTTTTTCTCTTTTCTTCCTCCTTCCCCTTTTAACTTCTCTCTCCCCTTCTCTTCTCCCTTTCTGGGAATTGCAATGTGACCACCATCTGCTGACTTTTGACACTGGCATACCTAAGACCCGCCTCAGACTTTGCAACTCACTTCACTGACAAGATCTCTACAATCAGAGAAGAGATCTCAGATCTTTATTCTTTCCATTACAATACTTCCCCTAACTTCATTCCCTCTGCTGTTCTATGTTCATTCGCACCCGCTACATTGGAAGAGGTTTCTGCTCTGCTCCAGTCCTCCCGCCCCACCACCTGCTCCCTAGATCCAATTCCCTCGCATCTCATCCGTACTCTGTCTTCTCTTTCTCCACCTCTCACTAAAATTCTCAATCTCTCTCTCTCCTCTGGTATATTTCCATTGCCCTTCAAACATGCAACTGTAACCCCAATTCTAAAGAGGCCCAATCTTGACCCTAACTCCCCATCCAACTATCATCCTATCTCGCTACTGCCTTTTGCATCCAAGATCCTTGAAAAAAAAATTGTGTATGCGAGATTGACAGACTTCGAGTCCAACTCTCTGCTAGACCCGCTTCAGTCTGGTTTCCGCGCTGAGCACTCTGTGGAAACCGCACTGACCAAAGTATCCAATGATCTACTCGCTGCAAAATCTCGTGGTCACTACTCTATCCTAATTCTCCTTGACCTATCTGCGGCTTTCGACACTGTTGATCATCAACAGCTTCTTCTCATCCTCCACAATATCGGTCTACAGATATTGCTTTCTCCTGGTGCTCCTCCTACCTCTCCCAGCGCTCTTTCAGTGTTTCTTTCTCTGGCTCTGCTTCTTCTCCCCAACTCCTCTCTGTTGGTGTCCCCCAAGGTTCAGTCGTTGGTCCCCTACTGTTCTCCATCTATACTGCCTCCCATGGTAAACTCATTAGCTCCTTTGACTTCCAATATCACTTCTATGCAGATGATACACAAATCTACCTGTCTTCTCCTGATCTCTCCCCGTCCCTCTTGACTAGTGTCTCTGACTGGATGGCTTCCCACTTCCTTAAACTAAACTTGACCAAAACTGAAATTCTGGTCTTTCCTCCCTCAAGTGTTGTTACTCCTGTGTCTGTCTCCCTCCAAGTCAACAATGCTACCATCAGCTCCACCATGAAGGCTCGCTGCCTAGGTGTTCTCTTTGACTCCGACCTCTCCTTCAAGCCTCATGTTCAATCTATTGCCAAATCCCGTAATTTCCATCTCAAAAACATTGCGCGCATCCGCCCCTACTTAACGCCAGATGCGACTAAGGTGTGGGTCCATTCCACTGTCTTTCCTCGCCTTGACTACTGTAATCCGCTTCTCAGTGGTCTTACGTGCTCCCAACTAGCGCCGTTACAGTCCATAATGAATGCGGCGACGAGGCTCATCTTTCTGTCCGCCCGCACCTCCCATGCCTCACCCTTCTGTCAGTCCCTACATCGGCTTCCTATAAAATACAGAGCTCAATTTAAAATTCTGGTTCTTGCTTTCAAATCTCTACATAATGCTGCTCCCACCTATCTATCCTCCCTTATACACAAGTATGTCCCGTCTAGGCCCTTACGATCTGCTGAAGACTTACGTCTATCTTCTGTCCGTACTCCCACCTCTGATGCTCGCCTTCAAGATTTCTCGAGGGCTGCACCTTTCCTGTGGAACTCGCTTCCCTCCTCCGTTAGATGCTCACCCAGTCTCCACTCCTTCAAAAAATCGTTAAAAACCACTTCTTCATAAAAGCGTATCAATTAAACTGTTAATAGCTCCTGACTGATTCATCTTCTGCAACTGTCACTAGTCTAATACTATCCTTACATTTTACCCCACCCCCTCTAGCATGTAAGCTCATTGAGCAGGGCCCTCAACCCCTCTGTTCCTGTGTGTCCAACTTGTCTGGTTACAACTACATGTCTGTTCGTCCACCCATTGTAAAGCGCTGCGGAATTTGACGGCGCTCTATAAATATCATAATAATAATAATAATTTAGGGGGATCTCTTTTTTTTTTTTCTCTCTCTAGAAGAAAGCTGTAAGTTTTTCCCGAGTTTACCTCTCCTCTGCTTTAAGGTAGGGGATTAACAGTAATACAGTAAAATGGAAACTGGTTAATGAGTTGTTTACTCTCCAGGTTTTTTTTTTTATCAGGTATTCAGGAACATAAATCAGTTACGTAAATAAGTAGCTTGTTAACTTATTAACTCTAAATATCTTGAGGGAAAGTTAACCTTATAGTTTTCATAACTCACAGATATTGATGTGTGTCTTCATAGGGAAAGCGAGTGGAATGATCCTAGGCACCAAATATTACCTTGCAGTATACTCCGTCAGCCTCACGCAGCGGTATGAGCCACGCAGGGCTGCTGGATACGCAAGATCACTTTATTTCCGGAGTCCACAGGGAATAATCCTAAGAGCCAGTATGACAGCTCAATGTCGGTAGCAGGTATTACCTGCCTGATTTTTTTTGTGTTCTGACCGTAGCAGTTCGTAAAGCCGCTATCGCAGTGTAAATCTCTTTTCCCCAGATCAGATCCACTCGTGCTACAGGACACTCCCTTGCCTCAACCGGCTTGCCGTAGGCTTCCGGCGTGCTACGTCATCACGTCAGAATTGCAGTTTTCTAATCATCTGGCTTGACTCATTTTATACAATGAAGTGTTTCTTCCCTTAATACTAATAAAAGCTATTTTTTTTTTTTTTTACATTTATGTTCACTACCCCTGTCTCCAGCTGAGAGCATCAAGATCATGTAAGACACACCTCTCATGCATTCCCCGGTTTGGGAATCACAAGCTTGCTCCCCATAATAGGTTAAAAGTCTGCTCCATTTTCAGAATGCCAGTTTAAAACTGCTGCAATTAATCGTTCCGGCTAGTTCTCTCCTCTCTCTGTAATGCTGCTGCTTTCACACAGAGCCAGCCCTCCTCCATACTTCTCCTTATAGGCATTACTTTCCATTAGGCTGAATTTAAACAGTAGAGACGCCCAGTGGAGGGCTTCCCTGATATCAGCAATGCAGAGCACATCCTTCTTATGCACAGACTGGCCTGACTGAGGGGAGGACTGACACACACACACAGCCTGCATGAATAAAATGGGGTTTCCGTTTCAGTCAGATGAAAAGCCTAAAAGACCAGGTTAATGTCCCTCTTCACTAGTGATGGAGCAACCAAATTTTTTTAATTCGGTCATAAAGGATTTTTTTTTTTTTTTTTACACTTGGGAGATGGGCCTAATACTAATAGGAACTCCTTGCTCATTGTGCTAAGAGGGTTTTCAGTAAATAATATTAAAGAAACTGTGATTACATCCAGACTGCCAAAATCAAATAACATCACAACTGTTTAGTGAAACTGTAGGGCTCACAAGTACCGAACTGGAGCACTTATTCTGAAGTCATCAGGAACAATTGAAACAAGCTGGAATACCTTTAATATGGCCAGGTGACCTGCTTTTATACAATTTGGAGTCACAGTAAACACGCCCATGACACTTCCATAGAAAACAGGATAATCCCTCCACTATGCCTGGGAGATAGTTGAGTCAGGAAATGTACAAAACTCAATTATATCCAGGCACAAAAAAACACACATTTCACAAAAGTACCTTAAAATTACATAAAAACACCACAAAGGTTATATCCCCTGATAGCCCCGATCTGGGTGACCAACATATCCAAAAATCACCCAGATCGGTTCAGGGATTCAGGAATTTCCTGGAAGTCTTAATTTGACTTACCGCACACGAGCCACCTGCCCAAAACAGTTCCATTGGATCAGGGCTAGTGGTCGGTCTAGTTTGGTAGTTTAAAACCGAACATAGTTAATATTCTGACCCTGGAACTTGTTCCCCTTGTTCGTGGGCACGTTTCCACCGAACAGTGTCTAAGTGTTGTAAAAGTGAACACAGGCAATCATGGAAGTCCAGCGGTGTTCAGGAGTTTCAGTGTCCAAAAATAGTTCCATGAACTTGACAACCAAACACCGCTGCCTGTGTTCACGCGAACAAGATGGCCCCCCACCTCGTGGTCGTCCACAGGAAATGCGGCTACCCAGACGAACACTTAGAACACTGCGGTGGAAATTGCTACAAAGTAGCAATTAGGCTTATCAAGCTCCCAGGTGGTCTCAAGTTCGTACGGCTGTTCATTTACCGAACCATATAGTCCAAATACACAAATGGAGACTTTTCATTGTATATTACAGGGCCCATAGTCTGTGTGTAGGTGACTGGCAAGCAAGCTCCTCCAAGAGCTCGTGGCAAACTCATGAGGAGAGGGGAATTTGTCACAGTCACAAATGGATAAACTTGGTCAATGCCAGGACCTATCAGAATTCAAAATTATTGTCTGAACATTATTCAGAGTGGACCTGCATTTGATTCTGGACTGCCCATGTTTAAGGGACCAGTCTGATTTACTAATGGAAAGTCAAAAGGTTATCTTGATGTTTCTTACTGTGTGAAGAGACATATCGTACATACCTTAATCACAAGTCTAAATACAGACTGAAAGAAGCAACTGGGCTACTTTTATTTGGTACATATTGAACATCAGGGATCTGACTCACAATTTGGTTCTGGTGGGACCAGTCTGATATGTAGCTGGTACAGATTTCTTCTTTAATGGTACAAGTGAAATAAAACTGATACAATATGTTTACCTCGATCCCTAGGTTCTGATAGGGAATATACATTATACTATTCTCTTCCTCAGGTCTCTTCTTTTATCTTCCCTGTTTGGACAAGTGCCACAAATTGGACTTGCGTCTGAAGACATTTGAGGTTCCATTTCATCAGGTAAATCCTCTATGAACTTCATGCTATATATCCTCCACTAACACTTGTCTGTCTGCTTGTTTTTATTTCTTTTCCTGAGTTGTTTTGTATCTTCTCTATAAAGATTGTGACTAAGGACCTTATAACATTGGAGATTGATGCTGTCTGCTACTACCGATTAGAAAACCCTTCTCTTTTCATGACCAACGTGAGCACTATATCTACTGCTCTCCAACTCCTGGTCCAAACTACAATGAAACGCCTTCTGGCACATAAAGCATTTTTGGATATCTTGTTGGAGAGAAAGACCATTGGAGAAGAAGTAAAGGTCAGAGTCTAGGTTTTACCAGTGGATTATCTTTTATGTGATTATGATTACACAGGCTCAAACTACATCCACAACATTAGTAGAAAAAACTGTGGACATAACCTTTAGTAGATACACTGTACAAATGTGAACATTAGTTTCATCTTGGATAAAGTGGGGGTCATTTCCATCCTACACTTATGGGGAGAGGTACAATCATCTTATTATAGAAGGTATAATCATATTATTTAATCATTTCACACACACACACATTTAGGGGGTTAAGCAATCCCAATGAAGTTGTTATGGTGTCCAGAGTGTTCCTTTAATAGTTTTACACCCATGGGTAAAATGCTCAGCAGTAATTTTGAAGGGGGCATGATCTGTGTCAAAGATTCAGGTAGCAATAACCGCACTATTTAGACACCATATCTGTTGTGACATATTTGCTTTGTTGTAGGTGGCATTGGATGCAGTGACTTGTAACTGGGGGATCAAAATGGAGAGAGCTGAAATGTAGGTATGATAAGTAATAAAGTGTGTAAGGCACCACCTTTTTTAATAAATAGAATATGCAGTTAACCTAATTGCCATTCTATTTAATAACTAGAATATGCGGTTAGTATAACACAACCCTCATTGTCTTTCTTTAACCCCTTAAGGACTAAACTTCTGGAATAAAAGGGAATCATGACACGTCACACATGTCATGTGTCCTTAAGGGGTTAATGATCTATAGCAGGGGTGTAAAACTGTGGCAACACAACTCCCTCAATATTATGCCAGACAGGGCTAGTATGCATTTTTGTAAAATGTAGTTAGACTAGTTAGAATATAGCTATTCCATATGGAAAACAACCATTTAAGCCATTTAATTAACCATGTTTATAAAAGATGCACTGTGCTTCATAAAACTTTTGTTTACACAGCAGGTTTTAGATGACATGGGGATGGAGCCACACAATGTGACTACGCATTTTAGTGAACTTCCTGCTCAATTCAGTAAAGTCCCCTCTAAGACTTGCTGTGCTAATTAACACATTCATTACATGCATTACTGCATGGCTCTATCAGTGACCTGCCATGGATTCAGCCCTACCTCTCTCTTGCTGTCTTTGCAGTAAGGACGTGAAACTCCCTGAGGAGGTTAAACAGTCACTGGCCGTGGAGGCAGAAGCCCAGAGACAAGCCAAAGTGAAGGTAGGACCAAAGGGAACCTCCAAACATAGTGTGTATCGCTCCGCATGCTCAGAGCGTGAACACGTCATATTATTGTAGGGCACATTCACATTGCTCACCCCTTCCCATGAACACCCGCTTACTCACAATGGCGGACGACCTGCTCCGGCCTCAGGCAAACACCACCACGGCCCTCCGCGGTGCCGCCCTCGAGTCAGTTGGGATCCTTCCGCTGCTGTAGATCCGTGAAGGCGGACAGGCGGCGGCGCACGTCGGCATGACGTTGCGCGCCTCCGCGTGTTTCAACATTCCTCCTCCCCCTGCTCCTCCACATTACCGCAGTATAGTGCGACCCTGCTCCCCCACATTACCGCAGTATAGTGCGGCCCCACTATTAGAATGTATGGTGGAGGTGGGGGGTGACAGTCATGTTATCTCCAAGTCACAATAATTCTGTAATAAGAAATGTTTGTAGCTTTAAACCTACAGAAATATTTAGTTTATAGCAGTATTTAGTTGTTGGGGTTTTTTTTTAGGTTGGTAGCTGGTCACATCTCAGTAAATTTCCCCTCAGCCTACCTAATTCAACACATGGTACTTATGGCTCAACTGACACAGCTAACAGAATGAACAGGCAAAATTGGCAAGGGGATTAAACATAGAAACATAGAATGTGATGGCAGATAAGAACCATTCGGCCCATCTAGTCTGCCCAATTTTCTAAATACTTTCATTAGTCGCTAGCCTTATCTTATAGTTAGGATAGCCTTATGCCTATCCCATGCATGCTTAAACTCCTTTACTGTGTTAACCTCTACCACTTCAAATGGAAGGCTATTCCATGCATCCACTACCCTCTCAGTAAAGTAATACTTCCTGATATTTTTAAACCTTTGTCTCTCTAATTTAAGACTATGTCCTCTTGTTGTTATAGTCTCCTCCTTTACTGTGTTGATTCCCTTTATATATTTAAATGTTTCTATCATATCCCCCCTGTCTCGTCTTTCCTGCAGGTGTATGTGCTATGTGTTACAATCTATTACATATTAGCCAAGTACCTAATTTGGTAACTGATTTTACTATGATCTGCTCCCAGTTCCAGTAACTCTGGATATCTCAATATACCAACAGAGGATGTGTACTGTTCTAGAATACTCTAGCAATCACTGGTAAGAGAAGGAGAAGAGGTAGTCTTGTATGGCCCCAGCTATCCACTTTACCAAAAAAAAGTTGCTCTGTCACATTCCAACAACTGAGAAATCAAATTTAATTCTGCTCAGTCAGCGGGGATGCAGTAGGGCCCCAAATTTTCCAACATTTAAAAACTAATTTAAGATGGTGATTCCAACATTGTCCTCTAAGTGACCGCTCATTCTCGTATTGCTTCGAGCACCAAGAAATTACTCATTTATACCATGATTTGCTGTGCATGCTTTACAACAGACTAGGGATGTCCATGGGAAAAATGTTCGGTTCGGCATTCCGAAATTGGGGACCTCAGCACCTCGGGAAAGTGTAGGGTTAGGTTAGGGGTAGGGTTAATGTTACCCTAACCCTACCTCCAACCACTAACCCTACCTCTACCCCAACCCTCTCTTGTTTTTCCACTTTTCAGAAATCTGAAGCACTTCAGAAATTTGGTTCTGCATTCTGAAATTCGGCAATTAGAATGTACGAATTTCATCTGAATTTGCATTGATGCCAAACGAATTGCACAAGTCTACAACAGACAGATTCACAGGCCATATGTAAGGAGATCATGTATCTCCATAATGAAACTGCAAGATACACACCGAGGTTTACATAAAGAGCAGTTGTGGAACATATTGTTAACACTGGAGCAATGAACATAGAAAAGAACAAAATGTCCTAATTTATTTCTACACTTTTAGAAGGTCTCCGCATTTCTGTCCTGTATAACTTCCAAAGTCTCCCTCATTCAGCCTCTCTAATTGTCCCTAGTTATTGACTTAAAGGACCACTATAGTGCCAGGAAAACATACTCGTTTTCCTGGCACTATAGTGCCCTGAGGGTGCCCCCACCCTCAGGGTCCCCCTCCCGCCCGGCTATGGAAAGGGGAAAGGGGTTAAAACTTACCTTTTTCCAGCGCTGGGCGGGAGCTCTCCTCCTCCCATCCTCCTCTTCTCTCCCCGTCGGCTGAATGCGCACGCGCGGCAAGAGCTGCGCGCGCATTCAGCCGGTCACATAGGAAAGCATTCATAATGCTTTCCTATGGACGCTGGCGTGCTCTCACTGTGAAAATCACAGTGAGAAGCACGCAAGCGCCTCTAGCGGCTGTCAATGAGACAGCCGCTAGAGGAAATAGGGGAAGGCTTAACCCATTCATAAACATAGTAGTTTCTCTGAAACTGCTATGTTTATGAAAAAATGGGTTAACCCTAGAAGGACCAGGCACCCAGACCACTTCATTAAGCTGAAGTGGTCTGGGTGCCTAGAGTGGTCCTTTAACTTCCTCTGAAGATCGGTATCCTTAGTCATTAAAGGATATCTAAAATCGAGCACATCATTTGGGTAGATATATGAATTTTGTGGATGGAAGTTGTTCAACACTTGAGTACAAGAAACAAGAATAGGGTGGCATAGATTTAACCCCTTAAGGACACATGTCATGATTCACTTTTATTCCAGAGGTTTGGTCCTTAAGGGGTTAAACTAAATAGTTCTACATTGGATATTAGGAACAAAGCATAGGGTAGGGTACGAAATCCCAAAACACTCAACTAAGCTTGTTTATTAAATGAGCAGTGGTTGCTTAATATCACTCACTAACTCAGTCACTAACAGACACACACAGTCACTAACAGACACACACTCATTAAGAGACACATATACTAACACATTCTCTAACAGACACACACACATTAACACACTCACTTACAGACACACACATACTAACACATTCACTAACAGACACACATATAGTAACACACTCACTAACAGACACAGACACAAACACACTCACATTTAAAAAAAAAAAATTGGGAAGTGCTGGGGTGGATTCTCACTTTCCCTGGGGTCCAGTGGGGTTGCCAGTCGGTCGGTCACTGCAATCGGCGAGGGAGCATTGATCCTCCTATTCAGCTCCCTTGCGCGTCGCGTAGTGATGCTGGGGCTGGAGTGATGTCATATTCCAGCTCCGGCATCACTGCGATGCACGCAAGGGAGCTGAAGAGAAGGATCAGTGCTCCCTCGCCACCCGCCCAGAAAGTGCAGCCGCTGCCAGCCTCGGGGGGCCCTGAGGTGGCACCCGGCCAGTTCCTGGGCCCCCCAGGACAAGAAGCTGGCAAGGCATTTGCCAGTGCGATTGGGTGGAGGGTTTTTTTGCCGTCCCCCAGAAAGTGTTGCCCAAGGCAAATGCCTTGTCAGCCTCGCGGTAAACACCCCTGCCTATCCTCCCTAATACACAAATATGTCCCGTTGATGCCCCCGCGCTCTGCCAAAGACCTACATATATCCTCTGTCCGTACTCCCACACCTGATGCTCGCCTCCAAGACTTCCCCAGGGCTGCACCTTTTCTGTGGAACTCCCTTCCCTTCTCCGTTAGACTCTGACCCAGTCTCCACTCCTTCAAAAAAAATCTTTGAAAACATACTTCTTCAGGAAAGCATATCATATAAACTGTTAGCGAGTTTTCAATTCCCCCGCCCCCCATGACTCCTTCCTGCAACTGTCAAAAAGTGAATACTTTTCTAGCAACCTATGTCATTACCCCTACTTATACCTTTTGTGTCACTATACCCCACTTCCTCTAGCATGTAAGCTCATTGAGCAGGGCCCTCAACCCCTCTGTTCCTGTGCGCTCTGTTCCACATGTCTGGTTACAATTACATGTCTGTTAGTCCACACATTGTACAGCACTACATGATTTGCTGGAGCTATGTAAATAATAAAATAATAATAATAATAGGAGATCCACTCACAACAAGTGGGTGGAATACCCAGCCCATTCAGAAATACCTTCTAATGTAAAAACTCACATTAATAGGGTAAACAACCTTTATTGAAACATACTGAACATATATAATAATTATGGAACTTGAAAGCCCAGATAAGCTCAAAATAAGAATAGAGAAAGATAAGTGGGCGCATACACCTTTAAGGGACTGAAAGAACTAGTCCTATGAAACTTATGCAGCTAAGTATATAGTAAAGATGGAAATATAGAAAAAAATCCATCTAAATATAGAGTAAACAGAGAGCTGCACAGACTAGTTTAATCACCTTAAAAAACGCTTAAAGGGGAACTTGGATAGAGAAAATAAAGATATCTATATAGATCCATAAAAGTTGGAAATAGTATTAGTAGTAGTGACAGACTTCTAATTAGAGGTAAAGGCATATAATTTGAATTGTGAAGGGTAAAAAATTCCCTATAAAGAGGAGAGAAAAATGCCCCCCTCCCAAATCCAAACGCAAGGAGGGACCCCCTAAAATCACCCTAAAGCTAAACTGTCAAACTAAGAGTGAATGAAAACATATACTCAGTGTATCCAATATAAAAATATATAATATAAGAACCAAACAGAGCATATAATGCTCTATAATGCTCTGTTTGGTTCTTATATTATATATATATATATATTATATATTTTTATTTTGGATACACTGAGTATATGTTTTCATTAATATTAGAATATATCCTATATAAAATCTATTTTTTACATCAGTATCTTTTACATCAGTTTTTACATTAGGAGGTATTTCTGAATGGGCTCCTTGTTGTGAGTAGATCCCCTACCCTATTCTTTGCTGTCTTTATTATCATTAACTTTGGGGTTAAGCCCCTTTTACCTCCTGTAACCTCTATTTTGGAGGAGCGGTGATAGTTCTTTTATCCTACTACCTCTCCTTCTTCTCTTTTTTCTAATAATAATAATAATAATAATAATACTACACACTAGAACACAGGTGTAGAAAACACACAAAACCCAGACTATGGCACAATCAATGTCGTTGCTCAATGTTAAATGTTAAAAGTAATCAATTGAGGTAATGGAAATGATGAATTACAAATGTAACCACATGGCAAATTTTAAGTAGTCTGTTTTATGTTAACAAAACTTTAAAGCTTATGTTCCCCGTATATCTGTGACCCAAGTGTCATAAATCTAATGTCTCAATTTGGTTGTACCGTAGGTAATTGCTGCAGAAAATGAAAAAGCTGTGTCTGAGTCTCTGAAATTGGCAGCTGAAACCTTAGCTGGATCCCCTACAGCCATTCAGCTCCGATACCTTCACACGCTGCAATGCATGACATCTGAGAGACCACCTACCTTCTTTTTACCTTTGCCTTTTGATCTGATGAACTTAAACCCTATGTCAAAACTGCAAGAAAGCAGCGGAACTTCAAACCCACCCAAGTCAGATACTGAAGCTGAACAAGGCAAAAAGAATGACTCTCCAATGCTTTAAATGTATTAAAATAATACTTTACTCAGATATATGCAGTTAAATACTACAAAATCATGTTTGTGTCTTCTGTCTAAAGGATGGATTGGGATTATTTATTTTGCAATGCCATCTTGAACAAATAAAGGTTATGGTATATGGTTGAGATTTGGTTATAATTAAAGTCTGCAATGGTACAAGTGTTTATTCAGCCTTTGGAAAGGTTATTACATTAACAATGCCTACCTTCCCCCAAAATGTGCAAAATGTAAGAGATAAGCATATTTCTTGCAGGTGAATAACAATTTTTTCATAGACGTCATTGGAAAGAGTAGTTATCAGTTACCACAGCTACGCTTATCTCCTGTAGTAGAATTCAGTCCTCAAATGGTCTATATTATAATAATTTGAATTCAGCAAACAAAAGTTACCTTTACTGCTGCTGTGCACATACAATAATGGCTGTACTTTTCCTGTTAAAATAATATCAACAAGACACCAAAGCTGCACTTCTAAAAAATAACATAACTTACATTTTCCATGATACCAAGCTCATCTTAAATGAAAAATCTTAGAATAAATTTTTTAAAGAGAAACTGTTACTTCCAGAGAACTGACAATTCTTCATTCCTTCACCCCAGTAAACACTATTGCAGGGTTGATGGGGGTGAAGGAAGCAGAGGAGGAAAGTACAAAATGTACTTACCTCTGCTACACTTGACGCCTTTGTGAACTACATGGTAACCCCATGATGCTTTGGGCATCTACGGAGAAATTCTGCACAAGCACATGTGCACTTGAGATTTTCTTCAGCGGAGCCGTACTTATGCATGTGCTATATGCAGTGATGAGCGAATTTAAGGGAAATTAGAGGGGCGTGGGGGGAAGATTAGCACAACCAGTGTACCAGTGGTTGTATAGAGATCTCTTCAACGACAGCACCTCTTTATAGGATCACTCTAACCAACGAGTACACTGTGTCCTGTCTCTCTTGCCCTGGTGGTATATTACTGCAGCAAATTGCAAAAAATTGCTACAGCTGTAGGTATGCTCCATGGACGGCGCAATTGGCAGTTCAGAAAATTACTGCACGCAGTCCTGTTCACAAAAGTGAGAACAGCCTGTGAATAAGCTGAACTATGACTGCTATCAGCTTATTCCATAGCTTAACTCATCGTTTGTTTAAGTGTTCAGTAGAACTCTGGGAGCTAAACTTCTTTTCCCATTAAGTTCTGCAAGACAGGCATTTATGGGACAAAAATGAGACCTCGTAGATGAGGCTCCTGATTGGTTGAGCCTTTAAAAGATCAGGGAGCTGTCTTCCAGTTACTGTCATTTGCTGTGCAAGTAGCTTTACAATTTTGAAACGTTTTTTCCTCGTATTACTTTTTTTGCATACTTGTCAATACACAATTTATTGATTCCTGTTTGTAACTATAAATTGATATGAATCACCTGTCCTTGTTCACAAGTGTTTGATGAACATGATTAAAAACATTGGAAACAAACATATTAACAGATTTGATAAAACGACTTCAAAGTGAACTTCAAATTTAGAGGTAAAAGTAGCTGAAATTGAAAGTTTCTTTAAGTCAGCTATGCTTCCAGTTTGACGTCTTTGGCCTTAAATTCACTAAATTTGGAATTCTCACTTTAGTTCAGTGAAATGGGTTGATACACATTTTTGCATGGCATCTGACAAACCCATATACAGGAATAATGCTGGGAAGAATATGCTATAATAAAATCGAAAAAGTGAGTTACTTTACTCTTAATTTTATCCTTAAATTGCATAATTTGCAGCTGATGGAGACAAATGTGGTATAAATGTGGATTTTTTTAGAAAATGCCTATGACATGACTGGATTGCGTAAACTGAACATTGCACCAAGAAGCCTGGAGTTTATTTTTATATATAAACATTTTAAAATGACGGACACAGGCTTTCTGTCCTGAACGATTATTCTATTCATAAAATGTCAGAACTCATTTCCAGTCTGTACAATAGTTGGTGTATGCAAGAGGCTAATCACACTCAAAAATAATGCTCTGGAAAAACATTAACAGTTCATTTACAAAAAAGAGTTATATTTATTTCTGTTTCACTTTGCTTGATTTTGGTCTTCTTTTAACCTGGGTTGTGGAGAATGTTTGTTCTGTAGTTTGCACAGGACTTGCAATATCTTAGAAAAAAAAATAAAGAACATCATCCGTTACTGAGATTTGTGGAAACAAAGTCTGGTTATCCAATAACCTAACGTGTTTAGGAAATGTGTAGCCAAGACAGCTGTTGTGGAACAGATTTTTCTTTCTATCCTAATTCCTGGAAGCAGTTAATTCTCTTACATACAAAATGATGTGCCTATGTTTATTGTGGTATATTCAGATTGTTTGGATAGAGAATGGAGGACTATCTAGATCAAGAAGATATGTAGATCTACTGAACAGCATGACAGACAATGTCAGAGAAACAGCATATGGTTTAAATTCACCCACTGATTAATACAAACATGAAGGAATCCCCAGTAGGCAGTGGTGCATGTTCACTGCCCCACACTAAATACCATAGCTTATTGCACACATTGCTGCTGGCTGGCTGGCTGGCAGTACTCACTGGTGGGAGCATCAGTTAGGCATGTACTTGCAGATATATAAATCACATCAAGAAAAGTAAGGATAGTATGCAAAGTAAAGGCAGTAAATCTTGCCTAGTATGTAGAAGGTTTAAAAAGACACCTACTCTGGTTTTAGGCTATATTACAAGCTTACCCTCCGTTTTCTCGCTGCTTTCAGCTTTATAATGTACTTTCTCAAACTCTTGTATCTTTTGTAAAGCTTCTTTCAATTGCTCATCCAAAAACTCTGACTTTTCTTCAGCGTTCTGTGCTCTCAGCTCTGCTGACCTACGCAGAACAAAAGGGCAAAACGTATTGAAGGAAAATGAAAACAGAACAAAAATGTCATGTCAGTACAAAATGCTCACTTGGTGAGCTACATTAATCATTCCAAAAAAATATATATTACAATTGCTTAATTAATCACTGTGACGTTTTGTTATATGTCTGGGACAAAGAAGTAGATGCCAAGTACATAAAGTAAAAACTAATTATATTTACAACAATGACTTCCTCGTGTGTAGCAGACTCATGGAGAAGAATAAATAAAACAGGATTTGATAGCATTATGCTAACATTAAAGTTCAGCTGTGATGCAAATATGGCATGGGGGGGACTGACCTCAGCAGAGCTAAAAGCTAAAATTATAGTAGCTTCAATGACTATATGTGGAACCATATGTTCCCTCAATGCCATGCATGTAGCCCACTTTGCAATGTACTAGCCAATTCACAAAGCAAATGGAAAGAGATCACTTTTAATAATGTCATCCATATTCTGATGTAGAACATTTAAATTAGTTATTAATAAGATGTAACAAATAAAATATAAAACCTGGTCCTCACAGGGTAAAATAGATTTACTCCATAATTAGTACTATGCTAGGGTAGCTGTATCGCTTGCAAATTTCAATTAATTACATTATATTTTTTTTTACAAGTTTTTCCGATGTTCATTATCACTGTGAAGTGACCTAGGAATCTTTTTCCATTTGGGTTGATCCCAGTTTGAAGTTCACCTTTTATTAGATTGATTCCAATCAGCCATTTTTATTATCTAAATCTGCTTAGTGACTGTAAGCTAATTAGCATACCACCTCTCCAACTCAACTATACAAATTCTAAGCAGTACAAAATTCGTCCCCATACCAATCCTCTTTCCACATACCTTTAAATAATTAATACTTCATATTAAACAAGTGATAAAAATAACAGTGATCTCTGCATTACTGACCTTATACAGGGTAAGCAAAAGTTAGGAACCAAATACTTGTAAGTTGCTTAAAGTGGCTGTCACTTTAAAAAAATGTATATAGTTTTTCCAGACCCCATGTGCAGACCCATTTTTTAAAAGTTATACATAATGAAATGTACGGACTACTTTTCCTTATGTAGAACCTGTATAACATGCAACTTGATAAAAGCTCCACGTCCTTTGTCAAACTTTGTCAACACGTCCTTTGTCAACCATGTCAATATCCTAAGTGGTACATACCTGTAGATTTCAATTGTATAATTGAGGTTTTCTTTAACCTTTTAATATCAAAATATCATATACCTGAGACATATTGGTTCCGCTTTTAATCATTTGGTTCGCTGTTCTATGCACTATTTCACCATTGTGTGTGTTTTTGTTTTTGCCTCTTTCATCAAGTGTGGCGTATCGCATTGTAATGTTATTGTATTTAATAAAGGGTGTTTTGTTTATTTTGTTTTGTTAGTAACGCAAATAATATCTTAACCCCTTAAGGACCACGACAGAAATATTCCGTCAAGATTCCCTTTTATTCCAGAAGTCGTGTCCTTAAGGGGTTAACTTGTGGTGGTAACAGCTTGAGATGTAGTCTCAGTCTTGTCTGAGACTATGTCTGATCTTTTTTTTATTATCAGATATTAAACTACTTAAAAGTATTTGGATGGTTCCTGACTTTTGGATTACTCTATACTCCAAGATATTGCCATCAGCACAACACAGCTTATCTAGAAGGGTTGACTGATGTTTAGGGCTGCAGAAGAGGTGAATGGACACCATCTCTGAGCCCATAATTCTTGCAAGCTCACAGACAAGCTAATTTTCTCTCTATAAAGAACAGCATTGCTGTGCTGCCTTCTAGTGGTGAATTAGTTCTCTTTGCAGCTTTTACATTTCAGTCTTCATTAAATATTTTCTGGATTATTGTTTATAATTAGAGGATCTTACATGAGACGCCTCTGCAACTGGTCCAGTGAAATGAGCGACTCAAAGGCATCCATGGATCGAGGTGTGCCCGGCCTGCTAACTGTAAATGCACTCTGTACAAAGAGAGATAAATGAATGGCTGTTGAGAAGACAGCAAGTACATTGACAGCAAATAGCACAGCACAGAACAAATACATTACCTCATGGGAAATAGGAAATCCCTCCCCTTTTAAGGACTTCTTATGAATGTTTCCATCATGGCCTATGATCTGCATCATTTCCTGCTCAGAGGACACATTCGTTTTTGACGTTTGCCTTCTGGTTTGTGTCCTATGACTCTATAAATGTAAAGGAAAAGCTTTATTACTTGTACCAAACAAATTATTCTGTTCTTACATTTACTCTCTTCACAAAGAAAAACACATAATTCAAACAGATGGAAATAAGCAATGTATTAAGCATGTGTAATACAGTGATTACGCAGATTATATTTGTAAAGTGTTGTTAAAAAGAATGTAATTTTCCACTTACTGTTTAAGGTTAGGTTCATGTTGTTTGTCTAAACACACACACTCTCTGTCTCTCTCTCATCCTACGGTTGTTGAGTGACATTTGAATGAATTGGTGGTTGTCACGGTCAATGTAGAGTCTTTTTGCCCTCTGCTGGTCTGTCACTTTATTGTCCCTAATGTCTGCTGCTTGACCTTGTTCTTATTGCATGACTATGCCTTGCAGGCGAAAACTAATCGTTCTGTCTTGGGTGAATAGCTGTGTTCTATGACAGTGGTTCCCAAACCAGTCTTCATGGCCCACCAACAGTCCAGGAGTTATATATTTCCCTGTTTTATTCCAATGGAGATACTAACAAAACCTGGACTGTTGGTGGGTCTTGAGGACTGGTTTGGGAAACACTGTTCTATGAGTCCACCAAATCCAGTTTACTTCAGTCTCCCCAACCAACTTCATTTTTGTATAAGCTCTGCTCAGTTTTGTTGTAGGCTGGAGGTCAAGTGAGTGCTACTACTTTAAAGTGAAGGTATGCAAAACATCTGCAGCAATCTGTGTCAAGTGAATAGGTAGAAACTGATATTGTGCCATCACATCTGTGTTAAACACACAGTTTTGAAAAGTGAACATGTGCAGAGTTAATATATTTATTACTATACCATATATGTACGCTAAAACAAAATCTTAAAGAACGGAGCCCCTTGGAAAGAGAGATCTAAGAAAGGTTTGTGCATAATTAAATCCATTGGTAGATTAGAGTTGGTCCTCATTGTGGCAAACCTAGCCACTTTAGGTCATATTGCAGAACATTTAAAGGTTGTCTGAAATAGCTGTGTTAACCTGGTGTAAAAATGTATTCGTGTGTTTTAGAATAGAGAGCATGCATAGGCTAACAGCCGTGAATAAAATTGTCAGTTGACTCCTGGAGCCGTGAATAAAATTGTCAGTTGACTCCTGGAGCTGTGAATAAAATTGTCAGTTGACTCCCTGAACTGTGTTTCGTCCGGTTACTGGGGGATTTGGGAAATTGCCTTCTTTTCCAGTGCTTTACTTTGGATTACCTTCTATACCAGCGGATATCTTGGGATTTAATATTTCAGCTCCGCTACACTCATAAAGATTTTAACTAAAAGGAACACTATAGTCAACAGAAAAATTACAGCTTAATCTTGTTGTTCTGGTGTGTATAGTATGTCTTTATAGGCTTTTTAAAGGGACACTATAATCAGTGGTGTATCCTGGTTTTGTGCTGCTCTAGGCAGGACAAAAATCAGGCACCCCCCACCCGCCCCACCTTCTAAATACACACACAAACACACCCACAGTCAGACACACAGTCAGACATACACACACAGTCAGACACAAACACACACACAGTCAGACACACACAAACACACACACACGGTCAGACACACACACACAGTCAGACACAAACACACACACAGTCAGACACACACACCCACTCAGACACAAACACACACATACACAGTCAGACACAAACACACACACAGTCAGACACAAACACACACAAACACACAGTCAGACACACACACACACACAGTCAGACACAAACACACACACAGTCAGACATAAACACACAGTCAGACACACACACACACAGTCAGACACAAACACACACACACAATCACTCACATTAACACTCTTTCTCCCTGGTGGTCCAGTGGCTGCCGGTCGGGCTGGCTAATGGGCGGGCGGCTGGCGAAGGAGCTCTTCCTCTGAGCGGTCTGTTCAGCTCCCTCGCGCGCCGCAGAGTGAGGCTGGGAGCCGGAAGATGACGTCATCGCTCAGGGGAAGTGCTCCCTCGCCAGCCGCCCGACCATCAGCCAGCGCCGCCCAGCGCCCAGCATTTCTGTTAGCCCCAAGGCTAACTAGGCATTTGCCTGGACATTTGGGGGCGGCGTTTTTTGCCGCCCCCTGAAAAATGACGCCCAAAGGAAATGCCTTGTTTGCCTCGCGGCTAATACATCCCTGACTATAGTCACCATAACAACTACAGCTTATTGCATTTGTTCAGGTGAGTAGAATCATACCCTTCAGGCTTTTTGCTGTAAACACTGTCTTATCAAGAGAAAATGCAGTGTTTACATTACAGCCTAGTGATAACTCCACTGGCCACTCCTCAAATGGCTGCTAGAGCTGCTTCCTATCTCAGTTTTGTCTAGTGTGCATCACAGCATATCAGTATCTCCTCCCTCTGAGGAGATGCTGATTGGCCATGGATGTGTTTGACTTGTGCTGGCTCTGCTCCTGATCTGCCTCCTTCACAGTCTCAGCCAATCATATGGGGAAGCATTGTGATTGGCTCAGAACAACACTTCTGATGATGTCAGCTTGCTATTTTGAGGCAGACAGGGGCAGAGCCAGCATCTTCAGGCTTGAATACAAGTAAGATTTTACTGTATTTAGGGAGGCAAGAGAGGCCCAGGAGGAGCTAGATGGCGGTTTTAACACTATAGGGTCAGAAATAGATGTTTGTGTTCCTGACCCTATAGTTCTCCTTTAATATAAGCACTGCCATTTCAGAGAAAAGGCAGCATTTATATTACTGCCTAGTAATACCGCTTGTGGATGTCATTCAGACAGCCACTAGATATGCTTACTGGGTCAGTGCTGCACTATCTCCACGTTTTGCATGGTGGCATCAAACGCTCCCCATAGCGGTGCATTGATTTAATACATCTCTATGAGGAGATGCTGATTGGTGCAGCGCAGTCTTTAGCTGTGCATGCGCAATAGCCTCCCAATGCTTTCCAAACCTGAGACTCTCAGCTAAGGGGGCGGGGCTAGCCACAAAGACACAAGTGCTGCACTGGAAAAAGGTAAGTAAATCACCTTTTTAATGGGGGACAGCAGGGGCCAGTGATCTAAATGGTACTAATAGAACTATAGTGTCAGGAATATACATTTGTATTCCTATAGTGTTCCTTTAAAATATTTAAACACTAAGAGCCACCTGAGTAAATGTGTTGAAACATCTATTTAATATGTTGACCTGTTGTCATCCATGTTACTAAGAAGGTCAAGCAGCCTTTCACCTGGAAGTAAAATTTAGGGAATGTGTTTAAAAAGTAAATTAAGGATTGCAATTTGCTCTGATCAGCTGCAATGACACCACATAATGTTTATGTCGTATCCCAGGGCTGATAAATCATGCATTATCCAAATCAACAGGAAGGCCAAAGTTGGGTACCCCCACAATATCGTAACATAAATCATTTTAACTTGAGATCTGTGCACATACAGCAGATTTATTTTTCCCAGTAACATCAATTCAGAACTATATCAACTACAGTGATCAACATAAGATCATGTGTACTTGAATGAAAATTCAGGATTGTTACATTTAAAGAAAACCAGCAATGAGAAATATTTTATGCTTAAATCTAGCCAAAAATGCAATCTACATGCAATAGGAAATCAATCTTTCATAAGATTTTATTTACTTTTTACTTAATTTTTCCTTTCTTAAATATAAATTCATCTAATCTACATAGAAAACAAATAATTAATCACCACCTTTTTTACACAATAGACGCCACCATCCCAAACTCCTGTACGTATCCAACCACATGCGCATAATATGGTGTGAAATATCGAGCACTGCATTATGGGGAAACTCAATCAATATCAGAGGTGGATACACTTTAAGGGAAATATATTAGTCAATCTATGTATTTGTCACTAGAATATCAGAAAGCTTAAGATCGATTCTTGTTGATCATTGAATACATTGACCCTGTCCAAATAGCTTCTGAATTTGTCCCATCAACTACCTACACTGACCTTGAGTGATCTTGTAACTCGTATACTGTTGAGTTAATTCAAAACCTGATTATATTGTTTGTTTTTTTGACCTGCATGCACTGCATAGGAACACATAAATCAAAACGCATGTACAGCTATTACCTTTGTGAAAATTTAACAAACAGTGACAGATTGCATGGTTTTAACACCATAATGTGAAAGGACAATCAAATGGGTATTTGGTAGGGCACAGAATGAATATTAATGGTTTTGGGTATATCCAGTAGTCACATAGAGTAGAGATGTCAACTGGGTGACATAGAGCTGCCATAAAACAAGACAGATTCTGCCAGTGCTAAGATCAGGGTGTATACTGCATCTTATAATATTTACACCATAGATCCTAGACAGGATCTTTTACATTCTATGTAAATAATGCAATGTGGCTATTTGGTTGGTCATTTACAATGTATAGAATTACTCTCTGAAAAGAAACATAATCTCATCATATCACAGACGAGGTTCCTCTTAGCCACAAGTGATATATTTATGCCTCAAGGATGGGTCTGATTTCATCTTTATAGAGGGTCTTTTTATGAAAATCATGTTCATGGCTCATCACATCTTGCAGATCCCACAATGTGGCATCATACAATCATAAGGAATGTAAAGCTACGAAAAAAACACACGTGCACAGCCAGGGGCTGGAAGTTAAAAATACACTCTTACCTCAAGGGTGGGTAATTCATTATGTTCAGGAAGAGCTTCCTTTAAGATGTCACTTTGAAGAGTTCTCTCATCAGTTTGTTCTTCCAGTTTGTTATGTCTTACTGTCGCATCCTGTAAGTAATGTATATATTAATATAGGACCTGATTGGTTGTATAATGTATGGTAATGTATAGAGGAAAATATAGATCTGCTTTTCCTGTAGCTCCACTAAATATTAAATAGACCATTTTTATTTCACTGCACTATTTTTCTTTGCTATGTTGTTTGTTACTTTTATCTACCAACATGAATTAAGATCCACATCTGAAAAAAAATGAAATAACCATTAGAAGACTGGATTTAAATGTCAGTGGTTCAAGATAACACATGCATTGTCTGCATTTAAAAAAAAAATTTGAAAAGCATTTTTTAGCATTATTACTGTATTATTATTGGTATTTATATAGCCCCAATTTATCCTGCAGGGCTTTACAATATTATGAAAGGAGAGAAATCTAACAATAAATTAGACATTTACAAAATGACACAGAAACAGTAGGTAGGTGAGGACATCAACTCAAAACATCAGCTCCACCATGAATATTATTGGCCCATTTACATGTATAATTTCGGAGCTATTTGTTAGTTTGGATCTGGTTCTTTCAACTTTGGTCACATTGGCAGGTTCTGCATTTTTTCTGTGGTTGGAGTTGAGGTGGAGATTAAATATCCAGTCTGGGTTCACCATGTTGGCAATCAGGAGCTCAACCTTTATATTGATATCAGGGTTGAGAACCATCACATTTCATCAGAATAATCTAAAAACCTGTTTGTAAAATACTCAGTGTAACATCTAAATATTTGCTGGTAATAATATACTTAAGCAATACTCCCTGTACGCACACGCAATGTTGGCACCTGTGAAATTATTTTTCTGTCTTAACTCATATTACTTTTGCACTTGAAAACCAATTACAGCATTACGGAGCATTTACAGCTTAATATAAAAAGACCAGCTTGTAACAATGAGCAATACAGCTATGGGTTCGCAAGAAGTCTTCAGTGTCACTTTCTACACTGACCACTGAATTGGCCAGGAGTCTGCTTTACTTTGTATACTGTACATCCCACAGGATACTATATGTACAACTCTGCTGTACTGACCTATATAGCATCTCTTACTCTCAAATAAAATACAGTAGAAGTAGGTCTTCACAGGGAGCTTGTACCTGAGAACTGATGCCCTTTAGAGGGAGCGATGTCACTGACGGGCCAGGATTTGCTGTGAGATGAGCAGCAAGCAGGCGGCAGGTTTCAATCCACTCATTACATGAATTCTGGGGAAACAGAAACATTAAGCTCTGCCCAAAGATTGTATTGTCATTTTCCTTCATATGTTAACCTATGTTAATGAACCAAGTAAAAAAAAAAAAAAAAAAAAAAATTTTTAAATTTAAATAAAAGGCAGACTGAGCGAGGACATAAAATATCTTTTTATGATTCACTAATATGTTTTAACTGAAAAACATATCTGAGGAAGGCTGAACTTGATGGATGCAAGTCTATTTTCAGCTATGTAACTATGTAACAGTCATTTGAAATGTTAATACAGGTTTTGCTGTTTGAAAACAGGAGTTCTGTTATTTTCAGTCCTTACCTTGATAGTGTCGATCTCCCTAAGGTTATATTCAGGGTCATCATTGACTAGAGATTTCTCTTTCACAGAAATAGTATCTGTCAGCTCCTGACAACAGCTGTGTTGGGAAGAGACACATTTTAACTTACATGTCCTAATAAAATTGTGTCCACAGATTGTTGTGCAATTGTTAATGCATTTTATGAATGCCTGAATAATGTGCCTGTAAATTGCATCTGTGGTATGACTAAAGAAAAAAACAAACATAAAAATTAATTGGACCAGTTGTATTGCGTTTATTTATTTATTTCTCACAATATGGTTTTTGTTTTTTTTACAATCCCCTTACTATGTCAGCAAGATTTATGTAGGGAGCCTTCTTATCTCTATATTGATAAGGTATCTCTGTGACTGCAATTTACATATCAGTTTGCTAAAGATCTTAGTATTTAGCAAATATTACTAAGATTAACCAGTGGTTGCCCAGAGACAGCAGTTCGGGCTGTGCAGAGGTCCTGTCAATCATGTTGCCAGCTGCCTAGTAACACTGAAACAGGCAGCAATGCTGCAAGGTCATGTTTTGGCACCTATTGCCTGTCTGATGTACAGCAAGCCACAGGGCTAGTAAGATGAAAGGTTGTGCTGCCTAGTGCACAGTTCTGCTCCTCAAACACTATTCACCAGGGAACGTACAGAGCGACTAAGGTAAGGAGAGAGAGTGAGAATACAATTTCAACTTATGCATGTGAGTGTGTGTTTATCGGTGTGTATATTAGTGTGTCAATGTATGTATGCATGTGTCCTAAATTATTTTGGTAGGACAAGCTTGATTTCCAGGTCATGTTCCACAGTCCTGACTTAGTTCCTCGGTGTCCCACTTTAGGAGACATCAGGAAACTGTCCGCAACAAGCATAGTATGAGCATTAAATGTGCTTGAGCTGTGTTCAAGGCATTAGGACCCTTCACTGAACGAATGCTCCCTGCACGGTCTGCCATCTTTGTGCTGGCCTGCATCATGGACAAGCACTGGTGCGCATACACTACAGGCTGACCTGCCAGTAATTCAGACAGAGTCCCTACTTTACGGGTGGGTGTGCACCCTTTAGGGATGAGTCAGTCACGGAATTGCTTCACTGGCGTGCCCCCTTTACCTCCCTCCGGTGTCCCACTTCTAGAGTTGGGATGTATGTGAATCAGTTAGTATGTTTGTGTGTGATACCAGGATACCAGCTAGTACGATCGCAAGAGTGCTAGTTTGTATTTAGTTGTGACTGTTTTACAACTAAGGGTGTTTTTGCTTGCATTAATATTTTAATTGAGTCACTTAGAAAGTACACAAACGCATTGGACAGATTTCAACATTTTGATTTGTTTATTATATTGTTTTCAAAAATTCTTGCATTTAATAAATCAATTTCAGCTTTCGTACTGTTTGTGGACCACATCTCCAGCAAAAGAAGGAGACAGCACAAGGCGCAGATTTTCATATACATTGTGAGTGCATTTCAAGAGTGCATATTTTATTATATCCAACTACAATTCACTATGTTTGGTTTATCTTATCCCTTTTGGATGCTTTGCTGATTCCTAAATACCAATTCTATTTTTTTTTTGCTAGTTTGTATTTATGTATGTGCACTAGAATGCATCTGGGTGCTAGGGTATAATTGCGTTCTAATTAGAACGGTTACACAAGTTACACATTTGAATCAGATGTCTATAAGTGGCTAGTTATGTGTCACTGGTGTATGTGTGTGAGTGGATGAGGAGAGGCAGCAACATTGTCATGGGGCTCTGCAAATTGTAAGGGTGACCATAAGTCTTAAGTATATGTCCCGTATCTTGTCAAGTTGCAAATCAGTCTATATTCCTGTGTATATGAACAGTATCTCAGAAAGTATGCAGGTTATTTTATAGGTCTTTGTTAATATATAGGAAAACACATGCGATACAGACTGATTTACTGGTCTGCATGTTTGCAGTATTTTAGTAGATATATTTCCACTATAAATGCAGTTTATGTCTTACCTGATAATGTAGCTGGAGAAATGATCCACTTTTTGTGTTAGTGTAAGTGCTTCTTCGTGTATTTTCTGCAGAGTTAGTTCTTCCTCCTTGGCCTCTGTGACAAATCCTGACTCTGCAGAATAATCAGGAGTCAGGAGCATTAGTGTATTGACCATAAACTGCACCATTGTTGTGTGAAGGGTTGTAGCCTGGAAGAGGAAACAGGACCAGTCAGATATTTAAAAATACAGGATGAGATATCCTTCTCTAAGGAGTATAATGGACTGTGACAAGATCTTTTGTTTATACACAGCACTGGTTTAATTCACAAAGTCCATCACTGATTCCACACGTTCTACCTCTACAGCAGAAGGTGCCATTAAGGCACAACACCAATAATGCTTTACTAGCTTCTAAGTTTGTAAAGAATCATGGATGCTGTTACTCGGGTTTTATGGAACAAACCTCATTCGTAAGGTGGACATCATCCCTCTCGGTTCCATTAGTTGTGGCCAGAACCCATTGCTGTAGCATTCTGAAAACATCTTCCAGCAATATTCTGTTAAAACAAAATGTTTACATGTATTACATTTGTAACAGATGCACAAATTGATCCAGTTTTATGTTTGACTAAATATGTAAATCAAAATGAAACAAATACCGTGGTAATGAAAGATATGTGACATATGTCTCCAAATTGCTCTTTATATTTAACTTATATATTATATTTATTTATATACAACTCACACAATATATAATAAGATTATATATAATCTTATATATAATAAGTTGCTTCTTTGCACTGTAGGCCTCTGTATTTTCTACAAAACACACAGGAACTGGTCATGGCCCTCAGATACTAACGTAACTAATGGCAAACATTAAATACTGTCAGGGATATTTACTAAAGTGAGTTTTGTTGGGAATTCAGAGTGTATTTGAAGTGAATTTCAGATTTAAGGCCAGTTATGTCAGTTATGCTTCCAGTATTCTAAAAAAGGGGCAGTAAGTGGGAAAAAAGTACAAAATCCAGTGCAGGCTAATCACCCCGAAATAGGGATCACTCCCAGTCCCAGTTACAATACCAACAAATAAGTATAGTTAAAAACATATACCACCATTATCCATCACAACTATTGGCTAATTCAGAGAAACAGATAGAAAATAAAGATAGAAATACACTTTTAAAAAATAAGAAGATCTATAAGAAAAATAAGAAAGATTATAGCATCTCCTTTCTAACTAGATATAATAATAAAGCACATCTGGTAGAGAAAACTATTAAGAAATTCTGGCCTATTTTAAAACAAGATCAATTTTTAAAGAACATTTTACCAAGCAAACCCCAGATCATTTATAAAAAGACTCAGAATTTTAAATCTATTTTAGCTCCAATCGCTTTACCTCGCATCAAAACCATGAAAGAAGAAGTTACTTCTGGTAATAATGTTAATAATTTTCTTAAAGAAAAACCAAAAGGTTTTTTTAAATGTGGACAGTGTAGCACATGCAGATTCCAGAAACAGAAGACAACAGAATTTACATGTAGTGCCACTAAAGAAGTTTTTAAAATAAAGAATTTTATAAGTTGCCAAACAAAAAATGTAATTTATCTTCTTGAATGTAAATGTGGTATACAATATGTAGGTCGTACAATAAGAAAACTACATATTAGAATCTTGGAGCATTTTAATGGTATAAAAAGAGGGAACATAAAACATAGTGTTCCCAAACATTGTATAAATTGTACTCATTTTAGCTTCCAAGATTTTAGATGTATAGGTATCGATACGATAATCCCCCATTGGAGAGGGGGTGATACAGAAAAAGCGCTAGCTATGAAAGAAACAGAATGGATTCACAAACTCAAAACCACTTCTCCAAGAGGTCTAAATGTTGATCTGGATTTATTAGTGTTTATGGATTGAATTTTATAGTATTTTAGGGTTTTTAGAGAGCTCCTTTCTATTAATCTTTTAATATTAAAATGTTTTTGTTTCCATAGAAGTTTTATTAGATTTTATTTTTCTAGTAACTATTATTATTTTTATAGTATTTTTAAAAGAATTTGACGTTTTCGCCATGTCCCTTAGCCAAACAAAATGTTCATCATTATATATTGTTTTTATTAAGCTTGAAATGATCATCTCTATAGCTTGCTATATATAGATAAAGAAAAAGAAAAACATTTTTTGTATACATAATATTGTATAAAATGTAACATTGTGTCTCTTTTTTCCTTCTATAGTATGTTCAATCATCATTTTTAATCTCCTGTAAATCTATTTTCAGTTGTAGATTTCTAATATTTTTGAATACTAAGGATGAAATATGTAATTTACTTTTAGTGTTTTTAATTTATTATAAAGTGTATATACAACATGTTCTTTTATTATTAGATGAATTATATATTACTGATATAAATGAGTTCTAAGTGCCCACATTTCATTCCGTAAGACCAGGTGGTCGAGTACGGAAATGTGTTCGCCGGCACAAAACATCAATAAAGTTGTTTGCGTTCCAGGCTGAATGTGCGCGCATGCGCGGTAAAGTTTTACCGTAATGCGCATGCGCGCAATAATGAAAGCCGCGCGAACTCAATCATTTAAAAAGCCGGAAGAAGAAGAAATACACAGCTCCTGAGAAAGTCGATTAGACGAAACGCGTTGAGCAATTGGAAGATTGTGAGTGTCCCTACAGCTTTTGGATCACATCTAGGTCCGAGCGAATCACTATTGGAAGTCCTTAGAACTTTGGACACTGGGATCCTGCTACAAGAAGGGACTCTAGCCCAGGAAAGGGCTGTAAAGCTTTTCAGCACAACTAAGACATAAGTCCTTGTTGTGCAACTATATTTGTGAGTGTACTTGCTTTTTATTATTTTGTTTTAATTGTTATTAAACACTTCACTATATATTTTCTGCTTTTTATCTCTTTACATGAACATTCATGACTATGATGTGGTAAATATATTCACATGTTTGTGATTGTGGCGCCCCCGGTGGTATATGTTTTTAACTATACTTATTTGTTGGTAATGCTTCCAGTATTGGCTTTAAATTCTCACTTTATTGAATAACCCTGTGTGAGGTTCAGGGCCGCCATCAGGGGGTGACAACCATAATGGTTGTCACGGGTCCGGCGGCCCGGGCCCCACGTGGAGCGGCGAAACTGCCGCAGGTGCATCTGCACCGAGGCCCATCAGGTGGCCCAAGCATTTAGGGCCACCCGATGGGCCCTATAATCTTCAGGGGCCTTGTCAGCGCTGCGGCCGGGTAATTGTGCGACCGGGCCCCTTTAAAAAAAAAAATTGCGGCTGCACCACAAATGCTGCTGGGAGGAAGTTACGGCCGGTCACTTCCTCCCAGCTTAATCCGTGCGGGGGGAGAGCGGAGGAGAGGGAGAGCGGAGGCCAGGAGAGGACACCAGAGGCATCCACTCCCTTCATCCCCAGCCACCCTCCTGCAACTTAAAGGTAAGAGGAGGGTGGCTGATAAATTAAGTGTGTGTGTGTGTATGTATGTATGTCAGGATATATGTCTGTGTGTGTGTCAGTATGTATGTCTGTGTGTGTATGTCAGTATGTATGTCTGTGTGTGTGTGTCAGTATGTATATATGTCTGTGTGTGTGTGTCAGTATGTATATATGTCTGTGTGCGTGTCAGTATGTATGTGTGTATGTATGTCTGTATGTATGTCTGTGTGTGTGTCAGTATGTATGTATGTATGTCTGTGTGTATGTCAGTATGTATGTATGTATGTCTGTGTGTATGTGTATGTCAGTATGTATGCCAGTATGTATATATGTCTGTGTGTGTGTATGTCAGTATGTATGTATGTCTGTGTGTGTGTATGTCAGTATATGTATGTCTGTGTGTATGTCAGTATGTATATATGTCTGTGTGTGTGTGTATGTCAGTAAGTCTGTGTGTATGTCAGTATGTATGTATGTCTGTGTATGTTTCTGCAAGTATGTATGTATGTCTATGTCAGTATGTATGTCTGTGTGTGTATGTCAGTATGTATATATGTCTGTGTGTGTGTGTGTCAGTATGTATGTATGTCAGTATGCATGTATGTCTGTGTATGTCAGTATGTATATATATATATATATAAATATATATATATATATGTCTCTATGTATGCATGTCTGTATGTGTGTGTATGTCAGTATGTATGTATGTATGTATGTGTGTATGTATATATCTATCAGTATGTATGTCAGTATGCATGTATGTCTGTGTGTGTGTGTGTGTGTGTGTGTATGTCAGTATGTCTGTATGTATCTGTGTATGTATATATCTCTCAGTGTGTGTATGTATTTATATCAGTATGTATGTGTATAAATTTATGTGTATGTATGTCAGTTTGTATGTATGTCTGTCTGTATGTGTGTGTGTGTGTATGTCAGTATGTGTGTGTATCTGTATCTGTGTCTATATGTGTGTATGTCTGTATCAGTATTTGTGTCTGTTAGTATGTGTGTATCTTTCTGTGTGTGTGTCTGTGTATTCTTGTGGGTGGGATTTGGAGGCGGGGCCCAGACCTTGAGCTGTGTTAGGGGCCCCACAATTTCTGATGGCGGCCCTGGTTAGGTTATTTACCTAAGGCAAAATCTGCAGCAGCTAATTTGGAGCCACCCAGAAGCTAAAATTCAGATGAAATTTACCAGGAACTAAACTAAAATACTAATTTAGAGTCCCTAGCAAAATTTCCCAAATGCAGTCTAGGTGACATTTTCTGCTTAACTTGGGATTTAGAGTCAGTTGCAGTGGAGTCTTGTCCATAAAGGCAGCTGAGGTATCGCCCCACCAGTTTTTACTGCACAAAATGTTTTGTTTTTTTAAATAGAAAAATGAATCTATTAATATTGGAATGACTACTAATATACTTCCTAACTCTGTGTTAGAAAAATACTTGTTTCTGTCTCTCCCCTTCACTACCAAGCGAATTGCAAAAATAAATTTAAAAAAAATCCACCTCCAGAATCCAAGTAATTTTCATGACTTGAGAAGTAATGTGTAAATGTATTTTTCGTTTCAGTATGCGAAACAAAAACAAATATTTTGGTTGGACAGGAAAACTTTAAGAAATCGTTTACCAAATAACAAAGTAACAGGCAAGGAAATAGTGTTGTAAAGAAATATATATTATATGATTATAATAGTTGTTGTCACATTGCCATGACATTGTCCATACCATATCACCCTCATTGCAGTTATGCTGCTTTCTTGGACCACACATACCAATACCCACATGCACAGACATATATACAATGATACATGCACGTTCATGCAAACACACATACACACAGATATTCCAGACACATTCGCTGATACAACGGTCATAAAAGACAAAAACACAGATATTCACTGCTGCCACACACAGATATACAAAGAATGGACAAGCAACTTACAACCTAGTAAATTAGGGATCACAACACACAAGAAGAATTTGGAAATTGTTATAGACAACAAACTAGGCAGCATGTGCAATGTCAATCAGCAGTTGCCACAAAGCGGCATTAATTTTCGGGATGAAAATATAAATTTTTCCTCTTTATAAATCTATGACCACACCTCCAATATGCTTTGCAATTCTGGGCACCTGTTCTAGAAGGATATTATAGCACTAGAAAAAGGGCAGAAACAGGGCTACAAAATTAATAAAAGAAATGAACATTTTAGTCATGCAGAAAGGTTACCAAATTTCAATCTGTTTCGTTTAGAAACATTGGCACCTCAGACGGGATATGATAGCATTATACAAATATATTCAGAGCTAATACAAACATTGTCTGGAATTCTATTCACAAACAGGACTGTCCATAGAACACAAGGTCATGAAGTTAGACTGGAAGAAAGGAGCAAAGGAAAGGTTTTGGTTTTTTAATGTAAATGTAAATTCTCTGCTCAAAGAGCAACTGGAAAAAGCTTTAATATTCAGGGATATATATTTTTTAATTTGGGGGATAATAGCCTCTTGATCCAAGGAGAGATCTGACTGCAATTCTGGGGTCAAGACATTTTTTTCCTAGTTTGTTGCAAAATTGGTATGAGCTTCAAACTGGGTTTTTGGCCTTCTTTTGGATCAACAACAAAAACAGATGTGAGAGAGGCTAAACTTGACAACATATGTCTCTTTTCAGTATATGTAACTATGTAGTTATAAAATATTTATTTATTGTATATAAATACACTGTGTATGTATATATATATACACACACACAGACACATACAAACAAACACAATGGTACCTCAGTTTACAAACGCCTCGGTTAACATAATTTTCGATTTATAAGGGAAAATCCATTGAAAATAATGCCTCGGTGTACAAATTTTTTTCGCAATATGAAGCAAGCTGCCCCAGGATACATTGCGCCTGGGAGGTTTATAGTGCCGCCCCCGTGCCTGCTGGAGTCTGTGGGTAGCACCTGGCGTCGAGTGTGCATCGAATTTTGGAGTCATTCTGGAATTTTTTTGCAGCGGTTTTGGGCCTTTTTTTTTACTTTTTGGGTGCATTTCTCAAACGGTGGAAAGGTAAGGAGCTGAGCTTCGTCGTTTGCATGCCTTTTACTGTGTGTTCTGCATTGTGGGTTGGTTTCCATGCCAGCTCATTTTGACTTTTTTCTGACCTCTCGAACAGATTAATTGATTTTCAATGCATTCCTATGGGAAACCACGTTTTTGTTTCCAAATTTTTCACAATAAGAAAAGTCCAGGAGAACGCATTAAATTCGTAAACCAAGGTACCACTGTGTGTGTGTATTTAGGAAAGCTTATGGCCTCCAAGACCAACCTCTACCTCACATACCTGTCTCTTGCTCTCTCCTAAAGGGCAGCCCACCTTATTTGACTGCAAATTCCTGTCCTAATGTGTTTTTTTTTTTTTTTTTATTCTTTATTTTTCGTGCACAGGTTAGGTAAGTAACAGTTTTCTAGCGATGCCACAACAGCTATCGCCAGGAGTTTGGTAGACATATAAATACATTTGTATGGCAGGAATAACTTTGCACATTTTTATATTTGTATGAGCAGGGTGGTTAATGGTCTAGCACTGTGCCAACGGGCGTGTGAGAGATTATGTTCGGAAGGAGACCTTCAGGTTAGGGAGCAAGGGCTAGTGTGCGTAATGGCCACCATGCGAGATTCCTGTTAAGTATAGACTTGCGTCTGGGTATTATCTGACTGATCAATATGATAGTGCCTGTCTAAGCCACGGGTAGGCTTTGCTTTAAAATTCACACTGCCCAGTCGCCTTTTATCTTAGGTGTATGTGTCCATTGGTTCTCACAGACTGGGATTAAACTATGCTTCTGGAGCAAATTTGGCTAATGCTGTCAGTTCAGATTGACCCTCCAAGTGGAGACCTGTATGGAGATCGGTACCTACGGCTTTCTAACCGGATTTGGCAATTTGGAGAGTAGTTAGCCAATTATCTAGTCCACTCCCCCTTCGAGCAATCCCATGAGTACAGTTTTGTTTGCAAATGGGTAGAGGTAGGACAGGAAAGTTGCTAGCTGTTGACCTCTCCATATCACCTAGGCCACCCTATCCAGGTTGTGAACTGTGTACTCCAGATTTATTATGCATAATGCTTAAAACCTTTTTTATTTTTAAATTCAGAATGCTAAGTCTATCTGTGTTGTTACCTAGTGGTCTGTGGTGTCAGTCGGGTAGTCGTGAGAGTATCTTGTCAGGAGGCCTTGTCCTTGGTCTGTACGAGTTACTCTCGAGGGGTATTAACCCTAACCTAGGGGCTGTCGGGGGGGGAGTTGTGTTCTGTCTGGTAGTGCATATTACTTTAGTGCACTGGTGTGCCAGCGCCAACTCTGATAGGCTTTCAGCGCGTCGTATGGGTTCTTAGAGCGTCATAGTGACTAGTGAGATATCAACATAGCTTAAGTGGCAGAGGATGAAAAGGAATAGGAGAAAAAACTTTTAAAGAAAAGAAAATTTGCAATTTTTAGCCCTTGAGTGGGGCGGGGTAGGAGACTTCTCCCCCCACTCCCGTCATGTGGCGTGAGTGTCCATTCTCCGTGTCCTCGGGATAAACGGCTCGATCGTCTCCGGATCCCAGGCCGGGGTGGTGTTCTGGGTGTTCTTGGATGGCCGACCCAGTTTTGGTAGTAGTGCGGCAGCGTCGGGACCTGTAGCGATTCTGTACGTGTTTCCTTGATGTGTAACCAGGAGGTGGCGTGGGTTTCCCCACCGATATGGTATGCCCGCGGAGCGTAACTGGCTGGTGAAGTCGCTAAGGGTCCTTCGCCATTGGAGAGTGGCTCTGGTTAAGTCCTGGAAAAAAGTCAATTGAGACTCCTCGAAGTTGAGTGGCGTCTTGCCCTTGAGTGCCGACATTATGTGTCCCCTATCTTGGGGAAGGGTGCAGCGGACTATGACGTCTCCTGCAAGGGGAGTAGATGCTTTTGTCGGGGTGGGTAGTCGGTATATGCCGGCAATGGTGAGTTTCCTTGCCACCGCAGGGGGAAGTATAGCTTGCGTGAGCCGTCTCACATAGTGAGGTAGGTCCTCTTTGGAGACTGTGCCAGGGATTCCTCGGATTTTAATGTTGTTGCGTGTTTGTCTTCTTGGGCTGCTAGTTGTACCTCTAAGTTTTGTTGATTGTGTTGTAGTTGTAAGAGGGAGTCTTGCAGCGAGGTGATTTCTCTTTGAATCCCCTGCACTTCTCTCTCAGTGTGCACTACCTTTTCAGTGATTTGTTGCATGCTGGTTTTAAGGGTAGGTAGATCTGCAGCTAGTAGGCTTTGTATTTCCTGCAGCATGTTTTGCATATGCTGTAGGTCCTGTTTGGTGGCTGGGTCGGTGGTACCCTGCTGGGGTGTGGGTTGTAGCCATGTAACCCCGTGAGTGCTTTGCTCCCCTGAGGCAGACTCTTGTGGGGAGTCAGGGCCTTGTGCGGCCGCCATTTTGGCGGGTGTTTGCCTCTGAAGCATAATGCCTATATCAGGCTGATCTATAACTGTTGGTAGTTTCTGGGATCTGCGCCCCATCCCTGAGGTTCCTTGGTCGGAGCTGTGCCGAGATGTGTCCCACGCGTCATCTAGGAAGTCCCCGCCTGATAGGTAATCCAGGCCGTGGTGGGCTGATGGGAGGTAGGCCCGGGCTCGTAGTTTAGGCTTTGCCTGCTTCGGGGTGTACCTGAAGGGCATCGATCGATTCCGGGGGATCTCCCCCGTAATATGCCGGTGGTCGTGTGGCTGGATGGCAGGTTTGTGGGCTGATTTTCGCCAGATTAGGTCCGTGGATGTCGGAGCCCGCAGAAATGGCGTCTGGCCCGTCTCGCTTCCAGACTCCGCCCCCCCCGTCCTAATGTGTTTTACACCCCACCTCCTATAGAATGTAAGATCGATTGAGTAGGGTCCTCTTCAACCTGTTGTTCCCGTAAGCTTTTTGTAATTGTCCTACATATAGCTAAATCCCTCTCTCATAATATTGTAAAGCACTAAGGAATCTGTTGGCGCTTCATAAATGGCAATAATAATAATAATAATATATATATTTTAATAAAGCATGTGAATTACCATAAAAAAAATCTAAAATCCTATGGCGGCATCTAGTGGCTTAACTCTGTATTATACCTGTAATGGAGAGTATAGCTTCAAATTTCATGACAATAATCATTTCACTCATTAATAGGCATATAAGTCTATGTGGTTCCATATTTTGGAGATAATAGTACTGCATACATGTATTTCTAGTCATAATTAAAACAATTCAGAAACAGAGGGGACAGAGTTATATCCATGTGTCCAGTCTGGTGCCTCACCAACTTGAAGTTTCACAGGTAGCCACTGGTTAGTTAAGTAAATAGTGTGATTGCCATGCCTTCTGCCAACAGTTAATGGATTTCTAATGCAAACTATGCAGGTTGCTCAGGAAAAGAAAGGATACTCTCCATGTAATTTTCTCAGTTGCAAAAAAAGCATTCAAACATTGAGTAAAGCCCATTGTAATCTACTACAGATCAGAGCAGTAAGAAAATGTACAAACACAACTGTGTCCAACCAGTGTGCCAGAAGTTACAAATTATAGCCACATGTTAATCTTCATAGACCTACACTACTCAGCCCTGCTTTGTTTGCCACAAAACCCAGCATGCGTGACAATTGTCTTGTGTGCCCTAGCAATCCCTTTTTACAATGCACAGCACGAGTGCTACTTTGCCGCAGTGATCAAAACTAGCACCATTTTAACATTTAAAGTCTGCACTATATTTACACAAAACTGGAGCCAAATGTGCCCTTTGATGTAGCACACCAGTTCTGGAGTTGTATATTAATACAATTCTGAACAAATTATAAAAACAACAAACATCACTTTTAGTCAAAATAGTTTAAAATAAAAACATAACTGTCTTGGGGAATATTTTCAATGTGGCTAATTTAGCCTAAAATCAAATATTCACTTTGATTCCACAGAAACAAATATATATAAATAAATATAATAAAACACAAAACGAATTAAAATAAAAACAAATACAAAACAAAGACTTGCACATGTGTTTAGGCAGAAATTAATTACTTCTTTTCTATGGACCAAATCAATCTTTTTCTGTAGGTTTCAGTATGTCTGAAACGTAATGTTGAAACTTTAAATCTATATTATATTAAGGTATGAGCCATACTTTTCAGGTGGATTCAGCGAGGGTTCTGTATCTGACGTAGAACTGCCGATCAGCTCTAAAGCATTATCTGCAAGTGAAATCCACTCGGGAATTAACTGGTAGATATTCATCCAATCTGATGCTCTGATCCCATCAGGTGTCGTTGCTTTAAGAGCAGAAAGATGTGCGGTCCAATTTCCCAAACTACTACAACATGACATCAAGGCTCTCGAAACACCTGTTAAATTGGAAATAAAACCCAGAAATATATAAAGTAGGTTAGAAAACATACTGACACTCTTGAAAAAGTGTGAGGTGAGGGTCTCTTTCATGTATTTTATGCATTATGCCTTCTCTCTTTAAGTGCTTCTATAAATTAGAGATTTATTCTTACTATACTTTGTAATAAACCTCTTAAAGGGATATTACACTACAAATACCGTTTCTTGTAGTATATATGGGGATACAATGAGAAAACCATCTTACAATGGGAAAATTAAATACCTTCATATTTTGCTTTGCTAAATGTTCTGCAGTCAATGTTAGTGACCTTGTGGGTTATGAGAATAGTTGAAGTGTCAGAATGAGTTATAAAACTACAGAGTATATATTTTTTCATGTACCTCTTTATTTTTGGTTTGCGGTTTAGAACGGTTTGTCATTGGGTGGCCAATCTACAAGGGAACTGCAAATTGAGAAGCATTCATGTGGTATTTATTGGTTGTTCATTTAAAAATGATTATTTGATTATTAGTATAACAATGAGTTCACTTAGCACTGTGAAAGATATAAAAAGGTATAAACACGAGCACTGTCTATAGCAGGGGACAGGGTAGTCAACCTCTGGCACTCCAGATGTTATTCACCACATCTCCCAGAATGCTCTGAGAGCCATAATGGAAGCAAAGCATCAGGGGCGATGTACTCCACAACATGTGGAGTGCTGAAAGTTACTTACCCCATGTGTCTATTTTAAATAATTCTGAAGTTACAATAGTATCAAAATACAATATCTTTCAGATCAGTATATTACAAAAAAAATGCTCTGTCATCACTCACCATTTTCTCCCTCAACTCGTCTTCTGTACTGTTCACACAGTTCAGACACTCTGTTATTTACTTCTTCCATTGCTTTCTGTTCGGGAGCCTCCTTTCCATCAATGGTTCGATGTCTTTGGAGCAGTTTGTGTGCCAGATCAACCCAATGCTTCTGAATTTTTGCTGCTGTCTTCAACAACTCCTGATTGTTCAGTAGCAAAATCCCTTCAAACTGCTGTAGTTCTTCATTCAACATCTAGTTATTCAAAGGGAAACGTAAGTTGTGACTCTGTATCTCTATTTATTTTATTAAATGGAACTGTACAGGGGGAATCATGATTAATATTCTATCAAGTGAAACTCTCACTAGCGACATTTAGCTGCAGGCTGCATATCAAACTAAAACTTTGCTATAATAACAACAACAACAATACTAATGATATTATCAGAAGTATTGAAAGCATACCTCCCAACTTTTCATATCGACAAAGGGGGACACTTTAATTGTAGAGGGGTAAGCTGTTCTGAGAAATATTATGTGAGTATTAAAAACTATTTGTGCAATGGCAATATAATTTAGAAGAAGAACAATGTATCTTATTTACACAGCCTGATTTGTAAACACAATTATTGTAGTTTAAAGGGACACTATAGTCACCCAGACCACTTCAGCTCAATGAAGTGATCTGGGTGCCAGGTCCCTCAGGTTTTAACCCTTCAGATGCAAACACAGAAGTTTCAGAGAAACTGCTATGTTTACATTTGAGGTTAAGCCAACCTCTAGTGGCTGTCTTCCGGACAACCACTAGAGGCACATCTGCGACGCTGGAGGCATTAATAAATGCTTTCCTATGGACACTTTGAATGTGCGCGTGGCACTGCCGCGCATGCGCATTCGGCTCCGCTGACGTCAGATGGGGGAGCTGATGTCGGCAGGGGGAGGAGAGGTCACCAGCGCCGAGGGAACCCAGCGCTGGATTAAGGTAAGCTGCTGAAGAGGATTTAACCCCTTCTGCGCTACGGGAGGGGTTCCCTGAGGGTGGGGGCACCCTCAGGGCACTATAGTGTCAGGAAAACCGCTTTGTTTTCCTGACACTATAGTGATCCTTTAAAGACACATTAATGTGAGTATTATTGCTGTGGAGCTCTATTATAACTCCGACACACCAACAAAATGGAGCTCCTAGAAAAGAGGGATATTAAGATAGAGGGACAGAGGGATTTGGGCCCAAAATAAGGACTGTTCCTTCTAAATAAGGACAGCAGGGAGGTATGGAGGGGTATATTGTTACTTTTCTCCTGTTAATACGTACATCCCGTGGTATAGCGGTTCTTACTCAGCTCAAGGGTAATTGTTTAATTAACCTTAGATGGAGGAAAGGCTGCATTAACCTTGCTAAATTAAACCTGTGACCTTGTGCTACAGCAGTGTGAACTATCACAACATGAGCTTTTATAACATTGTTGTTTTTTTCATGAAACAAGTGTGAATGATATATTCTGTTTATCATATGGCTTGCTTCACTATCAAACTTTCATACCTTTTCCCAACTCTTCAAGTCCTGCAATATTGTCACAGTCATATCTTCAGGTATTTCATGGTATTGAAAGTCCACGCTGGGTAAATAAGAATTTAAACAAAATTAAATAGATACACTTACAAGGTCTATAAGACAATACATATTATATATATATGTGTATCATTATAGGCGTGCACAATGGAATCACTGGAAGTGTTAAGTCACACCCTATTGTGAGAGCAAATTGTGTTCCTTATGCCCCTATTTAGAAGCCCAGCAATTTTTATTTAAATATTATCTGGATTAAGAGGAGCGCAGCGTGATGACGTAGACGCACGCTGCGAGAAGCGGGGGATTTCGGCTGAGCGCGAAAACTAGCAGCAGAGCGGGAGCGGGAGATCGGAGGTGATTGGAGCTAAGAGAGTGAGTGACTAGGAGCAAGTAGCAGAAAGTGGCACCTTACGGCACACAGAAGGCGGAGAGTGAGCAGCTGGACTAAACTTCAAGCTAACGTTTTGGAGAATACTAGGAAAAATTCCAACACTGATCTAACAGCGGGCCGTTATATGAAGGGGAAACAAACGTGGTGAGCAAAGAAGTGCAGAGGCAGTGGAGTAGCTGCGATATTCTACCAGAGTCAAAATAACTGGGAGGATATCAAGTTCTGCATGTTGTCGGCTGCACGCTGTTTGCCTAACACAGTGAGTCCACATTTCAAACTGTACTTAAAGTTAAAATTAGGAGGCATAAAAAAGGGGGAAAGGAAAGAAAAAAGTTTTTTAAAAAAAAGTAATAAAAAATAACAAAGCAGCAAGTTGGTTTTGGCATTCTGCAGAAACGAGACAATCAAGAAAATACTGTAAAAAAAGGTCTGTATATTGTATATTGCACGCTGTTCTCTAATTACAGCAATAAGCAACAACGTCTGCTTGCTTAAAAAAAACTACACTCTATGCACCGCAAATATACTGCAAATAACCCACATAAAAGAAATTTAAAAAAAGAAAGACAAAGAGTCTGATATAAAATAAAGAAAAAAGGTCTACTAAACAGCTCTAAATCTACAATAACAGTGATTATCAGACACTTCTGAAAAATAAAGAAAGGTAACTAAACAGTGCAACAAATGGCTTCTAAAAAAAACCCCAATAATATAGTCTCTAAGAAAGAAAAGGGCGAAGAAAAATTTTCTCTCCACAAGCGAATAAAGCTTCAAAAGTTATAGATCTTAAAGAAACAGATGACTCCATGAATTTTGAAGTGAATCAAGAAGGTCATACCACAGTATATGAATTCATGGAAAGATGCTTTGAAAAAGCTTTACAAGAACTAAAATCAGAAATCAATAAGAGCACTTTGGAGTTAAAAGAAATTGGGGTCCTATCAGAAAAAATTAAAAACTTTAATAAAATATATCACGTTTTGATCTAGTGTCCATTCATCAGACGTCATTGTTGCAAGGATTTCTATAACGAACTCTACTATAGGGAAACATTTTCCATAAGTTGTGGTTGGTAGTTTTTTTTTTTTATTATTATTATTCAAGTCAGCTCCATACATAAACAAAAACATAAATATTTAAGTACAGTTGCTGGCAGCGCAACGAAAGAAAATACATAAATATTCATTAAAGAATAAAGGCACGTCAGGTTAATTATAATCCTTCTGTTGAGAAAGCTGCAGGGAATAGAGCTATTTATCTAAGTACTGTTGGAAGCATAGCACATCCCCACTAGTCTAGAAGAAATGTTAGGGATGTAGAATTCCATTAGAACAGTTTATCTGACACCAGGGTTTGTAGCTATGATTTTGCCCTCACTGCTGGTGTCTACCGTTCCTCCAAGATACCAGTTAATGCTCTTAAGGGGGCACATAGAATTCATGGGGTTTTTTTTTCACAGTTCGTTTCTCTTACACTTTGAACATATTCTCAGCATGGACAACCAAAGTGATAAATTGAAGGAGGGATTGGGGAAAAATATAGGAAACCCCATATAATGTGAAAATGTAAGTGACATGACTCACTCACTTTAAAACAGGTGTAGATTTTTCCTTTGGAAAAAAAATCTTGAAACAGGCTAAACACAGCAAGAGATTTTTACTATTTATAATTAACTATTTGCCTGCACTTCACCTGCTCCAGCCCTTGTGACAGTGATTTTAAATTTGCCAAGAATTTACCGAACCCTAATAACCATGGTTAGGTTTAACCCATTAAGGACACATGACGTGTGTGACATGTCATGATTCTCTTTTATTCCAGAAGTTTGGTCCTTAAGGGGTTAAAGGACCACTATAGGCACCCAGAATTCTTCAGCTCAATGAAGTGGTCTAGATGCCAGGTCCATCTATTGTTAACCCAGCAGCTGTAAATATAGCAGTTTCAGAGAAACTGCTATGTTTACAATAGGGTTAATCCAGCCTCTAATGGCTGTCTCATTGACAGCCGCTAGAGGCGCTTCCGCGCTTCTCACTGTGAAAATCACAGTGAGAAGATGCTGACGTCTATAGGAAAGCATTGAGAAATGCTTTCCTATGGACTGATTGAATGCGCACGTGGCTCTAGCCGTGCATGCGCATTCGGCGGATGACGTCAGAAGAGGGAGGAGAGTTCCCCAGTGCCAACGGAGCCCGGCGCTGGAGAAAGGTAAGAGTTTAACCCCTTCAGCCCGACGAGAGTGGGACCCTGAGGGTGGGGGGGGGACCTAAAGACCACATAGTGCCAGGAAAACGATTTTGTTTTCCTGGCACTATAGTGGTCTTTTAATAAGATATGGCTATATGGTGGAACTGAATCCCAATATTTGTTTGCTGAGATAGGAGATTTTAGGTAACCTTGTAAAATTGTGTGCTGTTCCTTAATCTGTATTTTGTATACATTTTGGTCTTTACGGTAGCACCACTTGTGAGAAATGCGTGTTCTGGGTGTGCCCCCAATTTCCCTTATTTTTCTATGTATTTTTGGAGTCCAAACCAGATTCCTTTTGGGTTGGGCACCCGCTCCCTGGATCAGAAGGCCTTTTAAAGGTTTTGGATAGGCATGTTGCTTTAATAATATTTTTTTATATAGAGCAGATATATGATATGCATTGTGAGTAAATACATAAAAGCACTATCACTTTAATTACATAGTTTTGAGACTGTATTTTTTTTACAGACCTACCGATATCAGGGTACTGTGACATAGTGGTTGGTTTAACACAATATGGCCATAGGATGGAACTGAATCCCCTGAGATAGAAGATTTTAATTTGTATATTTATCTGTGCGCTGTTCCTTAATCTGTACTAAGTATACAATTTAGAATTAACTTTGAATTGCCAAACAAGTCACACTGTAGTGAATAAGCCTAATAGACTTTGTTTCATATTATACAGATTAATATAGTTATTTGTATTATCTACTTTAAAGGATGCTATTGACTGTGTACAATTCTACAAATGTTGTCATTTTGGGGTACTTAAAGGGACACTATAGGCATCAAAACAACTTTAGCTTAATGAAGTAGTTTTACTGTATAGAGCTTGCACCTGTAGTCTAGGTGCTCAATTCTCTGCCATTCAGGAGTTAAATCACTTTTGTTTCTGTTTATGCAGCCCTAGCAACATATCTGCTGACCGTGACTGACTCAGCCTGCATGAAAATTTTTTTTTTACTTTCAATCAGATGTTAATTTGCTTTAAAGGTTTTATCTCCTGCTTTGTCAACTGGACTTTAATCATACACAGGAGGCTCATACAGGCTCTAAGAGGCTATTAACAGCAGGAGAGAAGAAATTCGACATTAAACAGAATGTTCAATAAAAGAAGTTTAAACATTAGATCTCACTTTAAAGGAAGTGTTTAAGAATGCTGTTCAAGTCACATGCAGGGAGGTGTGCCAAGGGATGTATAAACAAAATTGTTTAGCTCCTAAAAGGAGAGAATTGAGCAGTGAGACTATAGGAGTATGCACTATACCCCACAACTGCTTTATTAAGCTAAAGCTGTTTTGGTGCCTATAGTGTTAGTTTAAAATAAAAATGTGCATGTTCACACACTGAGTTTGAGTACTAAAAAGCAAAAGAATTAAAAAAAAAAGAAAAACTCAAATTACAAGATGTTCTGTTGGAAATAGCTCAGTCTCTTCTCCAGGTCACTACGAATGCTCCTCAGTTTCTCCTTGCATGACTCTTCATTGCGCTGGATCTCCTGATCAAAACGTGCCATTTGTTCTCTCCAAGACTCTGTTGTTTCTTGAATTTTGGACAGGTCATCTGTGTCCTATGGAGTGACAAATTAGATCTAAATGGCAGAAAGATGTGTAGTAAACTAGATGTAACTAGACAAAAAATTATTCTACCTATATTATACGGCATTCACTTTTATAAAATTAAACTATACATATAAATAATAAAGAATTACTGATAAAAAATATTAAACAAACATAAAACTAGATGTAATGCATTTTTCAAGTTCTAAAGATGAATGTAAAGGCATTCAGGATCTATATGATTCACTTTAAAGACCAAATATATTTTTACATTGTTAGAAAGCCATAACTATCTTTCTTAAACAAATGGACATCTATTATCACAGGATAAATATATGAATGAAGTATAATTTCTCTATATTTTAAGAAACAAAAGGCGGGTGATTTATCACAGCTGATCAGGTTCACACTGAGCTAAAAATATTGCAGTACATTTCTGACAGAAAATGATCCTTTCTAGAAGAAGTAAGATGTTCTGCCCTGATAAATATGCATTCAATGCCTTTTTATCTAGGTTTGCAGCCTGCAGATGAATACATTAAAAGCATGTAGGTTTAGAGACACATAACCAATGCATTGGACTTTAAAATTCAGATTCTGTTAAAGTGGATCAGTGCCAGATGGTTGGGCAACTCATGTTCAACCAGCTGGTGCCAAAAGAGCTAAACACAAAGTAGAAATGCTGGATGTGTGTGTATTAACATACATTTGATGCCAGAAGCACAATGAAATGCCTGATGACCTTTGTCCACATCTTCTCACTTGTGTACATCCTGCGACACAGCATTAGCTGATTCTCTTCAATTACCTACATGGTACAAAAAAAATAGATTTATATGCTTCTCTGCCATGTTAAAACATTTTTAGCAGAGATGCACATAATAAAATAATATGTAATTCCATCTTAATCTGTCTAAATGTAGAAAGCAAAGACAGGCTGCGAGCACTGGGAAGGTCTGGATCTCAGACTATCACTGCCATCCAAATTTCAATGCATTTGTACAACAGCAACATAGCGACTAGCCTTTGTGTTCTGAGATGGCTTAAAAGCAGTTTTAAACACACATGAGTTACTTCACCCACCCAAAGACATCTTGCACTGCAATGAGTTTTCCTTTATGCGGAAAATATTTTAGTTTCCCCTGCACGCCCCCGAGTTGTTCTTTATCATTAAACGTCATCTATGTTTTGTTTTTTTTTGTTGTTTTTTTTTTTAAAAAAGCTTGTGTGAAAAAAATAAATTACGGATAACAGAAATCTAAGTTCAAACCAAAAGACTGAATCTTTATATGTAGGTAGCAAATGTATACAAATCATTATATTTTATGCATATTTTGTATTAACTACAGCAACTACAATAACATGGTTATTGAAAATACAGCTCAGATGACCAAGATGCACATGATGCCAGGATAGCAACATAGCTGTCGATAACCTTCAACCTTTGATGTTAACAAAAATCATCTTTTTTTTTGTCATTGACCGAGAAGAGTTATTAACTAAGAATTTTTTAGCCTGATTTTACATCGTTAACAATGTCTTCCTTTGGCTACATTAACGGCAGAAACACATGTTTGGATTGTGATTATGTTGAAAACAAACATGCAATACTGATCTATGGTCAGAAACCGTTATCATATGAGAACAAGCTGGAGCTTGTGATCAATGCCATGTTGACAAATACTGCTTATGTCTAAAATTACCTTCCTTGCCAGTCTGTATGTAGCAGAACTCCAGAGATCCCTCTCCTCAGTCAGATGAGCGATATGCTTCTCTAGACGACCTCTCTGTAACTCATACAGATCTCGGTACTCTTCTAAAAGACTGAACAAAGCCACCACTGATTTACTTAAAATTTAATCATTACATTAATTTTTAACACATTTGTATATACTTCGTTCTCTTCCCATCCCATACTTCCCAGCGTTCACCTAAGCTCACGTTTTGTCATTTGCTGCTCATACCGGTATTTGGTTCTTTTAAATCTTTGTAATTTTGTTTTTGATGGGTTTAGGTCTTAAGAGACATGATGGTATGGGGGGAGTATGATGAATGCAATAGATGCAACAATAATAACAGATACATTTCAACCTACTATAAAAAATATCACTTGTTTAAAATAAATTAAGTAAACACTCCAGGAATCATAACCAATTCAGCTCTACGAAGTGGTTATGTTGCCTGCAGTCCTCTGTCAACTTTTTAATGTTTTTGGCTGATACCTTCACCGGCCACCTATCGCAAGTAAACGTATTTACATTTTTACCCTTCACTTGTGATGGGCTAATGCTATCAGCCTATCACAGCTGCCCCTTTTCTGCTTTATTTGATACTTCTGTATTAGTCTCAGAACTGCAGGAGAGGCCAGGGTCACTTCCTAGTGTTAAACTATTTAAAAAGAGTCGAACACAAGAAGGTGATATGGTGCCAGGAGACTGAAGGCACCATAACAACCTCATTACGATGATGTGGCTGTGGTGCCTTGAGAGTTCCTTCAATATCTGGGTGCTGCCATTCTTTCTTCTAGGTGTGTGATGTCCCATGGTTGATTTGCCCCTCTTTAAGTGTGCACTTTACTTCTTATGCACGCAGACAGATTGGCAAACAACACCTCCTCTACCTGGCCACTACACAGCACAAAAGAAGAGGGAAATAATGAGCGGTCAGCCAAGTCAGAGGCAAGTAAGGCCATCAGTCAAAGACATTTGGCTGACAGATTCGTGGTAAATTATTTTGTCAACTTTAATGTAAGTTTGTTTAAGCTCCTCTAATTGCAAAATAAAACCCCAAAATCTACATAAAAACCTGCTTTAAAAATACTAGGTTTTCACATTCTGAAAAATATTATATAATATCTATCTATAACCTGATCTTGTGTGTTTTTTTTCTTACAGGTCCATGAGTAATATAAGAAAATTCCTGAATTTCACCAATTACTGAGTCCTGGTTTCACATCATAGTGAGACCTAATGATGGTTAAAATAACTAATGTCACGCGATCATGCTTACTTTGCATTCTTCTTTGCCTCCTTTAGAGCTTTAGCCAGTTCCGTCTGAGCTTGTTCTGCATCTTTGCTCACTCGCAGATCATGTTCTCTTACTTGATTTAACTCACTAGAGAAAAGAACAGTATTCTATTGATTATTTCATTCTCGTCAACTTTCTCAAGACTTATTAGCACAGACACCAAAATGAGATTTCTCTTTGACGCAAGTCTAACACGTTTCTACCGTGAGACTTCACATGTTGGTATCTTGATATCCTTTCAAGAAGAATGGTACATGAATACTGAAATTATGTCATCTCTACAACTCAACAGCTAGAACAGGACACTCTTAAACCTACTAAGATTCATAATCCAATCTCTACTATAACACATTTGCCCTCTACTTGTGCTTTTTTATTTTAAAAACTGGTATTGCTCTGTTAAAGAATCATAAATGTCTTGACACAAAATTAGTTAAAATAAAAACATAAGAAAAGGGTCCAATAATTATATTTTTATTGATCAACACTCCAATTTATTGGGTAACAGGCTTGACAAAGACCTCTGCTCGGTTTGCAATATTGCTCTAGTGTGTGCTGTTAGCGAATAAATTGGAATGCTGATAACTGAAAAAGAGTGCTGGACCTGCTTCTTATGTTTTGGCAACACTAGCGTTAATGCCGCACCCTCTGTCAGAAGAAAACACAGTGCAGTAACAAATATTTATGTAAACGTTAGAAATAGGGTTCTAAGTACTGGCAAAACTCCTAACTCAGCTGCTAGGCCATTTCACGCCCATATACTGAAGCTTTTTTTAAGGTTTAAGGCTTTTGTACTCACTTTGAACTTTAATTTAAACACCATAGTCAGTACTTTTTCTAAGAGTTGTCCTACCAAATCATGGAGGGATGGGTTGAAAAAAAAATCACATACATTTAGCAAATAACTTAAATTTGCAAAAAAAAAAAAATCCAAATATTGAGAAAAAATAGATCTTATAAAATACAAAATATTTTTTTGGTACAATTTTGTACAGTGTACATGAAGAACAACAACATGGAAATCATTACTTTATAAATATTTAAAAATACAGGCTATTTTTCACATCTACCTGTACAGATTCTTAAAAAAGCAAAATGCAGGATTATTTTCTGTTTTCCAATGTATTATTTACTTATTATTGTTACTGTGTACGGTCTTGTAGTCTTATGCAGAAGGAGTTTTACTGCATAGGAATACAATTTTTAGCCAAAAAAACATTTAATATACTTTAAACGGAACAAAATTCTGTTTTCATAGTTGGTGATATTATTCATAATAAAATATTTGGTATCCAGCTGTCCTTCTGCGGGACTCACACTGGTCCCCAATGATACACATTTGGGTGACCCCCTCCTGGAAAGCTCTAGTGGACAACAGTTTTTTTTCCTTTTTATTGTTTCTTACTCTTTTATGGTATCTGAGCTTCTCACTTTTCTTTATGTTAATCACCTCTTGATATGCCTAGCTCTGATCATATGACTGCTAATGCTGACCTGATGTATATTTTGGTTGTGTATTTATGTTGCATATCACAGGTTATATATTGAACCCATGTGACCTCCAAGTTTCCTCAAGTGTTTAGCTCTTTGTGCTGGGTTGGGGTGGCGGGGGACACCTGAGGGGCGGCTTGTGTGCCAAAGTGTGTGTGTGTATATATATATATATATATATATATATATATATATATATATATATATTTAGTTTTTTTCTCTTTGCTTCTGAGCCTTTCCTTGGTGTGCTCCTACCACCCTCCTCTGCCTTTGTGCATTTTTAATTGTCATAGTATCGTGTTTTTCTATTTGGCTTTTAGTAGCTAGTTTTCAGCCTGCGTGCCCACGCCTCCTCCCGCTTCCACCCTCCCTCTAAGGATTGGGTGCTACAGTTTGGAGACAGACCACTGGCATCCACCTGGTGCAGTTGTAGGGCTAATACTTGCCAGGCTCCCCATCTTCGAGGTACATGATTTATGTAAATACTATCTGTTTAGTGTTCTTACATTTTCATTTTTATTGCCTCACTGAACGGCACTATTTTAGATACAGAGACATCCCAGTCTCAGGCTATACGACTAGCATTTGGATTAACCGGATAGATCCCATATATTGGTGTCTGTCTGGGTACTCCTTCCCAGCTGCCTCTGTACAGACAGCCAATATGCCACCTTCGCGGACATTTGTATGAGCTCCCCTCATTCTTTTGTCTGTCAATGCAAAAGGTCTTAACGCCCCCCCAAAAAAGATCTCATGTCCTTAGGAAGTTTTATAAGCATAGGGCTCACATTGTCTACATTCGGGAATAGAACTTTAAAGAGGGACATTCCCCCATACTGAACAATCACCATGTCAAACACAGTAATAATCCTGTAGGGAAGTATACGGGCATGGCTATCCTACTTCACAAATCTCTCTAGTTCTGGCAACTCTGGAGGGTCAATATATTTTTGTGAATGGCATGATTGTATATAACCTATATATGTTGGCAAACATACATCTTCCCAGTCAGAGTCAGGATATAGCCCTCAAAAAAGTGCTTAAGTTGCTAGTGCAATTCATGGAGGGCTGCCTGATTCTGGGTGGGGACTTTAATGGAACCAACAAGAAATACCTCAAAGGGAGTCTCTGCTGTTCCACTGCACATTCTGTAGAGCATACACACATACAGGGGTTCTGAGAATCTAACTTTCCCTAATGTGCTGAGAATCCTAAAAGTGATCTATGTTCGGCAAGGGCAACCAAACTGATACTGCATACCAGCTGTTGCAAGTGAAAACTATTTCAGCCAAAATAAATTGCTGCATCTGGAACCCCTTGCAATAATAAAAAGAAAATGATGCAGCATGAAAGATTGCTTGAGATGAAACGCATGCTGTTGATTACACATTGCACCTGAGAGCCCATGGAAAGCTTCAGCAACCTCAAGAATATTTGTAATTATTAATGTCTTAGAGATATTTTCAAACACTGGTGATTTACTGAAATGATTTGATGGATGATAAAATTCAAATTATACTATCTGCTGGTTTCTGAACAGTGACAGGGTTATTTACTAAAGTCAGAATTTAAAGGGACACTGTAGGCCCCCAGACCACTTCAGCTCATTGAAGTAGTCTGGGTGCAATGTCCCATGTCCCTTAACCCTACAGTGGTAATTATTGCAGTTTCTGAGAACAAGATTTACTCCTCCTCTAGTGGCTGTCTACCAGACCGCCACTAGAGGGACTTCCGGAATGCAAACGGACCTTTGGTCCGTTATCTGACCTTGGACGTCCTCACGCTATGCATGAGGACCTTCAGCATCAATTTTTTTCCCCATAGGAAAGAATTAAATAATGCTTTCCTATGGGGAGATACTAATGCGAGCGCGGCCATCGCCTCGCATGCGCACTAGGTCTACCCTGCCGGCTGACATTGGTGTGGGAGGAGCGTGGGCGGAGCCTGACCCAACGTCGAGGGACATCGGCGCTTAATTCAGGTAAGTGACTGAAGGGGCTTTAACCCCTTCAGCCGTGCAGGAGGGGGGCACTGTAGGATCCTACAGTGCCAGGAAAACAGGTTTGTTTTCCTGGCACTATAAAATCCCTTTAAAGTGAAGTCAAAGTGAAATTCAAGAGTACTAACTCTCACATTAAATTTTAAATTTATTTAGTTTTCACCTTAAATTCTCAGAAATAATAAGAGAACTATAGGGGAGACTAGGAGAAGATAAATTGTCCACACTTCTCAAGTCTTCCCTCTAAAGAAAGGGGGAGAGCAACCCTTTGTAGAAGTTTAAAACTTCACTTTTAATAGATTATTTAAAATACCCAAAACAGGGATGTTCAAAAAGTTATTATAATAATTGTCAAAATAAAGCTTGCATACTGATTCACAATATTTGTATGCAGGTATAAGAGATAAACACTATAGCTAAGGGTGGAAAGCAAAACAAAGAGAAATGGAAATGAATGTAAAGGTAGGGATCTGTGTATCTATTAGTGGGAATGGGAGAGCCCGGTGCAAGTCCACCAATCCTAACCAGTTAGTGCCCTATCGTGCCTCTGAGGGCATCCCTTAACAAAAATCTTAGGCTCAAACTTTCTCCCACATGCCCCCTGAGGGACTTCCAAATAAAAAAAGGAGAGTCTTGCTTTCAAACACCCTCAGTGACACATGGCTAATAATAAGACAAAGAAAAATAAAATAGAACAAAGTAAGTATCATGGTGAGGTGGCTGGTCTAATCTGATGGAGGTACCAGTATAATATCCCTAATATAATTGCCAAAACCTCTACCAATGATTCCCACCTTAAATTCTCACTTTAGTGAATAACCCTGTGATATATTACATTCTCTATGTTTTAGGGCTGAGGGATGGAAGGCTGGAGAGTAAAAACACCAAGCTTATATTACAAAGCTAATTATCATTTGCATTTACACACAGCCAATGTATTCTGCGTCCATTTACCAATTTAGTCTAATAATTTAAAAATTTTGTATTTATAGTGGCTTTGTAAGTCCATGTCTTATCTCCTGCTCTGTTAATAGCTTGTTGGGCCTTGCATGAGCCCCCTGTATGCAATTAAAGTTCAATTTACAGAGCAGGAGATAAAACTTTTAAAGTAAGTTACTACTTACTTAAAATTGCCATTTTGTTTTCATGCAGGCTGTGTCAGTCACAGCTAGGGCTGCATTAACAGAAACAAAAGTGATTTAACACCCAAATGGCAGAGAATTGTGCAGGGAGACTTCAGAGGCATGATGTATACACCAAAACTGCTTAATTTCGCTAAAGTTGTTTTTGGTGACTATAGTGTCCCTTTAAATCTGTGTCCACTGCATGGTTCATTTGATTTGTTATATAACTTCAGTTTGTTAAGCTCAATACTAACTTGGTAAGTTCCCCAATGGAGTTCTTGAAATGAAGAATTTCATCTGTCAGGCATCGGTCTAGTGCACGCTGAGCTAAAAGGTCTTCGTGCAAACTCATCACCTGTTGTGGAATTTTATTCAGCAACATGGCATATCTTTGCCTATAACAAAAAATATACATATAAATCATTCTGAAACTTGGATTGTTCAACTTCCATAGTGTGAGGTTAGAGCTGTATAATTTTATGAAATAAAATAGAATTACACACACACATAAATTAAAGAAAACACTATAAACACAAAAATGTATTCCTCTATTCCTAATACTATAGTACTATAGGAAGCCTCCACCCCCTCTGTAAAGCATTAAAAAAAATACTTTTTTTCACTCACCTCTTCCAGCTCCTATGTCCTTAGCTGCTGGGTCAGGCTTCTTAGCCGCCTTCCCCATAAGAAGTATTGACTTAATGCTTTCCTATGGTGTTTTTTAACACCCTGGATGTCCTTAATGCAAAGAGTGAGGATGTCCAGCATTGTTTCACGGAGTCAAACTCCATGAAACTGCAGGAAATGCCTCTAGTGGCTGTCTGGTGGTGTTGACAAATGACAGATTTTAGTGCAATAAAGCACTTCAGCAAACTGGAGTGATTATTTAATAAATGACAAGGTTAGAAGCAGGTATTCAGCTCAGTGAGAAGTTTTTGAATGCGAAAGGATCTGATAGAGTAATCTATGTTATCACCCAAAAAAAGTGGAATTGTGAGAGCAGGGCTATTCACTGAAGTGAGACTTGCCAGGAATTCAAAGTGAATTTAAAAATTTAGGCCAATATAGCTGAATTACAAAAATTCTCCAAGTCGATTCTGTATTCAGTATGGCTATTTTGGCCTTAAATTAAAAAAATCCCTTTGAATTCCCATCAATTTTCACTTTATTGGATAACATGAAACTGAGAGTGTCTTGAACGAAGCATGGAAAGTTACAGGAGCAAAAATATTTTTTGCATTAGCAAAAGGGACATACTTGACAAGCATATGTGATATGACTCTACTGTACATATTGTAAAACTATTAATATGATTCACATAGTTGTTGCCATCCATTTGTAGGATGCTTTTCATGTTGAGCATACAGAGATTACATCTTTGATCTTCTTATGACAGTACAAACCTGATCTTAGCAAGCAGCTGCCCTCTCTCCGCACACTCCACACTGACTTGACGGATGAGCTCGTGAAACACAATGTTGTATATATTTTGCTCGGTCTTCAGTAATTCTAGTAAATTGTGTATCTAAACATAGATTAAAACATATTCCTTTACCTAGTTAAATCAACAATGTAATAGGAGGAAACATTATTGTTAATATTTTTGAGCCATTCTAAGTTTTGTGTAACAGTGTCATTTACTGTACATAGTTTAGTCAACCAGGTCATCCCCTAAGTTCCAGTATTACAATCTCACCTGAGTCGGTCCGTCCATCTTCAGGTCTTCTTCATCTACTCCTGCTTCTTTCAGCATGCTGTCCATCACCTTCATTAGTTGAAGAACCTCTAACCTTCCACTGGGTTTCCTGTTCAATGCATGGCAGAATTAAGCACAACACAACCTAAGAGACCACTTAGGGCCCAGGGGTTAGACAGGCCTAGACACAATGAAGATACTTGGTCCAGCTTGTCTCCATTCATCATCCCTATACTAAGAGTTAAGTGGGACCCAAACTAGAAACTTGCTAAGGACACTGTGGGACCTTAATCCTTCTCTGTAAAGTGAAACTAAACAATATATAACAATTTGAAACTAAAATAAGGCCAGTTGCTATCAATTGAACATGTTATGCAAAATTAGTTTAAACTTACATGGATGGGAACACTCGCAATCTTTTTTCGTCATCTTCTAAAAGGGTTGTATACTTGCTGGATAGGGAGAACAAAAAAAATGATTTAAGAGTAAAGGTGTTCCTTAGGGTGTACAGAAACACACATTAACAGAACTGTAAACAGGACAGATGAAATTCACTGCACCTCAAGGAAAGGAACATTACCTAGAACAATGGAAATGGTTATTCACTGTAAAATATGGAAGTTTCTCCCTAGAGAGGTTGTTTTATTGGATTCCGTTGTTGTTTTTTTTGGTTAAGTAGAACATTTAGAGCTCTAATAATTAATGTTGACATTATTAAGAATTTGTGTCTCCAAAGAGAAATGTTATGGCTTTTTAGTAGTCAATAAAGATTTTCGGCTTCGTTGTACTATTGAAAAGTACTCCAAGATCTGATTTTTATATTTTGAATCACCCGTAGATAAAGGGTAGAAGGATGAACTTGATAGTTTTTCATCAACCCCACATTACTAGTACCAGAATCAAAATTAAAATAGAGTTAAATAGTACTATGTAACATATGACTAAAATATCACAGATGAACAGTTTTGGTTAGAGAAAAAAATAAATGCTACTATTTGAAACTAAATGGGAGAATGAGAAAAAACTATAATGGCAATTCTCATGTAAGAAAGTCAGGATTGCATGTTTATTATTTGTTATATATTTGAAAAAGTGCTTTTGCCCAAAATGTTTGTACTACATTTGTTTTCTCTGCATTCATTACATGTTAAGGTGGACGTAACACCATGGCAGTAACCCCTTGCACATGTGTCTTTTCTTTATACTATGCTCTAAGCCAGGCTTTCACAAACTCCGCCCTCCAGATGTTTTTGAACTACAACTCCCATGATTCTATGAATGAAATAGATAGGCTGAAAATCATGGGGGTTGTAGTTCAGCAACATCTGGAGGGCCGGAGTTTGGGGAAGCCTGCTCTAAGCTCTTTGTACGACTGGGAGTAGCAAAACAGTATTTTTGGCTATTTGGCAGCACTGGGTGGTGAATTGTCAAAATATTTTTCAGGTACTGCAGATACCTAGTCCACTTTATCTAATATTCTTTTGCATACATTATAGATTAGAGTGAGCAATATATTGCCCATTCTATCCTCACTGAGTGATGTAGCTACAATATGGCCACATGCACATACCTTCCTAGCAAACACATAATCCTTCCATGAAATGAATTCTCTTTACTTGGAACCACATACTTAAAATGGTTTGAAAACACAAATGTATTAATCATGATTCATTTATGCCTGACTTGCGAAATAGGTTTCACCTTAAAATTATGTGAACAGTTAACTAAAAGTCTATACTTACTCTTCATAGTACTCCAATCCTAGGACACCTTTGTTCTTAACAATATAGAATTCCTCTGGGATAAGACTGTCTTCCATGCTCACTCCCTGTGGAGATAATTACTCTGGATTACAAAAAACATCTGTAGCGCAGATGAATAAAAAAAAAAAAAAAGTACTATATCTTGTACAATGTTATGGTTATACAATATTCTAAGCGGAGGAATTATTAAATTGTAGACCAGTGGTTCTTAACGCCTGGATTGGGATCAAAAGCTCAGTCTGCATTATCCTTTTTTGAGTCCCAACTGGTTGGAAAAATATATTAATTCATGTCCCGCAATGAGTTATTTACCATAGAAAACTTTCCTAATGAGACAATCTACTTAACACAGATAGAGTGACAGCACTCTGGGACCCAGGGGCACAAGTCCTCTCAATTACCCTTCTCCTTCTTGCTGTCCCCGACTTACCTTCTTTTGTATCTTTTCTCCAGTACTACCTTCTGCCCATTGTTTGCGGTCTCATAACAGTATTTTGTGTGGCCATAAGACTGCCCTCTCTTTCAGCTCTATAAATCCATTCTCCCCTTTTTTTCTGACTCCCTTTCTAACTAGTCACATTTTTGATGGAGGTCTCTTACCCCTTCTCTATTTTTATATGGCTTTCAACCTACTTTTTTATTTTTTGATTGCTCCATACTGCCCTGTTTGGTGGCTTCATTAATGGTTTTATGGGTTTATAGTGTATACTAAAATGAATGACAGGATGTAACAAGCTGAAGCAAGTATTAATCAACTACTGCCTGAAGGAACTTGTGCCCATAGTTGGCATCTTCAGAGTCAAGAATGTCAAGTTTGTAATGTTTTGCAAACGTTTGCAAGGAATTCCTTTTTACAGCAGCACAAAACTGTCCCAGTCAACTAATTACCAGCCAGTGGGGTTCGGGATTCTGTTTACTGGGCAAAAGGGCATTATTACTCCACTCTCCTGCCTCCCCCATTCCCACTCTTCTCTACTCTCAAGAGCACCCGAAGCTAATAACGTCCCCCTTATGTCGGTCAACTGGCTGTGCGGACCTCCAATGGTCGTAATGCCCCCCACAAGATCTCTTTGTAGCGTGGTCCCTTGCAGAAAAGACAAATTATAAGTTATCTTTATAGGCATGCCACAGTTCCCATATCTTATTAAACGAGGAAAGGGTGTTATGTATTGTTGCACTTAATTAGTCCATTAAGTGAGTGTCTTCTATCTTGGTCCTACTCTCTCCAAGAGATGGAGGGGACGTTTGCAGCCAGTGAGCTGCTAAAACTCGACTTGCTGCCATTACATAATTTCTGTTCATGGTAGGTCATGCCTTCCTGGGGTTTCGATAGTAGGAATAGCCAGGGGTCCAGCTCGAACGGCTTGTGGAAGACCTCCCTAAGTAAAGATCTGTTGTCCCCCCAGAACTGCATCAGGACAGGGCAAAACCACCACATATGGGGATAAGTTCCCCTCATTTCGCACATCCGCAAGCATCAATGGGTCAAGCGCCCATCCTACACAACTGCACCGGGGTGGTGTGCAATCTGAAGAGGATACATTTGTTCTTGCGAGAGCACACACTGAGACCTTTGCTGCTGCCTCCCACATATCCTGCCACTCATCTCCCTCAATCTCCCTTCCCAGGTCTAAGCAGTCGAGCATATGTCGGTGTAAATGTCTGTAAAGAGCCCCCTCCTATACCTTCCCTGATGGCACAGAGTCTCAAAGACAGTGGGTGTATTGCCCTTGACCCAGTGACCTCCTCCTGGTGGGCAAAGTCTCTAATTTGGATATAGCAGAAGTAGTAGTGATTGCTAAGTCTGGCCCTCTGTTTCAGTGTGTTAAAAGTCACTAGCTTATCCCCATCCCATAAGTCAATATACTTCTACAGACCCACGTCTTCCAAGTTCCCAAAACCCTGAGGGGTCATTCCTGGGGACAGTTTCTGTTCCCCAATAACGGGGTCAGGGGGGAGGCGTTGGAGCTGGAGCTTGTCCCATATGGATAGGGATGTAACTATGCCCAGGCATTTGGTTCTCAAGAGTGCACGTTGGGACTTGTCGAGTCACATATAGAACATGGATAGATCTGAACCCATAATCTGCTCGGGATCCACCCACCGTCTCTCCCCTGGATCTGCATGCCACAAGTTGGGCTGCATAATAATACAGTAGGAGATTTGGCAGTTCCAGTCCCCCTCTCGTTTTTGGCCTGTATAGAATATTCCAAGCCAATCTGTGTCTTTTGTTATCCCATATGAAGGAATCTATGTATAAATGCATCGTATCTAGTTCTGCTTTGGTTAGCGGTATGGGAAGCACTTAAAACAGAAAAAGGAGTCTCGGAAGCACATTCATTTTACTGCTATGGATGCGGCCTATCCATGAGATCGGTCTGGATCCCCAGGTCTCTCTTGATAGTGTGAAACAGGGTTTGACTTTATGGAGGGTCCGACAACTCTTCGTGACCATGATGCCCAGGTACTTAATTGAGTCAGGCTTAAGTGTATTGTGGATCTAACTGTCTATGCATTGGTGGCTGACAAGTGCATAGACAAGGCGCTTGATTTGGTCAAATTGACCTTATAGCCAGATACTTGGCTATATTCCCCTATCAGGTCGGACAGAGATGGCAAAGACTCGAGCGGGTCCGAAACCGTCGGTATAACATCTTCGGGACAGGCCCCTACCTTATATTCTTCTCCCCCAACCCTCAAGGGCCTCTCTTATTCGCTGCAAAAATGGTTTCAACACCAAGGTGAACAAGAGGGAGATAGGGGGCACCCCTGTCTGGTACCATTACCTATGTGAAAGGTGTCACTGCCGTCACCCGGTAGCACCACCTGTGCCCGTATAGAAGATCCGCACGGCATTTACAAACAAGGCAGAAATACCCTAATGCTCCAAGAGAGAAAACAGGTACGGCCACTCAATCCTGTCGAACGCCTTCTCCGCGTCCAGGGATAGAAGCAGAGAAGGTGCCAGAGACTGTTCCATGTGTAGACACTCAGCTGGCTCAGGTAACCTGAACCGACCACATAATGAGGGTCATTTGCATTGCAGAGATGAGAGGTGGCTCGACAATGAACGGGGCCCAAACTGCACAGCTTTATTCTATTCAAGGTTGCTTTATATTAATGTGTTGTACGAGGTCTAGAAAACTTCCCTGTTGTTTTCGCTGTCCTGCGTCTCCATTTCCCTATGCTCTGAGGTTTAGAAATCTGCCAGGGGTTACGTCAAACCAGGGGCCGTGGACAAAGCCAGCGTCCCAACTTGGCCGTGGAGCAATAATGAAAGCAGGCGATAACGTCACAGGGGGAAGACTGCCCAGGGCTCCCCTCGCCCTCAGCGCCCGGTGAGCGCTCTCCACGGCCCACTTGTCTTCCGTGATGTCATGTAACAAGGGCCGGAAAATTTGGATCAGCAGCCTGGAAAGACTCGCCTCACTTGATGCCTCGGGTAAGCCTCTGACCCACACATTAAATATTCTGGATCTCTTGGAGAGTTCCTCCAGCAGCCCCTACACAGCTTGCAGCCGAGCCTGGAGGGGATTTTTTATGCTCGAAAGAGCTGGAGCAGGAGGCGCAATGATAGTCGCCAGGCTAGGGTATTCCTGGTTTAGTCCAGGAACAATTGCAGGGTAGCAACCTAAAACAGCAATGGGCTCTTCTCCATTATGGCTGACATAAGTAAGGCCTGGTCCTGTAGAGACTGGAATCTAATTATTACATCCTGTGTGGCCATCGGTGGCGCAATCCCCGGCTTAGAGAGACAGAACATGACGTCCAATTTTATAGCCCTGGCCTGTTTAGGAAGCAGGGTCTTCTGATAAAGTGCGGTAAATCCATGTGGCTCAAGGCCTCCGGTACTCCCCTAATCTTGAGGTTATATCGCCTCCACTGGTCTTCCAGGGCATCCACCCTGTCCTCCGTAGTTTTCTGCTGCCGGTACAGCTCCCCCATCTCGGCAAGTATAGTGTTCTGTTTGCTGTGGAAGGCCTCCAGGACAGCAATCTGTGCATGCGCACAATCAACCGCTTTCTGGAATTGGGCCGTATCGATTGCTTTGTTAGCTCGGAGCTCTGCCAACATCGTCTTTAGTAGGGATGTGGTAACTGGTTCTCTATCCTCCGTCGGAGGAAGCCGGGGTCCCGTCTGCATTCTGTGGGGAATCACCTCTCCCAAATCCAGGAAATTTTCTGAGGAGCACGAGGATCCCTCATCGAGGTGCACCATGTTGTCCCATGTGGCCCTCTGGGAGTTGCGGAACAATTCGCTGATATCCTGGGTTGGCAGACCCTTATCCTATTTTGGGTTTTTATTTTTCCCCAAGTACTTTCTTTCTTTGGTTTTGCAGGTTTTTCTCTCTTAGAAACAGCTTTGTTAGGGTGTCCTTCACAGAGCTCAGGGAAGACGCAGCCATTCAGGTCAACAGCTAAGCTCTGCCCCCGTCATCTGCATTTAAGGAGGAGTCTGTGTCCTCTCCAGCAGTTGGTACATGCGACACAACTCGCTCCCACCAACGATCCCTGGTTTATCAGTGTCCTGTGGTCTAAATGTTGTCTCACTAAGGTGCTAAGCTCAAATCGGCCCTGGGCCAGCAATAGAATTTTTTACATTTTTTTTTTTTAGACATTTTGTGGAAGATGCTTATTTTAACCAGTCGCCCAAGTAAGTAATTACTTGCATCATTACCTTCCCAACAACTCATCCAAATAGCGCAGTGATTGATGGTTGGTGGACCAACCGATACCTGATCAAAGTTTCACCAGATCGTGGCAGAGTTCCGATACAGTGAAGAGTTCCAGAACACTTTAGGGGATCTCCTGAATAGGCACTCGATGGGCAAGGAGGGTCTTGGTGATCCCCAGATGTTCCTATTTCTGACTGGGAGGAAGAATATGCGTCCAGAGACCCATATCGGCTCCCACAATGGCAATAGTCATTTTTGTCCATGATGGAACCGGGTTCAGTGACAACAGCTATGTCTTTTCTTCTAAGAATAGATGTGTTGACAATCAGAACTTTCATAAGTTCATAAGGTCTTGAATTGGAGGTGTTCTTCTTTTCTCTGAAAATGAAAGGCAAATTGTAGGGGAAGTTCATTCCAAAGCTGTAGCTCAACCAGGCCAATTCCACAGGAAGCAGGGTTGAGGAGAAGGACCTTCCCTGAGGATAGCTGCAGCCCCTGAAGGAGACTACTGCCATACTAGTGATAGAGGTCGCAACTGCCCAAGATGCATATTGCATCTCTCCTATTGACCTCTGAGCAGGAAGGTCACACTGGAAATATGAAAAAATCTGACAAGTACTACCTCCTGCCTTCATGGAGGACAGGCCGACATTGTGAACATTACCAAGGGTTTAGGTTTATAAATTGATTGGGGGGGGGAGTGCATGTCTGGAGACCAATCCCAGAGGAGGGGAAACATCCCATAAGTCACACTACCACAAAGGAATATGGAAACACAAAGGAACATATGGGAAATATATGTACTTGTAACTCATACCTGTGTTATACCATGCTAAATGTGCTATAGTGTGAGCCTGTAGGTTTAAAAAAGTGCCTATATAGCTCATCTAAATGGCAAGATTTAAATTTCGATGTTGCTTATAGCGACACAGTAATTTCACTGCATTTATAACAATGCCAAGGCATTATTATTATTATTATTTATAAAGGGCCAAGAAATTCTGTAGCGCTGTACAATGGGAAGACTAACAGACATGTAATTGTAACCAGATGAGTTAGACACACAGGAAAAACAGGGGTTGAGGGCCCTGCTCAACGAGCTTACATGGTAGAGGGAGTGGGGTATAGTGACACAAAAGGCAAGGCATAGGAACAGTGCACCCTACAGAGGTCTTGAAGGTGAGCATCAGAGGTCTACCGTCTGTGCGACATTAAAAACAATGCTACTAAAAGGAAGGCTTCAGGTAAGGTTTTGGGGGTCTGTACCACTAGAAGCAATTAGGGTTAGCGATTACCTGCCTACCAGATAATCTGGACTGTAACTCTTATGAGTCACCTACCCAAAACTGATAGGAGTCCACACAGTGGCATACATACTACGGTCGCAGGGGTTGCAGCCATATGTTGCAGCCCAGGGCCGCACATTCAAGGGCCCATCCTGTTAGGGCCACCCGAGATGAATTTCCAGGGGGCCCCGGTCAGCGCTGCAGCGCTTTAACAACGCGACAGGACCCCTGTGATGACATCACAGCTGGGAGGAAGTGACTGCACACACAAGCTCACTCACTAGAAGGCACATACACACACAAGCTCACTCACTAGGAGGTATACACACACAAACCCCCTCACTAGCAGATGCACACACACAAACTCCCTCACTAGCAGATGCACAAACACACAGAAGCTCACTCAATAGCAGATGCACCCACACACACACAGAAGCTCACTCACTAGCACACACACAAAGTTTACCTGGCATTAGTAGGTGAAGGTGTCAATGTCTGGCCTCTTCATTCCAGCGAGGTCAGCGGCTTCTGTCTTGAGGAGGGGCTTGTGTTCAGGAGGCAGGGCTTAAATGCGGGGGTGGGATTTGAGGCCGTAAATGCTGTACACTGTGCAGGGAGACTGACAGGTCTCCCGTCGGCAGAGTAATTGCGGCCGCAGCAGCCCCCAGCTCCTCCATTATTACTCCCCTCGGACTGATACAGACTGGCACAGTCCGAGGGGAAAATCATTTAAATGACATGTGCTTGATGATTAGGGCTATGTGCCCGGTCCCAGGTGCAGCGGCCCACCAGGAAACTTTCCGGTATCCCAGTGGGCCAGTCCGGCCCTGCTCTGCTCACCTGTTCTGTACAATGGCATGAGTACTTTCCTCTTTCTACTGCTAATTATTTATTTATAAAATATTTTACCAGGAAATATACATTGAGATTTCTCTCGTTTTCAAGTATGTCCTGGGTCCACAAATCATTGCACTGTTACAATTAGGGTACAATAAAATATAAAAACAATATTAATACATAATAAATACAAAATTTAACATAGAACAGGCAGGAAATATATAATCAACCATGACAGGTGCATTCTGTTTTGAGGTATGTAGAGAGGGATCTCTTAAAGGACTTTAGGCTTAGGGAAGATTTTAAATTGTGCGGGAGGTCGTTCCACAATTGTGGTGATGTAGGAGAAGGAGGATCGAGCTGCTTTCATTTTGTATTGAGTAAAGTGTTGGTACTGGATCGGAGGTTATAGGAAGTGGGAACAGCTGAGGAAAGCATTGTGTTCAGGTAGGGTGGGAGTTTCCCAGAAAAGCTCTTAAACACAAGGCTGGAAAGATGAAGGGTGTGTCTGGATTCCAGCAACAGCCAGTTTAGTTCTTTTAGCATGTCACAATAGTGAGTCCTGTAATTACATTGTAGCACAAATCGGCAGAACGAGTTATACAATGTGTTGAGTTTATTAATGTGGGATTGCGATGCAGATGCATATACTACATCCCCATAATCAATGATTGGCATCAGCATTTGCAGTACAATCTTTTCCTTTACTGTAGGGCTTAGGCAGGATTTGTTTCTGTATAGGGCATTTAGTTTTGGATAAAGTTTAGATGCAAGCTTTTCTATGTGCAGGCCAAAAGATAGATTGGGGTCTAACATCATACCCAAGTATTTGAAAGAGTGCACTGTGGTCAGTGTGCCATTTGAATTTGTTTTGATGGATAGGTGGGAATTGTGTAATTTGTGTAATTTAGGTACTGTTCCAAAGATCATTGTGACAGCTATGACAGTGTTCAGGAAGATTTTGTTTTTTGCAATCCACTTTTCTACCTCTGTAAACTGGTCTTGGAGCACAGCCTTAAGCTGAGGTAGATCGGAATTGCTCACATAAATTACCGTGTCATCTGCGTACATGTGTACATTTGAGGATTTGCAGACATTAGGCAGATCATTTATAAATAATGTAAATAGTAGGGGACCGAGAATGGTACCTTGGGGAACACCACACGTGACTGGGAGGGGGACGGAGTCGCTGTCAGAAATGGACACATATTGCGAGCGATCCGATACATACGATCGAAACCAGTTTAGCGATCGATTACCAATACCTGAGTTTTTGAGTTTGTGCAGTAGAATGTCGTGGTCTACTGTGTCAAAGGCCTTAGCAAAATCAAGGAAAATAGCTCCAGTTTGGTCTCCTTGTTCAATGCCAGTTTGGATGTCATTGCAAACTTTTAAGAGGGCAGTTGTAGTGAAGTGATTCTGACGAAAGCCCGATTGATCAGGGGTCAGATAGTTTGATTGTTGGTAGTACTCACATCGTTGCGTAAGGACACATTTTTCTAAGATTTTTGACAATACCGGGAGCAATGATATTGGGCGATAGTTAGAAACCAAAGTAGTGTCACCACTTTTATGGATAAGCACTACTCTCGCAGTCTTCCAAAATTTGGGTATGTATCCAGACACCAAGGTTTCATTAATTAGAGTTGCGATGGGTTTAGCAATTGCCGGCGCACTGAGCTTCAACAGCATTGCTGGACTGGTTTTTCATTTTTAGATTATTAAGATGTTTTTCAATGACACTAACAGGTACAGGTCTAAAAATTAACTTGTCTATATTGGGACTTTGCAAATTTAGTGGGACCTGATCCACATTTGTAGTTTCAGGATGCGTGTCATTTATTAGCTTGGCAATCAGGGCAGTAGAGCATCCGACAAAATAATTGTTAAAGGCATTTGCTACATCTAAGGGAAGTTGCAGGGTTTGGTTATCCACTTTCACAGTGGAGGGTTGGGAGTGGATTGGGGGAGTTTGTAGTTTATTTATGACTTTCCAAAAGTTTCTAGGGTTTGAGATGTTATTGTTCAGATTTTCACACAAATATTGGGCCTTGGCCAATTTTGTTTGTTTTGTGCATATATTTCGCCATTGTCTATATGCACGGTGATCATTCATAGAGCCAGTACGCTTAATCTTTGACCACAAAGAATCCCGAAACTGGTACATTTGGATGAGGTATACCTCTCCCTATACAACCAAGCATTCTGCTAGCATATCCAGCTGCTCTGTTACACTGTCTGCCTACCTTTAAGTTTGAAATGATTACCCCTAAATCTCTTTCCTCAGATGTTGAGATTAGGACTATCAAATATTATATACTCTGCCTTTGGGTTTTTACGTCCAAGATCCATTATCTTGCACTTATCCACATTAAATGTCAGTTGCCACAGCTCTGACCATTTTTCTAGTTTACCTAACTCATTTGACATTTGGCTTATCCCTTCTGGAACATCAAACCTGTTACATATTTTTGTATCATCAGCAAAAAGACATACCTTACCATCAAGACCTTCTGCAATACCACTAATAAAAATATTAAAGAGAATGGGTCCAAGTACAGATCCCTGAGGTACCCCACTGGTGACAAGACCATGCTTCGAATATACTCCATTGACTGCAACCCTCTGTTGCCTGTCACTCAGCCACTGCCACTGCCTGACCCATTCAACAATATTGGAATCCAAACTTAAAGATTGCATTTTATTGATAAGTCTTCTATGTGCAACAGTGTCAAAAGCCTTATTTAAATCTAGGTAAGCAATGTGTACTGCACCACCCTGATCTATTATTTTAGTTACCCAATCAAAAAAAAATCATTAAGATTAGTTTGGCATGATCTCCCTGAAGTAAACCTATGTTGTCTCTGATATTGAAATCCATGTGATGTTAGATGTTCAACAATCCAATCTTTTCACATGGTTTCTTTCCCCACTACTGAAGTAAGGCTTACTGGCTTATAGTTGCCCGACTCCTCCCTACTACCTTTCTTGTGAATGGGCACAACATTCGCTAATTTCTAATTTTCTGGGACTGCTCCTGTTAATGATTGGTTAAATAAATATGTTAATGGTTTTGCTAGTACATCACTAATCTCTTTTAATAACTTTCGATGTATTCCATCAGGCCCTATCGACTTATTTGGCTTTACTTTTTACATCATAGGAAAAAACGATGTAATTACAGCAACGAGCAAAGCAATCTAGTGTAATGATGTCTGACAATATTGGCGCTATAAGGCTGCTACACTATGAAGAATTCGTAAATATAGATTGCAAGGCATGAATTTAGACGTGAGCTCTTTGGAAGCTTGAAAAGTAAACACTTTATAGCCCTCAAAGTCTGACTTTCTGTTGCTGTCCAATCACAGACGTCCCAATGCAGCTTAATGAGAAGTATTTGAAAGTCAGGTGCTCTGAGCAATTGTTGCCTCTTGAGGTTAGCTCAATTTAGCTAACCAAACCAGGAAGTAACATTACCTGCTGTCTGCATGAAAGTCAGGGGGGTGTAACTAGGTTCATTTTTAAAACTGTCAATTTCAATAGAAATCTGCATTTTTTGCAAAATGGAAAAAAAGAGGACACACTCTTCACTCATAAAACTTTACAGCAAGCTAAAGTGCTTTCGGATCTGGAGTTTCCGTTTAACAGATATATTGATTCATTATTGTTGAGGTAGTTTAGATAGAGGAAACAGGCACTCACTGTAGGTCGAGGGGATGTGTTTTTTCGGTCTGTTGGCTGCACAGATTTGCTTTCTTTGCTGTTCTTTTTTATATGTAAAGCATCACAGAGGAATGAAATGTCCCTGGAAGAGAAATATTAATGATGTAGAGTAGAGTTCACAAATAACCAGCCCCCTAAATACCCAGTCCACCTATCCTGGAATAGAGGTATGTCTAAGCCCTGGGTTGCTGGTGGCCTGGACTTTATCAGGGCTACGATCATGTTCTTATTTGCTGTGGATGACAAGGCTGAGCAGCCTTGTTTAACAATGTATGTGAGTGTGTAGTTGTGTGTGTGTGGTGTGTGTGAATGCGTAGCTATGTGTCTGTGTGTACTGGAGAACTGATTTGCATGTATAGGCACAAATCTGACAGTATGGATCTGCGGCCCTTATGGTAAAGTAAACTTGGCTAGAGGTCCCCAGGTAAAATTACTTTGAGACTCCAGCTTTAAAGATTGTGTGAACACTCCACCTGCCATACTAAAAGCATCAATAACATATCCTGAAAAAGCTAGAAGTATACACTTTTCCCCAGGATGATTGCAAGAGACTCTGACAAGGTTATTCACTATTCCATTTTTTTATTGGAAACTATGCAGTGTGTCAGCAGCAGTACTGGTGTCGGGGTTACATTTCTGAATACCCTAGAGATGACCGACTTCACTTAAACAAGATAAACAAAAAGAAAGAATACATTATATATATATAACTGGAAGTAGGGACCCCGTCAAGGAGACACCAGAAAAACAGTAACCATGTGTCAGTTCAAGGAGGATAATGCAGGTAGGTTGAACAAGTATGATCCCTTGGTAAAATATAGAGATTATATTCACAAATTAGGAAAAGAGGATGAGGTTGCATCCCCACCAAGATCCATGTGTAAGTGCTTCACCCCTCCCTACTATTAGAGTCTGATTGTAGTCCGCCCCCGAAGTATTCTCCGGAAATACCAGCTAGTGCATTGAAATGAGCATGACAGTTAAGCACTCAGTGTCTCTGCTTGTCCCACTGCATACAGACTCAGAAAAAAAAACAATGCAAGAAAGCTAAGACACTGGAAACTGAGCCCGGAATTCCTCATTTTCCCATTCACTGGACCACCAGCAATGAGCCTCCACCACCACAAAATCTAGTGGTTCATCTGACAAATAATATTTTTAATAATGTAAAATAAATCATGTTAATTTAGGTTTTGTATTAAATCTTTACAGCATGCAATAAACCCTTTAATAAAACTACATTGGTAGAAGTAGATTAGAACTGAAACTCCAGACAATCTTAAAGGGACACTAGTCACCAGAACAACTACAGCTTATTGTATTTGCTCTGGTGAGTATAATCATTACCTTCAGGCTTTTTGCTGTAAACACTTCTTTTTTCAGAGAAAAGGCAGTGTTTACATTAAACCCTAGATATACCTCCAGTGGCCACTCTTCAGATGGCTGCTAGAGGTGCTTCCTGGGAAAGTGCAAAACATTGTGCAGCACTGCCATTCATTGTCTCCACCCTCTACGTGGAGACACTGAATTTAATCATAGAAATGCATTGATTCAATGCATCTCTATGAGGAGATGCTGATTGGCCAGAGCTGTGTTTGGCTTGTGCTGCCTATGCCCTTTATCTGCCTCCTGGACAAGCTCAGTCAATCCAATGCTTTCCTAAAGGATCATCACTTCTGATGATGTCAGCCAAGAAGGCAGATGAGGGGCAGAGGCAGCAGACTAGAATAAAGGTAAGAGTTTACTATATTTAGAGGGGCAAAGGGCCAAGGGGGCTAGATGGTGTTTTTAACATTATAGGGTCAGGAATATATGTGTTTCTGACCCTATAGTGTCCCTTTAATTACACTTTGTTACATTGCTTGTAGAGAAATAAAGCAGTATAATAAGATCCATTGCGTTGCGTATATACTTTGAAGCTGGAGAAAAAAATGGTAAAAATTAGATATAAAATAATTTTAAGAAACTGTGATCTCATGTAATCCTTGAAGAATTGTTATCTTCCATGTCTCAGCTATTTAAATAAAAAGCTTTTGAGTCCAGAAAATAAGCAACATGACTGATCATCTGGAGACCAACTAAACAGACAGTCTGCATGTTATGATAATGGAAATGAATTACAAAGTACTCCCATGTGGGAGATCAGAACAGTCAAGTCACAAGTCACAGTGGCATTCCAGGAATTCAGTTTCAGCAATGTGTCCTGCAGCTTACCGGCCTGCTCCTGTTGAACAAACGGGCTGGTCTATCAAGTGCTTAAACTTGGTCCTGCGAGATGGGTGGCTCCAGAGCGGGTCAGTGGAACGCAGGCAGACCTGAGAAAGAAACAAATTGTTATAAATACACTAACTACCAAAATGACCTTCCTAATGACCTATTGATATGCTTCTTAAAACATCACAAATGCCTCCCTTTCCATAAGTATATGCAGCACTTTAAATGATGGGGTGTACAAGACAATTGGTCTTTAAAGGGACACTCCGGACCCCTAAAACATGTTAGCTTGCTGAAGTGCTGTATGTGTAAAGAGTATATCCTCTTTTTAAATTTTGCAAAAAGTGCAGATTCTATAGAAATTGTTACTTTTATAAATTAACCTTGTTACATCCCCATGGCTTTCAGTCAGATAACTGGTTGTTTTTGTTCAGCTCAGTGGAGCTAAAATCAAGAGGCAGGTGATTTCTCACAGCCCCTACCTTAGGCTGCATTGAGAAGTCGGGCACTGGACTCCCACAGAATGCAATGGCAACAGACAAGAGAACTGCAGCTTTTGCAAGCTGTTTTTAGATATACCACCGATGAAAAAATGCATAATTAAATGACTATGATTTTCATGGGGGGATACCTACTAAACAGTGATTTTTTTTTATTTGGGCAGTAGAGTGTCCCTTTAACACTGCAAAGTGATCTCTCAACAGAAAGAAGAAATCATACAAAAACCCAAGTAGTTTAATAGTACCTGAATAGTTTTCCATTGCCCATGTCACTTTATCCCCTTCCCTGTGCAGCAACAACCCATATTAGTCCCTCTATCAGTCAGGGATCAATGGTGGGCTGATAACTTTTGGCCTGAGAGGCAAGTACAAATGAACGGCCTACTTTGCACAAAACTGACAGATATGTGTGGATAGTCCTAGTTATGTGGAGCAATACAGTATGTGGATCTGATAAATGAAGACTTTTAGAGTTGTGAGTTGTGACATAACATAACCCTGCAAACTCAATACATATGACCTGTTCAGCATGACTGAACATACACAATAGGCACACACACTGTTTCCTGCGACTCCACTGCCACCAATCACAGACCAAATGCTTTATGCATGTCATGACCACTGCATGCCTCCCGACCATCCAGATTTTGGCAGTACAGTCCCAATTTTTGCATTTTGTCCCATCGTTCTGCCTTAGTTCCCTGGTGTTCCCGCTGTCTCCAACATTCATGGTACGAGCATATCATTAGATGCACTGTAACAGTGCTACCTGTATGTTCTTCCCTCAGTGGACTGGCCTGAGTGATGGACCGACAGTCTGGTGTGTATTGACACCTGGCTGACCTGCCATTAACCTCCAAGAAAGGGAAGCTTGTCAGGTGAGTCCGCCCATTGGCAGTCTTTTATAATCTGTCAGTCTGGCCAACCTCAGATCCTGAAGCCCACTAGGAAATATTTCAGTTTACCATTACAGTCCTGGAAAGCATTGTTATTGCAGGCCACCAGGATGGGCCAACAGTTTGTTGAAGTGGTCTGGGTGCAGTGTCTCTATTGCACTTAGTGCTGCAATGTTAAACATTGCTGTTCCAGAGAAACTACAATGTTTACATTGCAGCTCTAAGTCTGCCCACAGTGGCTGTCAACCAGGCAGCCACTAGAGGGCTTTTTGAATTGAAACAGACATTTGGTCTGGTATCTGGCGCTGGATGTCCTCATGCAGAGCGCTCTGCATGAGGACACCCTGGGTCAGATTTTTACCCATATGAAGGCATTGATGGGGAGGTCTAACTTGAGCGCAAAATTTACTGCGCGTGGGCATTAGAGCCCACTCATCATGGGATGTCGGAGGGTAGCGGAGCGTCGGTCCAGCGCCGAGGGACATTGGCGCTAGGATCAGGTAAGTAAATAAAGGGTTTGTAACCCTTTATTGACCTGTGAGGGGTGGGGGAAGGGGTGTGAGGGAGGGTGGAGGCACAGGGAGCGATAGTGCCAGGAATACAGCTTTGTATTCCTGGCACTATAGTATACCTTTAATGCACAACAATTTGGTGTTTAGTGTATAAAGCAGGGGAGTTGAACTGCAGACCCACAGATGATATTAACCTACAACCTCCATAATTATCTGTCAATTTACAAATAGCTAGAGATCATGGGAATTTTAGGTCAACAAACTCATAGGGCTTCAGGCCTAAAAGGTATTTGATTTTTATTATTAGTATAAAACCAAAACAACAGAACAAGTTTTATATTGTAAATAAACGTCATGGCTTCCATGATCCTGTAAAATCTAATATGTCCTGAATAAAGAGAAATAAAACAAAATCATCAACTGATTTTATTATTATAGCATTGCGTTTTATATATACCTTTGCATCTTTAGGTCTCTTGGCGCCATCCTGATCAGATCTGTCAATTGGAAGTGCAGTAGAGGACAGAACTTGTACAATTTCATCAGGGATGTAGTCACACTGCAGACGTGGTGAAAAATGCTGGAATTTCTCCAATGCAAGATCATTGCCCTGTACTTCTTTGAATTGCAAAATAAAATAAATTTTCAGATTGGTATAGCGGTATAAATCTACATTTTATTTACTGAAAGAGAACATACGATTTGCATTTGATTTTTTAAAGACATGTTTACTATAGAGATGTAACAATATTGAACTTATTGTGCTCTTTCTTCATTTTAGCTTTAATTTGAAATGCAAAAAAGGACAAACAAACAAATTCAGATATTTACTAAAGGTAATTCTGGTGCAAAGTGTACTATGGTTACCACATTCACAACCTGTATTTGAGTAATTAATTGTGGTCTTCTGAAAAAATAAAACAAATAACATAAGCTTAAAAGCAACTGAATTACTCATAAACACAATGTGACATTAATCAAACTTTGTAATTGGATAGAACTGCCCGGCCAGCACATTGGCCTTCAGTGATGAAGCAGGAAGGTGTAAGTGACTTGTATTAAAGAAAGATTTCAAACCCCTAATGCTGAAATGGGGTTTCTATGAAAAAACATTGGTGGCTTTTCACTAGTGATGATCTCCAGGTAAGCAAAGTGGAGCTGCAGCAAGGTGATCCTGTTCCCACTGGATTAGAGGTTACTTCTTTTGTAGGACACTGTGGGAGCCCGGTAATCTAAATGTCAAAACAATCCCTCCGACAGAAATATAGTTCCTTCTAACGTTGGAGTGGTCTTTTAAAGTTGAGGATTCATTTCCCAGCTGCCACAATGGAATTAAAGTTTTTGTGTTTTTTTAATATTCTTTATTTGTACATTTTCAAATACTGTAGTAAGAACAATCAGATACAAAGGTCAAGGCAGAGTTCACAGTTGTGATAAAATATAGAACCAATGTCAAGTAAAAAGATGATATCTTGTATTACAATATTGACGGTTATACTTGATACATGGATTGAGGGTCTGTCAAGTCTCTCTAAGAAGAGGTATGTTAAGTTGGGTTTCTTTCAAAGCATTCTGGGTTAAAAGAACACTTGAACTTTAAAGGAGCACTATAGGGTCAGGAACACAAACATGTATTCCTGATCCTATAGGATTAAAACCACCATCTAGCGCTCCTGACCCACTCATGCCTCCCTAAAAATAGTAAAACGTACTTGTATTCACTTCTCCAGTTGCATAGTTTGTCCCTGTTTCCTTTAGACCTGCCCAGTGCCTGCTGACATCAGAAGAAGTGGTAGCCTGATCCAATCACAATGCTTCCCCATAGGATTGGCTGAGACTGACAAGGAGGCAGATCACGGGCAGAGCCAGTGGCGGATCCGGGGGGGGCCAACGGGGCAATTGCCCCCCCCCCCCGAGAATACCGACGGTCTCCCTCTCCCCTGCCAGCACATGCAGGCGCCAGCCCTGCAATGTGCCTGCGGACCGGAGGGGAGATCACAGATCTCCCTCCCCAGTCCGCAGGCACCGTGCTGACAGCCGGCGGGGGAGGGAGGGAGGAGAGAGGACCCGGGAGCTCCTCTCACGAGATTTGGAAAGTTGCCGAGGTTACCCTCCAGTAAAGGTAAGAAGGGAGGGGGGACATAAATATATATTTTAATTAAATTTATATATATATATATATATATATATATATATATATATATATATTATAAAAAAAATCCCCCCTACCCTTATCACACGTACACTGCCCCCCATACACACACACTGCTCCCCATACTGCCCCCCATACACACACACTGCCCCCCATCCACACATACTGCTCCCCATACACACACACTCTACCCGATACACACATTGCTCCCCATACACACACATTTCTCCCCATACACACACATTGCCCACACTCACACATACACTGCAATACTCACACACACACACACACACTGCAACTGTTACACACACATACTGTCCCACACATACACACTGCTCACACAGTGTCCCACACACACACACACACATTGCACCACTCACACACACCACTGCTCCTATGCCCTACTACTGCCCCATTTCCCAGCAGACCTCAGGTAAGTTGTCAAACTGTTCTTAAGCGGTTTGACTACTTACTCTGGGAGGGGGTCCTGGCACTATTGACACCATAACCACTACACTGAGCTGTAGTGGTTATTGTGTCTGGATTATTTCTTTAAATAATCTACAAGTGCCCCTCCCGAGATCAGGCTCTAGATCCCCCACTGGGCAGAGCCAGCACAATTCAAACACAGCCCTGGCCAATCAGCATCTCCTCATAGAGATGATTTAAATCAATGAATCTCTATGAGGAAAGTTCAGTGTCTGAATGCAAAGGGAGGCGATACTGAATGTTTGGATGCATTTTAGGCAGGAGTGGCCAGTGAAGTTATCACTAGGCTGTAATATAAACACTGTATTTTCTCTGAAAAGACAGTGTTTACAGCAAAAGGCCTGAAGGCAATGATTCTACTCACCAGAACAAATGCAATAAGCTATAGTTGTTCTGGTGACTATAGTGTCCCTTTAAAAATAAATATATATATTTTTTTAAAGTTAGATGTGTTCTTTACTGTGTTTAAAGTCAGAACACTCACTTTGTTTTAAACCCTCCCCCAACAAAAACATTAAATAGCACCAGCAAACAATTGACCTTGCAGCCTCACATCCTATTGTGAGATTTGAGGGACACCATAGTCACCAAAACAACTTTTGCTTGGATAAATAATGCCCCTGCAGTCTCACTGCTGAATTCTCTGCCATTTAGGAGTTAAATCACTTTGTTTATGCAGTAGTCATACCACTTCTTGTAAAGAGAGAATTTCCTTTATTGCACAGTTTGTTTAATATAGAATTTCTTAGCTTCTGCACTGTTAATATCTTGCTAGACTTTTCAGGAAACAATTTAACTCCTAAATGGTAGAGAATTGACCATGATGATCTCAGGTCCAATTCACTGCATTTCATATAGAAGAACTGAGGTTTTACAGTGCATGCTTGGGAATGTCCATACTTCGCCAATCCAAAGCTTTTCATAGAGCAGGGGTTCCAGTGTGGCTGCTGAGCGGCGAAGGAGTAGTGATTTCCCTGCTCAGCTCCCTCGCACACCTCTTAGCATGTCATATTCCGGATCCAGCATCACTGCCCACTGCTCCCTCGCCGCCCGTGGCTATTATGTTTTTAGAAATTTTGGCAGAACTAAATTTGTGTTCTTGCGGAACCCTAGTGTTCCGCAGAACACCAATTGGGAAACGCTGTCATAGAGTAACAGTGAATCCAATGCTTCTGTATGGGTAGCATTAGCATCATCATGCTGTTTCTGATCACATTGAACATGGAGACATTTTAAAACTGAAGCTCCTAAAGGGACACTCTATTCACCAGAACAATTACAGATTAATGTAGTTCTGGTGAATATAGTCTATGCAGGCTTTTTCAAGTACACACTGTCTTTTCAGACCACCTCCAGTGGTCATTCCTCAGATGGCTACTAGAGGTGCTTCCACTGTGCAGCACTGGCATTCAGTGTCTCTACACTCTGCATGGAAACACTGAACTTTCCTCATGGAGATGTATTGATTCAATGCATCTGTATGAGGAGATGCTGATTGGTGCTGCTCCGCCCCCAGCCTACCTCCTTGGCTAAGATGTTCAGAATTGGCTCCACCCCCAGCCCACCTCCTTGGCTAAGATGTTCAGAATGTTCAGAGAACAATCTCAGCCAATCCAATCCATTTCTGTGTCAAAGCATTGTGATTGACTGAGATCATCACTTCTGATGATGTCAGCAAAGGAGACAGATCAGGGGCAGAGCCAGCACCAGCAGACTGGAATAAAGGTTAGATTTTTACTATATTTAGTGAGACTATATAATGTTTTTAACATCATAGGGTTAGGGGGGACAGGAGGAAGTGCTTCCATTGGCTGTTATATAGCCATTAGAGGTGCGTTCTTGGCCAGTTGTAAACATTGCCATTTCTTAGAAAAGTAATACATTGCCAGAGAAAGCAGACATCAGCTATGCAACAAAAAGAATGCAGGAAAATGTGGATTTGTTGTTTAGAGTTTCTCTTAATGTGTTTTGTCTTGTGTGTTTAGATTTCCATGTATGACGTGCCTCCTCTTGAGTATATAGAGGGCAATTACCGTTACATCTTGCCCCATGAATTGCCACTGTACCATTTGGATTTGAACACATTTTTCGCACCGTACAAACAGATATTTAATAAATATAAGGGTTAAACTAAATATTAAAAACCCTTGAATTGACATTTCCTTTTAACCTGGAACTCATGAAATAGAGAATACATTTAATTGAAAAATACCGCTTTCAGTTAACCACTTTAACTGTTTTGCGAATGAACACATACAAATATGTGTTTCATAATAGTTTCCTTAGATAATTTTTATAATGGTTTAAAAAAACAATGAAAGTGTGCGAATGCACATGCAACTGGCAGAGGAAAAAAAAAATCAACATAAACACACTAATGAATAGTACTAGCAAAATATATTTCCATTCCAATGTTTTTCACGGATTAAGGATGCTACGGTCAAAATTATGAACTATCATTTATTCTAATATTGTCCAGAGTAGCTTATTTCTGTCATTTCAAGATTTTATTGGAAATTTTTTTTAAAAATTGTACATTTAAAATCACACTTAGAGAACCAACTTGGATTCATTAAGGCAGAGTACTAGAACTCCCACTATTTTGCTAACCTGAGATGATGAGGTTTGTAGCTCACAATAAAGTATGGCATTGTATCTAAAGGTATTGATATATTTATAAATAAAGCAAATAGAAAACCCTGCATCCCTGTCACAACATGCTCAAAGTCTGTTCATACCTGAAATGTCCCTTCCAAGTGACACCATACTTTGGCTTCCCACTGCTCTCCTTCTCAATGGTTTGGGTACAGCAGGAGGGGAGGGGATGTCTGTCAGGGACATAATGTATTCCTTGCACTCACAGACACTGAGTAGCTCTCACTTACAACCCTCACTCTGTGACAGACACTCACATTCTACAATTTACTGGGATCTCTCAAGTGTCACTCAGAGTCTGCAGGGAAGACTCAGTTACACCTGTCACTCAAGCTCCCACTCAGAGACACCAGCAGAGCCACTTGGATAATCCACACACTCACTTTAGCCAGATCTCAGTGACTCACTCAGTTTTTAGGCAGCCAGAACACAATAACACTCTCCCTCAGCCTTCAGCCAGTACTCAGTAACACTCTCCCTCAGCCTTCAGCCAGTACTCAGTAACACTCTCCCTCAGCCTTCAGCCAGCACTCAGTGACTCTCACTCAGCCTTCAGCAAGCACTCAGTCTCTCTCTCTCCCTCAGCGAGCACTCAGTCTCTCTCTCTCTCAGCCTTCAGTGAGCATTCAGTCTCTCTCAGCCTTCAGTGAGCACTCAGTCTCTCTCTCAGCCTTCAGTGAGCACTCAGTCTCTCTCTCAGCCTTCAGTGAGCACCCTCTCTCTCTCTCTCAGCCTTCAGTGAGCACTCAGTCTCTCTCTCTCAGCCTTCAGTGAGCACTCAGTCTCTCTCTCTCAGCCTTCAGTGAGCACTCAGTCTCTCTCAGCCTTCAGCGAGCACTCAGTCTCTCTCAGCCTTCAGCGAGCACTCAGTCTCTCTCAGCCTTCAGCGAGCACTCAGTCTCTCTCTCTCTCTCTCAGCCTTCAGTGAGCACTCAGTCTCTCTCTCAGCCTTCAGTGAGCACTCAGTCTCTCTCTCTCAGCCTTCAGTGAGCACTCAGTCTCTCTCTCTCAGCCTTCAGGGAGCACTCAGTCTCTCTCTCTCAGCCTTCAGTGAGCACTCAACCTCTCTCTCTCAGCCTTCAGTAAGCACTCAGTCTCTCTCTCTCAGCCTTCAGTGAGCACTCAACCTCTCTCTCTCAGCCTTCAGTGAGCACTCAACTTCTCTCTCTCAGCCTTCAGTGAGCACTCAACTTCTCTCTCTCAGCCTTCAGTGAGCACTCAACTTCTCTCTCTCAGCCTTCAGTGAGCACTCAACCTCTCTCTCTCAGCCTTCAGTGAGCACTCAACCTCTCTCTCTCAGCCTTCATGGAGCACTCAGTCTCTCTCTCTCAGCCTTCAGTGAGCACTCACTCTCTCTCTCAGCCTTCAGGGAACACTCAACCTCTCTCTCTCAGCCTTCATGGAGCACTCAGTCTCTCTCAGCCTTCAGTGAGCACTCAGTCTCTCTCACTCAGTCTTCAGCGAGCACTCACTGACTCACTCAGCCTTCAGCGAGCACTTGGTGAAACTCCCACTCAGTGACACTCTCACTCAGTCTTTAGCGAACACTCAGTGACTCTCTCCCTCAGATCAGTGTCACGGTATGACCCGGTAAGTGACAGCCGCAGTCAGCCCCCATTACTCAGTTTAATCCCAGCATTCCTAACACAGGGACGCCATGTCGGCCTCCATGACAACGCCCCGCCCAGTATCCATGGCAGCGCTTCCCGCCCAGTATCCATGGCAACCGAACACTGCGCTCCCCTGGTAGAACGTCCCATGATGCCGCGGGGGAGCCTTTTAACCCATTGTGTGCTGCTGCAGTATGAGCTGTGTGTTAGGTAGTAGAGGTAGCTAGCCTGGCTCCCCAGGGAGCTGCCCAGCCAGCCATTGCTGTATAGTGCCCAACTGTTATATTATTTATCATGATGGGCATGTGATATCTCCATATAATATACTGTGACATGCTGCTATAAAGCAGGGATGGAGCCCCAGGGCCAATCACTAACCCAGGAATTATCCCAAAACCCAAACACCATAACCAGTGGATATGATAACTTTATACGAATATATTCGGAGCCAGTACAAACCATTGTGTGGAAATCTATTCATAAACAGGGCTATACATAGGACACGAGGTCACACATTTAGGCTGGAAGAAAGGAGATTTCATCTAAGGCAAAGAAAGGAGTTTTTTGTTTTTTTTTTACAGTAAGAGCAATAAGGATATGGAATTCTCTGCCTGAAGAGGTGTCAGAGTCATTACAGATGTTTAACCCCTTAAGGACACATGACGTGTGACATGTCGATTCCCTTTTATTCCAGAAGTTTGGTCCTTAAAGGACCATTATAGTGCCAGGAAAACATACTCGTTTTCCTGGCACTATAGTGCCCTGAGGGTGCCCCCACCCTTAGGGTCCCCCTCCCGCCCGGCTCTGGAAGGGGGAAAGGGGTTAAAACTTACCTTTTTCCAGCGCTGGGTGGGGAGCTCTCCTCCTTCTCTCCGCCTCCGTTCCTCCCCGATGGCTGAATGCGCACGCGCGGCAAGAGCTGCGCGCGCATTCAGCCGGTCACATAGGAAAGCATTCATAATGCTTTCCTATGGACGCTGGCGTGCTCTCACTGTGAAAATCACAGTGAGAAGCACGCAAGCGCCTCTAGTGGCTGTCAATGAGACAGCCACTAGAGGAAATAGGGGAAGGCTTAACCCATTCATAAACATAGCAGTTTCTCTGAAACTGCTATGTTTTAAAAATGGGTTAACCCTAGCTGGACCTGGCACCCAGACCACTTCATTAAGCTGAAGTGGTCTGGGTGCCTAGAGTGGTCCTTTAAGGGGTCAAACTTCAATTGGATAAATACTTGCAAAAACATAACATACAGGGATATAATTTCTAATTAGTGGGGTAATAGCTGCTTGATCCAAGGAGATATCTCACTGCTATTTTGGGGTCAAGAAGGAATTTTTTCCTAGTTTGTGGCAAAATGGGAAGCGCTTTGGTGTTTTTTGCCTTCTTTTGGATCAATAGCAAAAACATATGTGAGGAAGGCTGAACTTGATGGACGCAAGTCTCTTTTCAGCTATGTAACATTATATGGTTATCCAGAGAGGCCAAGGTGTAAAAGGCGATAGGGTTCCATTCTTCGCACTCCTCGGTTGCATTGATAATGTGAAAATTACACTCACGTATAATCAATGTCACTTAATCCAATCTGTACATTGTGCAATGACTGGCAGTGATCAATGCGCTATTCAGCCACTACTAAAACAGTTTGACAAAAAAAGTGGATGCTACTCTACCCATAATCTCTCGTAGTTATGGTGGTTAGCATGTCCCTTTACTTTCCACAGAAGCTTTGGCGCTCAGACTCACAGGCGTTTGCCATCACTGCTCAAAAGTATATAATGTATCACAGTACGTGCAACTAACCCATGACAAAAAGTATGGGTTTCATTGGCAGTGTGACATCCATAATTCAATGCTTTCTGTAATTGCTTTGAGAATCATGACATGCACATAGTCGTCTTATCGGCATCTTGATAACCATAACCCATATAACCCCCCTATACCCATAAAACACAAAAGTATCACAGCTTTATTATTAATATGAAAATTAATTTTAAATTGTATTTAAAGGTCATTGTCAACAACACTTAATAACATCACAGCACTATAACTTTTACATATAAACTTTTTCCACAGACAATGACCCCACCATAGTAAACATCTATACATCCATATAAACATATAACAATAATATAACACAACCAGTTAACACAGCCACGAAGGGCATCCATTTCCACTTGTAGGGGTATACCAAGATACCCCTACACACACAGGTTCTGAGCTACCAACGCTATGGAACCTACCAAAGCCAAACCAAACGTCCTATTGCCTCAAGCGACCTGAGCAATCGCCGTAGGTTCCCTAGCATATCACCAGTGAAGTCGCAGCACCATTTCTGAACAAATTATGAATATGATATTTATATAGCGCCAACAAATTCCACAGCGCTTTACAGTGGGTGGACGAACAAACATGTCATTGTAACCAGACAAGTTGGACACACAGGAACAGAGGGGTTGAGGGCCCTGCTCAATGAGCTTACATGTTAGAGGGTGTGGGGTAAAGTAACACAAAAGGTAAGGATAGTATTAGACTAATGACCGTTGCAAGAGAGGAATCAGTCGGGAGCTATTAACAGTTTAATTGATACACTTTTATGAAGAAGTGGGTTTTTAATGATTTTTTGAAGTAATGGAGACTGGGTGAGCATCTAACTGAGGAGGGAAGTGCGTTCCACAGGAACCATGTAACCCTCGAGAAATCTTGAAGGCAAGCATCAGTGGTGAGAGTACGGACAGAAGATAGACGTAAGTCTTCAGCAGAGCGTAAGGGCATAGACGGGACATACTTGTGTATTAGGGACAGGGCCGTCTTTAATACTGATTGGACCCTGGGCAGGTATTTGATTGGGGCCCCTTGACCTAGCCCTTCCCAGCATGCAATCACGCCATCAATGCCCACACAAACAAAAAAAACAACAAACAAACACACAGCCCTCTCATTTCTTACTGAGACAAAATACACACACACACACAGAGATACAAACACTGACATACATAGAGATGCAGACATACACAGGTACAGACATACATAAAGAGATACAGACACACAAATGCACACTGACACACCTCCATACGCTGATGCAGATACACTCACTGACAAACATGCAGATAAACAGAAACACTAACACACAAACACACTGACATACATGCAGATACACATATATACAGATACAGACACAGACACAAGATACAAACACAGATACACATGCAGATACACACACATACATAGACAGACAGACACATACATTCATACTGATACATACAAACAGACACATACATAGACACAGATACATGCACATTTTTTATGTGTTTCCTCCCTTTGGAGTGCAGGAGGCAGGCTCAGGCTGATGGGAGTCAGAGCTACCACTCTGACTCCCTCCTTTTCTTCTTCTTCTCCTCCTCCTCCTCCTCCCGCAAGGCGCTCGGTGAATGCTGGGAAGAAGTGACCATCTGTCACTTAATCCCAGCATCCTGACATCACAGGGGGCCCGGTCGCTCTCTCAAAGCAGCGGGGCCCCTGAAAATCCATCCCCATCAGGTGGCCAATAGAGCCATTAGCCACACAATGAGCCTCCACATGTTCTGACCATGCTCCAGATTTCTTGGGCATCTCCTTACAAGGGGAGGTCCAACGAGGCACGTGCTGGAGGCTAAACGAGTCCTTGTTAGATGACCCAAGGGTAGTGGAAGATGTCCATACATACATGATTGTATTAAAAAGAAAAAACAGAAAGAGAAAAGAATATGTCAAGATTGCTATAGATGAATATGGGGGGTAACCCCTATTGAAACAATAAATAGTAGAGAAAAAGTACAGGTGAAGCTGTGGAAAACATAGAATTTATGCCCACAGTCCACTAGTACATAAATAGCAATCCATAGTAGATAAAAATTAACTTTTAATAGATGATTTAAAAAAAAAAAAAAAAAAAAAAAAATGGTAACACTGTTCCCATTACCTTGTGACAGTGTTACCATTTTTTTTTTAAATCATCTATTAAAAGTTAATTTTTATCTACTATGGATTGCTATTTATGTACTAGTGGACTGTGGGCATAAATTCTATGTTTTCCACAGCTTCACCTGTACTTTTTCTCTACCATACATACATGACACACAACTTTTCAGAAAATGGGATTAGTGATCCCTGGTTACGGGAGGCCCATAAGGGAGTCCTACGGGGAATACTAATTAAATGGGGATTGCACATTAAGAAGGAACGCATGACAAAAATAAGCACCCTGAAAGACGCTATAAATGTAGAATAAGAGCACACAAACTTGACCAATCTAGGGAATGTCTCCAACGACTGACAGCCCTAAGAGTTGAACTGCGCAGCACACTAGCGCTGAAAGCTTACAGAGCATTACAGCTGACTTACAGCACTTTCTATGCTCACAGTAACAAGAGTGAAAAACTCCTGGCCAGGGCCCTCAAAGCCGAGCAACAAAAGGGGCATTTATCTCCAAAATAAAAGGGACATATGGGACACCTTGTATTACTGACACTATAGCAGCCACCTTCAACAAATTTTACAATAGTCTGTACATCCTAAACCGGCCACAGTGCCCCCTTGCTGAAATGAGTGAATATCTCATATCCAACCTACATCATACCATACTTAGTAACTTAAAAGACCAACTTGAGGCACCCTTTACCGAAGCAGAGCTCACATTAGTAATCAAAACCCTCCGAAAGGGAAAAACTCATATACAAACCTCACACGCATACAAGTGGACTGAGGCCGGACTCTTATACCTGGGCATGCGACTCACCCATACACCCACTAACATATTTAGACTCAATTTCCTGCCCCTACTAGAAAACATCCATAGAGACCTGAAAAAAAAAAATGGGACTTAAACCACTTCTCCATGATAGGCAGGGTTAACAATCAAAATGATGATATTGCCCAGATTGCTTTATTTGTTCCAAACCTTAGCAATCATAATACCCAATCAATTTTTCCGATCCCTCAGACAAGTCTTTACCTCCTATGTATGGCATGCCAAACCCGCATGGTTAGCTTACACCACATTGACGAGTGACAGGAGCAGAGAGGGACTAGCGCTACCCTACATGTACAGGTACTACATAGCGGTTCTCCTTACAAGAATAAGGGAATGGACAGCAAGCGACAAGAAGTAATCATGGAATGACTTGGAACAGAGCGTTGCAAGAGTACCCCTACATACACTTCTGTGGCAAACGTGCCAACTAAGCAAAATCTCACACATACCACACCCATGTATATTATACACCATATATTGGGGAGTGGAGATACCACAAAATCACTTGGAAACTAGCCGAAGGCCTATCTCCACTCTTTCCACTGGCAGCAAACCCCAGCTTTAATAATGGGAAGGGTGCCATGATCCGGCTACACCTGATAGGAGACAGAAACCCGACCCTAGACAAAGTCCTAACAACGGACACCCCACCGGAAATTAGAGACCATAGAAGACCGATCGGAAACTATTGAGCCTCCTACTAGAAGAAACCAACACATTAATCCCAGTATACTGGTGTCAAACACAAGTTCCTACAAAGAAACAATGGCTGCAGAGAGTAGAAGCTATAGGGTCAGGAACACAAATATGTATTCCTGACCCTATAGTGCTAAACCCACTCAATTAGATGGCTTGCCCCCCATTAGCTCCCCTATAAAAGTTTAAAACTCACCTTATTTCCAGCGCCAGCTTGGAAGAACTGCACTGGTCGGTATGAGGTAAACTGAAAGCTTATCTGCGAACCTTGGTTAGAACACTGGAGGAGATATTGTTAACCGAAATGTTTTACAAGAACAAAATATCTGTTTAGATTAACAGGACATATGCTATAGGGCATCCCCCCATCCCAATGTGTTTCCACCTCCTTACACACCAGACTAGGCATAGAAATAGGAGATTACACAAGAACGCATGACCACTGCTACCACATCATATCTCGTAAGGTCCTTGCCTGGCATGCCCCATAAAGTGTTCAGAGGGCAATGGTAATACCAGAATAGTTAGTCCAGCAATAGGTTTGATACCCTATATCTACTACTCAACACCTTAACATAACTCAGAACTGTAACCAATGATATACTTTGTACAATGCCTTGATATTTCCCCTTGTAATGCTTCCCCATTTTCTTCTTCTGTACCCCTCAAGTTTCATTGTATTGAAAATAAAAACATTGAAATTACAAAAAAATAAGAATGAATAAGACCCATTTAAAACAAATCTATTGGTTGATGCTAAACCGATAAATGATGCAGGGCAGCTTTATACGGTCAGTATGGTGTCCGTATCTTTGACATGAACCCAGGAAAAGTTGGAGTATGCTAGTATATGCACAATACTGAACACAGGCATGTTGGCTTACATTTTATTGGCTTTTACAGTAAAATCAACCCCTTAAAGACCAAACTTCTGGAATAAAAGGGAATCATGACATGTCACACGTCATGTGTCCTTAAGGGGTTAAAGGAACTCTCTAAACACAAAGCTCTTCAGTGTTATATGTAAAGAATGTGACCTTGTTTCTTCATTTTATAAAAGTGCTGATTTTACAAAAATCAGCCCTTTTGTAAATTAACCTTATTTAACCCCTTAATGACCAAACTTCTGGAATAAAAGGGAATCATGACATGTCACACATGTCATGTGTCCTTAAGGAGTTAAACTCCCCTGGTGTTGTCAATAGAACCTGCTACGTCCTGGTAGTTTATCAGGCTGTGTGCACATTGGGTTCAAACAGTGCTGCGGCATATGTTGGTGCTTTACAAATGCCATTAATAAATAAAAGGACTAAGTCGTCAGACCATTAACAAGGGTCAGCTATGCACAGAGTTCTGTGAAAGTACTAGTTTGTTGTAAAATACATTACATTGGCGCTCACAACATGATCTCGTACTTTTTGTGGACTTTTCTCTTGTGACTCTAAATGCAGACCACCAAAGGGAGTTAGGACAAAAAATAAAACAAAACAAACCGAGATACATTGGATAGGCATCACAAATATTATTAAAACTAATTTGCCAGGTTAACCTGCTGTGGCATGGTTTAATTTAACACAAAAAAGTGGAGTCGTGTCAAAAAGCAATATAAATTCACTCCGCAGTTGAGGGCATAAGCAATACCTGTAGCAATGCAAATTAAACGAGGGTCTTCTCAGGAATTGCTCTTTTACAGTGAGACTTCCCAGGTAGAACTGCTTTACTACATCATTGGTAAACTCGTACAGTACATTAAATTTTTTGTTTAAGTGTATTTAAAGGGAGACTATAGTCACCAGAACAACTACAGCTTCATGTAGTTGTTCTGGTGAGTATAATAGCTCCCTTCAGGCATTTTCATGTAAACACTGCCTTTTCAGAGCAAACGCAGTGTTTACATTGCCCCTAGGGACACCTCCAAGTGGCCACTCCTCAGATGGCCCCTGGAGGGTCTTCCTGGCTCAGGGCTGCACAGTAAGCAGCCCTGCCGTTCAGTGTCCCCACGCTCTGCTGAATTTTTCGCATAGAGATGCATTGATTGATTCAATGCATCTCTATGAGGAGGTCCTGATTGGCCAAAATGCCTATGGCTCCGCCCTATGCCCTATTTTGTCCCTATGGGAAAGCATTGGATTGGCTAAAAATCAGCCATTTTGATTACGTCACAAAGGGGGCGGAGCCAGCACCGGCAGACCCGTGCGGCGCTGGAAATAAGGTGAGTTTTAAACTTTTATAGGGGAGCTAATGGGGGGCAAGCCATCTAATTGAGTGGGTTTAGCACTATAGGGTCAGGAATACATATTTGTGTTCCTGACCCTATAGTGATCCTTTAATGCACAATTAATATATTGCTAGATAAGGATCCACCTGGAGAGTGCCTTTAAGCTATGTGATAAAATGCACACACACTCACAAAATATTTTTTTTTTTTTAAAGGCATGAATCAGCACAATTTCTTGATAACTTACCTGCAAGCGATTTTATGGTCACGCTAACAGATGTCCATGTATTGGATTGTTTAGTCTGTAATGCTTGACTAGTCCATCTCAAAGTTCACAGAATTACTTCAATAAATACTTTAGAATTTCACACTGCCAGATTCTTGGACACACAGTGTTTCAAGTATAATGATAGAATTAACACAAAATAAAATGTAATAAAAAAAAAAAAAAATGATATTTATTTGAAAGGGTCCCTTTTAACAGCATGTAAAACTAGTCATTTCATTGCAGTTATGTTAAAAGATTACCAGCAGAGGGTGCTCTGTACAAATAAAATCAGTTACAGCACAATTTCGTTCTTTTTTTTCTTTTTAAACAAAGATGTGAAAATTAACCATAGATTTTTCTTGTTATCTAAATTAGTTTTTACATGAGATACTTCAGCACAATCAGCTGGTAAAAAAACAAAAACAAAGAAGACACTACACTTATTCACATATAAAGTATCTTTTGCAGTAAAATACTCAGTGACTTGTTAATTGACACCAATTACAAAAAATGCATATTTAAATATATAATCTCGTTTCCCAGCACATTCAATGCAATTGGACGGAATACAAAAATATAAAAAGGAGATACTCACACTGGCAGTGCCAGCCTACCAATAATGTCAAGTTCTACACAAACCAAGATATTCACTAAACAGAGAATTGGAAAGCAAATTGCAATTAAATTTAGACACAAAATAGTCTGTTCGGAAAAACTTCCAAGCTTTTCTCTCGTCACAGTTGAGGTTTTTTTTTGTCTGAATTTTGCAATTCGATTTTCTCCACTACAATTTAGTGTTTTGTGAATAAACGCTAAAGACGAGTAAGATTATAATCTCCCATAGATCATTGACCAGACTAGGCCGACACATAGGATATAGCAATATGCAACTGTAAAAGTAGTGCCAACACCACTGTTTGTATGGTGACTGTACTTCTTGTAGAAAGTTTCTGCTCTTAACGTCTCATAAAAACAGGTGATAATGAGTTTCAGGTTACCGTCTACCAGGGCTGATCTGAGATCAATGGGGACACTGGATAGGATTTGATTCAAGGATGCATAAGTGATTGGCAGCTATGGTCAAGTAACTGAGATATATATACACACATATATATGCATGTTTTTTTTTTTTTCGTGTTGCATTCCCTGTATCATTTCCACCTTTATAAATCATATTTGAGACCTACAAATAAACCAAAATATTTTCATGTAAAAATACTGCAAAGCCTCTGCCCTTGGATCTCCTGCTCCTTCATTTATATCATTATTGTGCAATAGTCTGGCTATAGTTTCAACAACTAACAAATTATTATTATTAGATCAACAGCAAAAGGTCATTATCGCTATTCTTTTTCAAGGTCCTGTGTTTCAGGCCTCTGCTACAGAAAGTAAAAGGAGGGAGAGAAAACAAAACAATCTCCCCCCCCCCCCTCAAAAAATGGGGGACCGGTTTCCATCAAGGTACGATTTGTCTGCATGTTGCAAAACTCTAAATACATACATTAGACAAACTTGTCTCATGTACCTATTTGTAAAAAAAGGCAAAGTCGGATTATTAATTTGTTTTCGGCTGCCTTGCCTATTTTCCATAACGGTACACGTGATAAATGGGGAAAGGCCCAATTCTGGAATCCTCCATAGACCCATATTTTCTATTCATATAGGAGTACAAAGATCCTGACATGCCAGGATGTATAATAGTAATAACATAAAAACCGGTGGCTTTGAGGAATAAAGAAATAGGCAAGACCTCCCATTCCCTTTCTCCTAATCAAGATCCACCGTCTAGTGCAGGGGTTTCCAAAAATGCCGTTTAAACAATCCAGGATTTAAGTAATTTCCCCAATTATGCTCCTGGTTTTGCCAGTATCTATTTTGTAGCAGTTGTCGGCTTTGAGGTTTGGAAACCATTTATTTAATAGATATATGACCTGGATGTGTCTTCACAAAACATAATGCAGAGATGTCCCACTCAAATGACAGGAAGTAAACAAACTGATCAATCAAGCACTTACAGGGCTCAAAGTCCCATTGGTAGGGATAGGTTATGTTTCGTGATATTACTAAACCTACACCCGACCCCTTTACATTTGGGTTATTGTACATTCTGCACTTTCACACTTTAAATATATGTTAACACATTCGTGCGCTGTCTGTTCTGTTTTAGTGCAATCTAAATTGAGTGTTTGGCTGTTTCTTAAAGAGAACAATCAAGGAAAATTAGATGCATATAGATTTGTGGCAGTCTTTCTAAAGTAAACCATTTTGGGTAAAAGAAAGCTAGTTTACCCCACCGAAATAAAAGGATGAATGAACAGCATAATTCAAAAACAGTTATAAAAACTACCACGTTCTTGCATTTAGAACAAAAAAAATACAAAGGTTATATTGTCTTTAACCCATTCAGGACAAATAATTTAGACAAAACCTATAACATCATGACAGTCCTGGCAGATCAACTGTCATGAAGAGGTTAAACCTTCCATCAAGTTTTCGGTCCTAGACAACTTCACGTTCAGTTTAAATTTCAGATCACTACGTATGATCTTTAAAAGAAATAGTTCTATGCTGGTGCTTTGTATTGCACCTGACCAGATTTAGTCGATTTAAATTGCCAAAAGAGAAAATTAAAAAGTCTGGAACATGTAAATGGAATTCTTTGGTGATTTACAGAGAGAAGGATGTAGCCACGTTCATTATTGCTTTGTAACGCAGCATGTTTACGTCTGGAACAGAGTTTTGTGGACTTTTACTTTGATCTAGATGTTGCGAAACATGATCCCATGAGGTTCTCAGTCCTCTTGTCTCACCACAATGATTCCACATTTTAATGTCTACAGGATTAAACTGGTTGAGTTCGAGATCATGATGGGTAGAACCGTTAACCATATGAACAGAATGTCTGAGACTTTGAAGTAACTGGGGACTTTCATAAATTATGCTTGAAACTGGTAAAGATGTAAAAGTAGGAAGAATTATTTATCCTGGATTCTACATTAAATATTCACATTTGACCACTAAAAGATGAACAAAAAAATTAAGAAAAATTGAAAAAGAAATATGTTTTTTTCTAGTCAGATAGTCGCTGACTACAGTCTGTTTCACTAATATCTTATTGTTTCAGTCCAATTTTGGGTTGCTATTTAGTTTCCTGCCAATGTAACACGATATGAAGTCTTCTGGCAGTAGAGAAGGTCATTTGAAAAAGTCAGATCTCGACTCATCCATATGGAAATGGCAGGTCCAGGAACGTGGCTTCAAATAATCGAGAACTGTGGCCTGTAAGAGGTTACATGATTGTTAAAATTGAAATCATCAGCTATAGTTTTTATACAGTAGAATTCTCATTATAGAACGAAAAAGAAAAAATACTTACACTGCTGGCTGGACAGTAACGCTGAGCATACCACTCTTGGGAGTAGAGACATAAGAGGACTCCTTGACCCAAGAAGAGAGAAGTCCACATAATCACATTCCAAATGGGGCCTTTTCGTCGGTCATGCAGAATGAAGTTAAAAAGCACTGAAAGAATAAAAGAATAATAATTGGGCATGGATACATTTTGCTTGTAGTTATGTGACAAAAGGAATAGACCAATAAACCCTGATGGGTTTCCATGACAGCAGAAAAAGCATCTTCAAAATGTGTTTTAAACTTTGTTAAAATGCACTTGCCTATGCATTTACAACATGTGATTGGAACGTCTAGAAACAAATAACGTACAAATAACATATCTGGCTTGGGTATTTACTTACTTCCAAAGCACATAAAAAGAATGAAGAGGACTGGGTAGAAAAAGCCAAAGCAAATCCCAAGAACATACTCGTGAACCACAGCTGAGACGGTGAACACGGATAACATGGCTGCTGCTTTGAATCTTCTGCCAAACAACTTGAGGGATAAAGAGAGAGAACATGTATAAAAAGATGTAATTATGAAACCTACCATTGGCTCTCTGTATCACTTTAAAAAGCAGATGTTTAGTAAGTGTACACCAGTCAACAACAAAAAGATTTGCCTGCCTCCACTGAGAGAACCAACCAGGCAGTTACAGGACCAGTTTTTAAATCAAATCGGCACTTTGCGTAAAATACAATAAAAAAAAAAAAAAAAGAAAAATTAAAAAAAGGAGAACATACAAAGCACTTCCAATAAAGTGACACTGTAGTCACTATAATAATTGCATCTTTTTGCATTGGTTATAGTGCCTTGGATGCCCTGGCACGGTCCCTCCATTCAGTGTTGCACTATGTTTGTGCAGCATGCCACAAAATAAGACTCCCTGGCCACCCACAGTCTGGCCCCTTCCGTGTAGCAAAGCCAGAGATTGCACACTTCCTTGTTGTCATACTCATTCATACCATCAGTTGGAACTCTGACAGGTTAAAAGCAGTCAGCTGACACACTCAGCCAATCACAGCTGCCCATTGCCTCTCAGGGTAATACTTCCTTATTAGCCAAAGCAGCACAGAGGGGATGGACTTGCTTAGCAATAAAACATTAAAAACGGTTTAATGCTGGAAGAAATTATGGTACCAGGGGACTCCAGACACTATAACCAGTTTAATGAGATGAAGCACATACAGTGCTTACGATGTCCCTTTAAGTGTTTGGAGTGTTTCTTTAAGGTAGAGAGCACTTACTGAAAGGAAGTCCCGGTAAGCATAGTAATACAGCCAGTCATGAACCACCACATTCCAGGTCCGGTAATAATTGGCAAATGAGGTTGAATTCCACCAGTCCTGAAATTGAAAAACATTAAGATTTCTTGCTCAGCTACCTCTAAACATGTACTGCCTAACACATAAAGGAATCATTCAAAATGAATACATCATTATTACGGTTATTACCTCTGTACTGCACAAACAAAAACCAACATAGACCAGCTTTTTTATTTTAATTGTGAAGTACATTTAAAACAACATTTAATGTTGGGTGTCCTGCATAAAGTGCAATAAAAAAAGTAAAAATCTTAAAAATAAAAAAGCATATGGGTGCAGTAGTAGTTTCATGGATTTGTCAGTCTGCTATTGTACCCAAATATATGAACATAGAATTGTCAGTTAAAATTAAATAGCTAAAACACATAGGCACAATTCTCCAAAACAGAATGACCTATTCATTTAATTGGATCACTGCTGTTCAGAACTATAGTTGCTCTGCCAAAAGGACACTCCATGTTAGTACACTTTCTTTAGGGACCATATTGTAATGATGACAAATGATCAATAAGTGTTGCAAGTTTTGATTTGGACTTGAATTAAGGCAAATGTTTTAGGATAACACTTTTCAGCATTCTGAGGTGCCTTCCATAGATTTGTTTTTTTAAGTTAAAGGGACACTATAGTCACCAGAACAACTACCGCTTATTGAATTTGTTCTGGTGAGTAGAATCATTACCTTCAGTCTTTTTGCTGTAAACACTGTCTTTTCAGAGAAAATGCAGTGTTTACATTACAGCCTAGTGATAACTTCACTGGCCACTCCTCAGATAGCTGTTAGAGATCCTCCCTGGGCCATGGCTGCCTAAAATGCATCCAAACATTCAGTATCTCCACCCTCTGCATGCAGACACTGAACTTTACTCATAGAGATTCATTGATTCAATCCATCTTTATGAGGAGATGCTGATTAGCCAGGGCTGTGTTTGAATCATGCTGGCTCTGCCCCTGATCTGCCTCTTTGTCAGTCTCAGCCAATCCTATGGAGAAGCATTGTGATTGGATCAGGCTTCCACTTCTGATGATGTCAGCAGACTGCTTGTTTTTCTGAGACAAACAGCATGCAGAGTTACAGCTTCAAGCTTGAATACAGTAAGATTTTTACTATATTTATGGAGGAATGAGTGGCCCAGGGGGGCTAGATGGTGGTTTTAACACTATAGAGTCAGGAAAACGTGATCCTTTAATGTCTTCCTTACTAGTTTTAGATCTAGGGTCTCTATTTCTTAATAAATGCCCCAACAGAAAACATATCTGCAATCCAGCACCAATATAGTCTCCCAACTGCATCCCAATCTGCCCACACTAAGATCATCACTCGTCATCAATAAATCCAATACTTCTCTCTGAGAAGCATTTGACATAGCGGTGCACCAAACGTAAAGATCTTCAAAAATCAGAGCACTTAAAGAGGAAATGCCCCAAGGGCTGCCTGACAGACAGCTCCCAGAGGAGTGTGGTTGGCCAAATGTAAGCACTGCTGTTTCTCAAAAAAAATGGCAGTGTTTTATTTTGCCTGAGAAAATGGATAGCATCTATGAACCTAAACAGTTCACTAAAATGTAGGGAGTTTTTGGTGACCGGAATGTCCCTTTAAAAACTATAAGAATAGGGGGAGGGGAAATAGGACTGCATCAAGCGTCTTAAGTTATCACTAGTGAACAAATGCATACTTAGTGCACATTGTACGAAACCTTAATTTAGATATAAACTTTTGTTGGGGTAATGGTTTTGTTTACATATGGCATGCAACCACTGGGATAGTACGGTACAAATTAAATTGTAAGATCACTCACAACAACTCAAATTAGCACTGCACAATGCATTAAACCCATGCAAAAGAGGTTTTGTGAATATCATGTATAGCAAAATGCTGTCTTGTTACCTTGTAAAACATTCTGTCTGCAAACCTCAACATCTCTGCAAAGGCATTGAGCCAGCAATGCAGGAACGCAAAGAAAGCCAGGAAAAAAACCAGCACTCCTAAAAACAGGAGACAGCGATTAGCGTACAGAAAATACACCTTAGATTACATTACTTGTTGGAAAAATTGTAAATACCTGGGAGAATGGAGTTAAAGATACAGAGTACCAAAACTCGCAGACTAAATGGCTCCTGGCTTATGTTGCGGAAAAGTGGGATACAGAGACGAACAAAGACATAGTAGGCATAGAAGAGGCATCCAAGCACCTGCATGACAAAAGACAAAATAGTTGAGTTCTAGATTATCAATGTGATTTGTTAAATGGTGACTAAATAAAAAAAAATTACAAAAAAAAACATACTATGTGCAATATTATTTGATTTGAAACAAACCGGATTACCAGAAATCAATTTTACATTCACTTGTATATTGCTTTGTTTTAAAAAATAATAATGTATACCTGTGCTTCACAAACAATTTCATATAGAAGCCAAACATCATACATGCTACGTGGTAGTCACAATTCTGCCATCAGTCAATTTAACATGCATCACCAATGGCACATCCAGTAACCAATGTCAGACACTGCCTATTGGTAAAAGGAATTCCATGCAGCAGAAGGATATAGAAGAGTCAGCAAGATGCTGGTCCAACATCTCTAACATAACACTGCATCTGTCCCATAGTGCTGTCTTCTGTCCACATCCACTCTGCTGCTAAAGGGCAGCAAGGCAAGCTGAATGTCAAACTAGGTGACATATCTCTATATACAAATCACCCCAACCTCAGAGGAACTCAAACAACTCACTTGTAGTGATTATATATATATATATATATATATATATAAATAAAATTTTCCCCTACGTCCCTCGTACATATTATTATGGCAAGAGTGTAACTCTTACTTATCCTCAGGTAGCCTACTTCTAGAACATCCGCAGGAATATCTGTCCCCATTTTTACAGGTGAGTTTCTCACTCACAGTAGGATAACCCCACCCCCCAAGTCCGGATCCTTACATTACTCTCCCTACATTCTTTTCTTAGAAAAGACGGTATTTCGTCCTTCCGATAGAGAAACCGCTTACTACCACAATTTAGGTGCGTGCCAATCACCTGGTACAAATCTTACACCCGTCCCGTTCTTTGCTAGGGTAAAGTCAACTGGCTGGCCTTTTCTACTACGTCCATCGCTAGCTGTAACTTAATCAATTTCCGTGAGGCCAACACCCATCCTTATACGGAGGTATTCGCCCCTTGGCCTAACACACATCAATCGATTCTGGTTAACAGTTAGGGCCTCGGGGGGCGGAGCCAGCAGCCAAACAGAGCGGCCACACTTTCCCGAGCTCCGACCTTGGGATCTACATTATTGCGGTAAAACTGCATAAAACATACCAGTACCCAACCTCAAGCTGCCACACTGCTACCTAAGGGCACAATGGGTCGAAAAAACAAGAAACAGAGAGCGGACAGAGGTCCCTTCTGCCACGATATTGGTGAGATGTTGCGAGGCCCTCAAAAACCAACATGGGACAAAATGGCGTCGGGAGACGATGGCTCCTCGTACTCCTCTGAAGATCTCTCCTACAACCCTGGGGTAGAGACCAGGATCAATCAACCAGCGGTGCCTAAAGCCAAGCCACCGGCTGCCGGAGACCCGGTCACAGCCGCCCAACTTAAGAGCGAACATTGCGGCGGACATGGCCCATTACAAAAACGCCATAGATGGGGCCGTACATAAAATAACCCTCCTGGAGGCAAAAACGGACACACAGGACTCAAGGCTCATCGCGGTGGAACACGCACTGGCGGAGCTCCAACAGAAACAAAGCCATAGCAGACAGAACTGAAGCCCTGGAGGAGCGCAGGCGGCGCACCAACTTGAAAGTACGGGGAATCCCAGACTCAGTGAGTTTGACTGACTTACCGCACTATATACGGCGCCTGCTTAATACCCTACTGCCGCCAAAACAAGCCAAAGCGGTCAAGATTGAGGGCATGTTCCGACTGCAGAAGCCAGCGTCTGCACCTGGGGAGGCGACGGCAGACCTGATAATCAGATTTCAAACCTTACATGACAAGATTTCGATCCGTACAGCGGCCCGCGGGCAAACCCCTCTTTTGTTCGAGGGATCCACCCTATCACTGTTCCCAGACCTCACCAGAGGTACCATCGCATGGCGCAAGACCCTACAGCCACTACTGCAGAAACTACAGGCTAAAGACATTCCTTACCGTTGGGGGTTCCCAAGAGCTCTGTCCTTTACTCACCAGGACTTGACATACAAAGCTACGACTTTCCAGGAGCTGGAACATCACCTCCTAAGCCTGAACTTGAACAGACCAGAGAAGTCAGCCACGACAAGCCTGGCGGGCATTAACCCCTCAACCGTACCGGAGTTCACCCCCCGTTCCTTGCAACGGAAAACACACGCCAGGGAAGAAACCTGAACTTTAACGCCTTAGTGGCTGGACTGTCACTCCCATGCCGGGCCCACAGACAGACTCCACCGTGAACAGACCTTTAAGTTACCGCAAGTTGTCATTGTTCTTTTTGTTCTTCCTTTTGTTTACCGCTCCTCTCCTTTATAGTTTTCATATGTTCCTCTGCCACAAATAGCTGGTCACCTGGGGTCATATTACCTTAAAGTGCACTATAATGCACCCTCAGCAACTGGGGACCAACTGGGTCCATATCAGGGACCAGCCCTACCTCTCCCCCCCCACCCCCCGGCCCTAGTCAAGATGAGTAGACATCACACATACACCTCAACTCAGGGGTCATACTCTCCTATTCTTTTAGGGGCTCTGATACACAGGCCACTTACTCAAATGAGAAAACCATGAGACCCCCTAACATGTTCCTCACATGTAATGCTCATGTCTTCCCCACTCACTAGCACAAACCTGTGACCCTGGAGATATCGCTAACAGACACACTCGTAGCTCATACCCAAGGCCACACTAATCTTATTCTACCAACTATATAAAAGTGCTGGACTATGCCTGCCATGTCATTGAACAGTTTGTATGTATTGCGCCTGTATTTGTTGTTGTGGCGAATCAGGCCATATTGTTATATGCTGCACGCAAAAATAAAGAATATAAAAAAAAAAAAAAAAAACAGTTAGGGCCTCACCGCTCACGTCCATTGATATGGTCTTTTATACCGTCACCGAGAGGCCAACGTTTCCACCACATCATTCGGTGAAAGCAAGTTTACCGATAGATAAGGTACAGCACATCATGGAAACTGTGGAATGTTTCCTTGCCAAGAAAACGTGTACTAGGCACGTTGACCTTTGCCATAAGAATAATTCCACAGGGCCAGGCATTTATTTCCCGATTGCTGTGCCATCGTCCCCATCTTCTTATAGACAATAGTACCACGTCTTTGGATATGCACGCCAACGTAGATTTACACATGTGGCTCAGGTTCTTGTCCCATTGGAATAGGAAACAATGTTCATTCCCCCAATCTCTGATCATTCCCCCATAGTCTGGACTGATGCTGCAGCCCACATAAGGTTTCTTTGGTGACTCCTGGTTCAGAGACTCATGGCCAGACGAGACCCTCAGTCTACCCTACATGGTTGGCAGCTACACTACAATTTGATATCACTTGCATACACATCCCCGATAAAAATTAATAAAGCTGTTGATGCATTATCTCACGCTAATTTTCAGGATTTCTTCAAAGCACACCCGACAGCCAACAACACCCCTGTCAACACCCCCCCGTTTCAATACTTAATCCTGGGCTAAATCGCATATTGGCACAGAATATTTCCGGCTAACTCGGCCCTTTCGGCCAATACATCCCGTGTTTCCGATAGAGCATTTACCATAAGTTTACCTCAGATTCCCACATTAGTAACACTGATTCACTAGAATCCATAGTGGCGTTTCTCTCTTTTTGCCATCTCAATTTAAAAATCTCTGTTAATATCATTAAGCTCTACCGACTGGCATCCAACATCACATCCCTAAGCGCATTTGCCATCACAAGCCCGTTTATGTCTTCTTACCCTGTCACAATGTTCCTGCTCATATCATCAAAAGTTTAGGTCGCAAGAAATCCACAACCTATGCCAGATATATTCCTCAGCCAGAGCAGGAATTAAGACTCGCATTTAAAGAATTAGCATTGTAATGTGTATGAAATAAAGTGATATATATATATTTCAACTTTTTGCCCTCTTTTATTACAGGCCTACCTGATACGTTTGTTTTGGCACATCACAACCAACCTGTGTATACCTCTATCTTTTCATTATTACGGCTTATTGTTCCAGACTACAAATAGAAAGGCGGAGCCTGTAACTGTGGGAGGGGTTACCTGGCTATTTAAACTCAGGCCCCCTCCATTACAGGACCGTAACCGCTGATTTCATCCCTCCCCTTTATTACTCTTTTATTACAGGCCTACCTGATACGTCGGTTTCGGCACATCACAACTGACTTGTGCATACCTCTATCATTTCATTACTGCGCCTATTGTCCTAGACTACAAATATATATTTCATAAGATAGGGGACTGGGACGCACGCGCGCGCGCGCACACACTAAAAGGAAATTGTAACAGATAGGTGGAAAGGTGGAGGCAGCTCCCCGCCTTTCAGCAATTGGGTTTGACATTCATCAATATTCAAAAATGTTATAACTGCAAATGTATTTCTTATTAGGAAAACAAATAAGTGTAGATGATAAACTACTACTTACCTGAGCAAATTTAGTAGCAACATAACTCCATCTTATGGATGGATTCCTATAAAGAAATAGAAGGAAAATCAGATCTTTAAATCTTTAAATGCTTTTTCCATTTTAGCATAATAAAAACAAAACCGATCATATTAACAACCCTTGCACCTCCCACCCCCCCAATCTTGCATAACTGCCCTTTTCAAAGTACTTAAACAAAAGAAAATATATAGGTTGCGCTATATGGTAATAGACGAAAAAGTAAATGGGGTGAGACAAATATATAAATAAACAGGAAAAATAATCCCAATACTAAAAAGTCTTTAATAAAACCTGTAAAAATGCTTGAGTATAGAAAGAGTCCAATAGGTAGCTGGGTCTTCTTATGCAGGAGGTATCTCAGTTCGGTAGTAGATATATGAACATGTAAGAGAAACAGAGAAACTCCAGTGGTGCAGATTGTAAATCAACAAATTGATAGATAAAGTTCTCACAGCAGATGATCCACTCACCTATTTCTGAGCATAAACTAGCTCAAGTGGTAATAGCGTCCAGTGGCGTTGATCCTCCACTGGTAGGATATAGGTGGTGAAGATATGATGAGCTCCTCGATATATAGAGAGATGGAAAAACAATATATTGCTCACTGAATTAATGAAAAGATAAAATGGTAAAAACAGTAGAATACTCACATATATATGAGCAGGATATACTGCTCACTATAATGGCGTAGGTGGTATTATCCCCACCTAGGATTCTTGGACAGATGCGTGTTTCAATGTTGCAGGTACCAGGTATCAAATAAAAAATAAAATAATATAATAAAAGGGTATATAAAGGCTAATAAAAGAGCCAATATTCCTTTATTGATAATAACAGAATAAATATATCTATAACAAATATAAAAACATATTTCAAACATATTCTTGGCTGTTTTTATATTTGTTATAGATATATTTATTCTGTTATTATCAATAAAGGAATATTGGCTCTTTTATTAGCCTTTATATACCTTTTTATTAGATTATTTTATTTGATACCTGGTACCTGCGACATTGAAACACGCATCTGTCCAAGAATCCTAGGTGGGGATAATACCACCTACGCCATTATAGTGAGCAGTATATCCTGCACATATATATGAGTATTCTACTCTTTTTACCATTTTATCTTTTCATTAATTCAGTGAGCACTATATTGTTTTTCCATCGCTCTATATACCGAGGAGCTCATCATATCTTCACCACCTATATGCTACCAGTGGAGGATCAACGCCACTGGACGCTATTACCACTTGAGCTAGTTTATGCTCAGAAATAGGTGAGTGGATCATCTGCTGTGAGAACTTTCTATCTATCAATTTGTTGATTTACAATCTGCACCATTGGAGTTTCTCTGTTTCTCTTACATGTTCATATATCTACTACCGAACTGAGATACCTCCAGCATAAGAAGACCCAGCTACCTATTGGACTCTTTCTACACTCAAGCATTTTTACAGGTTTTATTAAAGACTTTTTAGTATTGGAATTATTTTTCCTGTTTATTTATATATTTGTCTCACCCCATTTACTTTTTCGTCTATTACCATATAGCGCAACCTATATATTTTCTTTTGTTTGTCTATTTACCTGAGGATACGAGAGGGAGCCTCATCACTATAGGTTGCTGCTTTCCCATCTGTTTTTAGCTTCTACTGATTTTTTTGCGCTGACCTATTACTTTTCTGTTAGACTTTTCAAAGTACTACCTACTCAAATCTTTTAAAAAATTGCATGTACTGGTATGAGAAAATATATTTCCATTATTGAAAAGTTAAGCCCAGGACAAGAACTCTAACTCTAGAAATCCATGCTGTGAAGCCATTCGAGATAGTAGAAGAATAGGTATGGCCAATGACATTTAAGTGAAAGGCTAGAGCTGGTTGCTGCAGTTATTTTTCCAGATTGCTGCCCCCCGAGACCCCCGAGCACCATAACCTAATCAAGGAACTTGTTTTATTGAGCTTGGTGCGTCCCTTTAGTTTGCATAAAACACTTGATTTTGATATTCCATGAGAAATTCACTTGACTCCTTACTTACGAGCTATAAATATTTAATTTTGCAATGAGTTAGAGTTGCTTTAGGATATGGTGCTGTAGATTGAGGACATTTTGAATAGATCTTGCTTACCTTGGGTAATGATCACGATATATAAGGGTGGGAGCAAAGAGGAAATACAGGTATTGTGTAAGTTGCGGCACTGGAACAGCTGCTGAAATAAAAAGAAAAAAGAACATATAATAAAACTTCATTCCATTCTTGTATTCCCTCAGTATCACCAACATGACTCTGGAATTTCTTTAACATAATGGAAACCATAGGAAAGGGATCTTAATACCTACAAACATGCCATGTGCATCTAGATACTGTGTGTGGTCAATCAGTATTGGTGTAATTTTAATATTTAAGAATCACAAATGTATTTAATATTTGTGATTATCGAAATCAACTGCACACAAACTTGTTAGTTTAATGGCAACTAGTTTGATTGCAGACCTTTTGAGGAGTCATCTGACCACTGTCAAGCTCACACAATGAGGTAGGAAATATGGAAGTGAGCAGTTTGTGTAAACAATATACGGGAGAGAGGTACAAGAAATACAGAGGTGTTAAGGTTAGGGAACACGGTGAAGGGTTAGTGTTCGCAAATAGGGAGAAGTTTAGGCTAGGGCTACATATAATAAAAATACAAAAATTTTTAAAAAAAAGGGTTAGGGTTAAGAAAAGCTACTATGCCATCGAAGAAGGAGGATCCATTTTTCTATCAATAATAATAAGTACCCAACAGTAATTAAATGGACAGCACAGTTTACAAATCTTGCACCAGACTATTTTTTTTTCCCGAACACAGTTTTTTGAGAACTTAAATAATAGGAATAGTTTGATGGTATTTTTTCATTTTCTTTCTCTGATATTGCAGAATGTTGCTGTTCAAGAAGAATCAGAGTACACAACAAAAGAGCGTTTGCGAAAGCTGCGGGTTTAATAATGAATTACGAAGCGCTCTGAAGATAGGATATGGGTGGATTGACTGGTCAGTCATTATTTCAGGATGTGTTTTGCTACTCACCAGTTTTCTCCTTGGTGAATGAAAAGATTCGAGGAACATTTTCTCGTACAAATGAATGAGCCTTCATAATGAGCCGCACCTAAAAAGTCATCAATATGTTTGAGATAAAGATCTTGGCACCGTTCTGATGAGTTCCATTTCAATAGCAATATATAAATATTTACCTGTTCCAGAATGAGGATGAAGCGAGAAGCCGGGGGTAAATCATACAGCACCACAATGTATGCTGGGCCAAAGCCAATGATAAACATCTGGAAAACGATGAAGAGAGTCCCAAAAATCAAAGAACGTGTGGTGCGATGAGAAGAAGCCTTGTACCCTCGGGCCCACGTGCAGAAGACGGCATACGGAATGATAAGTGTGCTTAAGAACATGCATAGCCATGAACAGACCACAATGGGAAATTTGCCAAAGGCGTAGACCAGAAGATCAAACTCCAACACTAGCCTGCAAGATAACATTCAAGAGGAAGTCAGCCATTACTCTACAAACAGACCATTGGAGTGAATTAAAGTAGGGGGGGGAAAACCACAACACAGTGTGAAACTGGCTTTGTATATTAGTATCTACAAGAATTGGACAACATGAATGTGTTGGTGGTGATTGTTCTTTCAGATTCTTTAAATGAACCCAGAATTTGACCTCTTGGCTTCCCCAATTGCTTTATACTAGGCAGAGGGAGAGATATGCAAAACAAAAAATAGCTATGCAGGATAATCCCATAATGTTCTATGATGAACATCACCCAGCTGGGGTTGTTCTATTCAATGAAACATAAATAAGTAATACAAAGACTTGCACAGGTGATGTTCACTAGCATGACCTTTGAAAACGTCCTCCCCCCCCCCTCTCTAATCAGTGCCACCGGCATGGTTTAATAACAATCCTGCCGCGTATCAGTAATTATATAAATGGTGAAATTATATAAATGGTGATAGGCCATGGACTAAATAAAGGAACACTATAGGGTCAGGAACACAAACACGTATTCCTGACAATATGGTGTTAAACCCACCATTTAGGTGGCTTGCCCCCCTCAGCCCTCTTACAAGGAATTAGAACTCACCTTATTTCCAGCGCCGTGCGGGCCCGCCAGTGCTTGCCCCGCCCCCCGATCCACCTCCTTGATGACATCAGAATTGCAGATTTTTAGCCAATCCAATGCATAAGGAAAGCATTGGATTGGTTAAAATCTGTAAGGAGGTGGGATGAGGCGGGGCCAAACACCGTTTTGGCCAAATAAGCACTTCTTTATAGAGATGCATTGAGTCTGTATCTCTATGAGGAAAGTTCAGCTTCCCCATGCAGAGCATGGAGACGCTAAATGGCAGTGCTGCCCCCAGGAAGCATCTCCAGTGGACATCTAAGGAGTGGTCACTTGGAGGTGTCCCAAGGGGCAATGTAAACACTACGTTTTCTCTGAAAAGGCAGTGTTTGCATGAAAATGCCTTAAGGCAATGATTACACTCACCAGAACAACTACATTAAGCTGTAGTTGTTCTGGTGACTATAGTGTCCCTTCAATCCCTGAATATAGAAAATAATGATTGTAATGAAATCTGGGAGTCAGAATGAGTTGGAAAACTCAAATCTAACATTTTACCTTTGTAATAAAGGGTACGTTTCTGCTTAAAATAGATTGAAAATGGCGAATCTGATTCATAACATGCAGTACATTCCGTAAAGAAAGCATCAACTGAATGATAAAACCCCAAGGACAGCTAAACAGCAAGTAAACGCCAACTAAAGGACGGAGTAAACATATACACAAGTTAAACTTTCAATGCCACACTTGTGTGTGCTAGAACAGGAAGAAATTAGGAAATTTGCAACAGTTGACAGTGTTAAAAAATAAAAAAATAAAAACTTAACAAGGGTGAGTTTTTTCTCTCTCTAGAAGTAAGTTTCTCATCCCTGAGCTACTTGGTTATCGAAACGCAGAGCACAGTCTAACTTTTTATGGCATTTATAAAAAAGAAACACACATCTCCGAAGTCTTTGTCTAGGATTAAAGACACTGTGGCATGAATCAGTTTCTTGGAAAGCTTGACATGAGCTGTACTGTCATGTATTTGCAAACCCTACCAGTGCTTTTAGATTATTTTAAGTAAGGGTAGTAATCTATGATTGATGCTTTGAGAACACCCCTAGTGATCAGATCACAGCCTGCGTAAAAGCACATATTAGAAGACACTCACAGCAGCTCCAACTGAGCAATAAAATGCAGTTGCGCTGGAGCAATAAGTTTAAAAAAAAAAAAAACACACAAAAATATTTCCCAACATTCACACGTTTGACTTCCTCTAAAACTGCGTTTATATAAACTGAACTCACCATGCAGAAGTTGTGGTTCACATTCAATTATGTGCAGAAATAATAACATTTTCTCAGAAAAAGTGTATATATTAAAATATATACATTTACTAGGAGATTGCTGCCTATAGATTTTCTATAACGCACAGCTCCCTCCCAGAACTGGATGGCCCAGCTGCTTTCACCTTGCTCCCAAATGACAAGATTAGCATCCCACAATTCCTAAAGTAAGTGTATTGTAGTTCTTGTGGGACTACGCCATGAGGGCGAGGGACAGCTGCCACCGCATATGGTAAAAGCACCTTTACATTTATGTTATGCTATACAGATGGCGTTGCAGTATAGCCCCGGAAGGTAAGGGCTTATGTAGTTTAAAGTTACTTGGTAAGATGTCAGACATCATATCCAGGTTTGAGAACATTGTTGGAAATGCAGAGAATATTCTATTACACTTACTGCAGGAACCAAAAGGTAACTGTTCTTACCTGCCCTGGTCAATACAGTCCACAACCAGAGTGCTGAGTATGAAGAGTATGAGAAGAGCAATAAACATGTGGTAGATGGTTCGGATGTGATTCACTTCGAATAGCTCACTGGTGGATAAGAGGACAATGTCAGTAGTGTGCCTTTGATATAACAAATTTAACAGTCGACCAATTTAACAAATACATACGGTAGCTCGATGAACAGTGATTAAGTTAAATCCCAGAATGCAGAAAAAACAAAATTATCAATGGAACATTATATCGAGTATGTCCTTTTTTTTTTTTTTTTAATGAAAAGTCTATGTTACTGTTGAATGGAAGTCATTAATCAGTGTGAGCATTATATTTCAACACACAGAGAGGCCAGCAGCATACACTATTAAAAAAAAAAAAAAAATTTTTTTTACATACAATAATCAAATTTATAAAAGGTAATACGCTATACTATTGAGAATCCAAAGCTGAGGGATACCTTCAAGCCTCCTATATTAAAAGGTTACTCCAACCTTCATGACTACTGCTTCTGTATGTGCAGAAATGCTGTCTATACAGAGTAATCTGCCCTTCTAGTAGCAGCGGTCTTATAGCACCCCTAGCACACAGGACATAAGCATCCTAGTAGTCGTTTATGTGCTGTTTAATGGTAATTCTGTGCAAACATTACGTCTGTAGTCAGCACACTCTGCATACTAGTGAGAGAAAAAATCTGCTTCTATTATTGCAGGCAGCGATATGAAGGCCTCCCTCCCACGGTCCCATTCATATTGAATGAATAAGTTGAGCCTTCCCTCCATTTCCCTTTACTTAAAAGAATGCATTCAGTCTGCATTCAGCACCATGCCGCCATCTGTCCCCACATTTGATTGGCCCATGGACCCATAAAGGATGATACACAATGACAAAAGGGGTCGCGTGGAACGAATCAGAGAACCCAGGCACAGAGATGAATTAAAGGCACGTTTGATTCTATTTTTATAGATTTATAGCTAATGAAATTTGGGGGGGGGGGGCTGAGTGACCAATGCCCAAGAGGGCAAATTAAACCCAAAACAGTAGGCGTTGGAATGAGCTGTAGCCCATCAGTAGTTATAAGGACAGCTTACATTTAATATATTTTAATGTACACATTTTTCATTCTGGCACGGTCTATATAAAAATGTCTTGGGGCAAGATCAGGCAAGACTGATTCAAAAGGTGTGGTGAAAAATCTAGGAATTGTTCAGTTTGCTCCGAAAACATAAAAATCTGAAACATTCACTCACTCCAGCAGCGATCGCCTTGACACAAATAGCTTGCCATGTTCGGGAGGTGGCCTTAAGCTGAAAAGAAAAAACAAACATTGTGCGCAATGAGCCAATATAAGCAGAAATAATATTATTGTCACCTAGATTAGCTACTATCGAATTTGCCAAATTTTTCTAAAAATGTGAGTATATTTAACATCCACTGACAGATACTAGATGAGCAGTAATGCGACACACAAGTAGTGGATTAAAAAGACTGATTTTACAAAGCAGTAGAGTGAATTGAACATATTGGGTTTTTTCTTCTAGAAAATTTGAGTGTTTGTTTTCTTACACCCTGTCCGCAGGGCTCAATTTTTATTCGTCTACCTGCGAGCCCTTGAGAGGAGACATATCATAGGTTCTGCTCACTGGTTACCTAACTATCTTCAGGTCTTTTCAACTACTTAGTTGGTGGGTGCCTACAACCCCTGGACTCACCCTTAGCGCATCGTAATGCAACATAAGGTTCACCACTTTATTGCAGCATCAAAGGAACAAAAACACAAAATTCTGACAAACAAATAAATGTAGCTTCATTATAAAAACGGATTTTAAAAAGTGATATTCTACGTGGAAGGAGGAGTTTTCACACCAAAACTTTTTCCTGACCATTATTCATGGCAGCATTTACTCATGGGTTAGCTCCTCCCCTCACAGCAGAAAGGACAGGAAATAGAACTCTGAAGTTGGTATAAATAGATACTCCCCCTTCCCATCAGGCAGTCTTTTTTCCTGTCCTTCACAGCAGTTTGGAAGGAGTCTGCTTAAGCAGGCCTAGATTTTTTCTTTTATGCTCACCAGGCAATATGTTTTAGGCCCTGCCGGGGTTCAGCCTCTAAGCCCTGAAGACCCAGCAAAACGCACTAAGATGAAGTGGCTAGCCTGGGTACCCCCTTTAGTGACCAGGGGTTGGACCCAAGCTCTCCCTGAAAGGGATGAAAATGGTTCACTGCATGCCAGGGTTCAGCCTCTTATCCCTGAAGACCCAGCAACAGGCCAGCTTGGGTACCCCCTCATGGGATGAATGTGATATACAGCCTACATGAAGCCAGGCCAGGGTTCAGCCTCTTATCCCTGAGAGACCCAGCAAACGGCATACCGGTAAGAGTTGCCAGCCTGGGTTCCTACTTCAGCAACCAGGGGTTTGTCTTATCTCTCTCGGAAGTGATGACAGTAGTCCACTGCATACATGAGGCCCAGTTGAGTCTAAGCCCTTATCCCTGAAGACCCAGCAAACAGCACATGTGTAAGAGTTTCCAGCCTCGGTACCTCCTTCAGCAATCAGGAGTTTAACCTATCTCTCTCCCTGAGGGGATGACAATGGTACACTGAAAGGAGTGCTGTGAAAAAGAGTGCTAATAATGGATATCCTGGCTGTATAAAGTCTGCTGGAATTCCACAGCCTGAAGACAGAGAAATATCCAAGGTAAGAGAACCTTCTCTAGGTTTCTGATTAAGGTACACACATGCATATGACAGGTTTTAAAAACCTAACTGTAAGTCCACACACACACACACACACACTTGTTTCTATCAAGGCATGTGGCATTGATTGCTGTTATCTGTGCATTATCACAAATAAGCAGGCTTTGCAGACAGTGGAAGAATATACTGCACAGGAGACCACTGGGCCTCAGTATCTGTACATGATCTGGTGGTGGTACAGCATCGGTATGTTTCCACTATATGCTCTAATGTATGAATTGGTATGAAGTCTCAGTGTGTGTCCAGTATATGCTCTAGGTATGAGTTACTATGAGGACACTGCCTCAGTATATGTATCCACTATATACTCTATGTATGAGTTACTATGAGGACACAGCTTCAGTGTGTATGTATACAAACACACACACACACACTATATGCTCTATGTAGGAGTTACTATGAGGATGGTGTGAGTGTGTCCACAATATGCTCTATGTAAGAGTTACTGTGAGGACACAGCCTCAGTATATGTACCCACCATATGCTGTATGTATGAGTTACTGTGAGGGCACTGCCTCAGTATAGGTATCCACTATATGCTGTATATATGAGTTACAATGAGGACTCTGCCTCAGTATATGTATCCACTATATGCTCTGTGTATGAGTTACTATGAGGACACAGCCTCAGTATATGTATCCACTATATTGTCTATGTACGAGTTGATCTGGAGACTCCGCCTCAGTGTGTGTTCTTTATACGCTCTGAGTTGCTGTGAAAACACAGCCCCAGTATATGCCCTCTACATGCTCTATAGGTAAGATGGTGTGGAGACATTGCTTCAGTGAATCTGTTCTCTATATGATTGATGTATTAGTGGAAGCACAATATATGTGAATGATATAAGTACATCCGCTATATGAGTCCAATCTAATACTGGTTCTATGTGTGGGTTGTGAGTCACAACCTCAGTATATGTGAGTGGTATATTATGTGCATGAAGTTCTGTTAAAACACAGCCACAATTTATCTCACTTATATAAATCTTAATATGTGTACAGGCATAGTGTCACTGTATATAGCAGAGGTAGGCTATGTATGATTACTGTTTAAACAGACTCAGTATATGTAACTGATATATCGGTGTATAATGTGCTGTCAGAAACATCCACAATGTATGTGATTCATATAATCTGTATGCAGATTGGTAGTATAATATAACCCTAATTTATACACGGCATTGGTAGATTTAATATATACAAATGATCTAAGGTCTGTTTTGCGCTGAAATGTAGCACTGCCCAATTCTAGCAAATACAAATGCAAGTAAGTAATTATTGCCTACTGTGGATTTTCTATGAAGTATGGTAATGTTTAACATAACCAATGTTTTTTTTTGTTGTGTGCACTCCTATGTATTTATATATGAGACTCATCTACAACATTTTTTCTACTGCCAGGCATCCTCTCCCCTCTGTTCAAGATAGGGAATGTTTTTTCTTAATTGGTGGCAGTGTTTTACCTTTAGATATATGCTGATTACTAACGCACAGCTTAGTAGATCATACTGGTTGCAGGAACACAAATTGGGCTATTAATTGATCTCATAAGTAGGTAACGCTGAAGCCATTATCTGATTTAAAAGCTGTTAATATTGGTTTTGTCTTTCACCTGGTCATAACCTTTTATTCTTTAAATCTGAATTCATTTCCTTAAAGCATAAAATTTATATTCAGTATTCTCTTTTATCCCTTGGATACCTGAAAGTTTGGCAATCCCTTTAGTATATGACAGGGGTGGCATGCTTTTGGTTCTTAAGGAGTTAATGATCAGAAACTTCTGACAGATTCCCCTGTTGTGAAGGGGAACATTATAATTTTCTTTCTGCAATAAAGGTATTATTTTAGGCTCATTTGCTCCAGGTAACTTTTGATGCTGTGTATTGCAAGTATTTTAAGGTCTTTCCAGTCCCCAGACCATTCTACCAGGTTTACTATTTCAGGTAAAATTCACCTGCTGCCTGAACAATAGAGGAAATCCCTAAACAGGTAGTTCCATTACGGACCTCTTCTGATATTCATGGGGATTCTTCTAAGTGTCCTTATATCTGGAATTTGCAACCAATGTGTGGCTTTAAATGGTTGATTCTTCCTGCATAATATATATGTAATGCAGCTTGTTGATGACAAACATTTGACTGATATGTTTTACAGGATCTCTGTACCTAGATCTGTATAAGTTATGGTCACTCCTAACATTGCATTGATTTAATACTTGTGGATTATATGTTTGGATCGGTGTTGATATCTTGCAGATATAACAAGCTGCTTATTATCACCATAGGCTCTGCCGTAAGTACTTCTTCACTATCTGAAGATAAGGTAAGAGTAAGTATGCGGTTGTTTGTTCTCATAAGGATAACTGAATATCTTCTACTATCCTGCTTATTATGTCTGTTGCCACAATGTGTAATGTGCCTCCGGTTACCACCTTCCCCTCAGTATCTTGCCTATTATATATCTCTTACTTATGTTGCACAACAGTCTCTAATAAATTTGATTATACTGTTTGGCATAATCTGTACTTTTTACAATAGGTTTATCTTTGACTGTAGGTACTGACGTGGTTGGCCTACTTATTATTTAGTAGTTGCCACAAATTCTATGGTTCATACCAATATTTTTTTTTCCCCCTCAACCAATCTGTATATGATTCTTCTTGCCTTTGCCTAGTAATGTTATTAGTTTATTCCTCTCCTGTGATTGATCATTGCTGTATCAATTCATCCACGTTGTGAATCTGAATTTTGCAACATCGGGTCAATGTTGCAGTGTTTTTAATAACAGACTCTTATTTCTCTACTAGGCTCTGCCTCTTTCTGACAGGCAGATATTGATTTGTTCCTGTATCTTCAGGTAAGTAGTTCACAAGGCAAGAGGAAGCGGTGTGAATCGTATTTAATAAATACATCCAGTAAGTAGTAGGATTCTCAGTGTAATTCTCCCCGTGTTTAATAGCATGGTGTGTCCGTTCTCATCCAACAGTATCTGCTTGTTCCAGTAGGATCTCTGGAAGTTATACCTTTGTCAAGGTTCTGATTTGTTGATATCAATTTGGTTTTAAATTTTATATCAGAATGACATTTTCCTTCTCTAGCTTATGCTATCATGGCTTTAATTCCTATCTGACTCTCTATATTTATTCAGGATATTTCAGATATTGAATGCCAGGAGGTTGCTGACCTTGCAGCCTCTAGGGAAAATTATCTTGTCTGAGCAGATTTTATGACAATTTCCTATTGATTCTTGTTTGGCTTTGTAAAGTCTTCTAAGATTTATACAGCTCAATAATGGTTTTATAGCTATTAGCTGTTTTTTAATTATGTCCCTCCCTCTATATATATTGCTTGGGTATTCCCCATGAGTAAATGCTGCCATGAATAATGGTCAGGAAAATGGAAAAAAATTTCATACTTACCGTAATTTTCTTTTCCTGATAATTATTCATGGCAGCATTACATTCCCACCCATATACTATAGGAGTTGTGAAGCTAGTTACAAAGACTGCCTGATGGAAAGGGGGAGGATCTATTTATACCAGTTTCAAAGTTCTATTTCCTGTCCTTTCTGCTGTGAGGGGAGGAGCTAACCCATGAGTAAATGCTGCCATGAATAATTATCAGGAAAAGAAAATTACGGTAAGTATGAAACAATTTTCTATTATATTGGATGTGCTATAAAGGTTTACAAAAGCTGAATGAGCCAATAGATTCCTCATTGTTACATTCCAAAATTAACCGTAGAACCACAGAACATTAATGCTGTATCTTCCGTCCAAGAGTTCTCTCAAAGGTAAGACAAGCAGCATTTTGTCCAAAAAACAAGTCGTTTTATTTTTATCTTAACTCCTTAAAAGTTTCTTGTTTTTTCCCCTAAAATGTACCATACTGTATATAAAGAAAAATAAACAAACAGTCTGTAGTTGTTTGTGGGGAGACAATCTTACCGGGATCTGTGACTGTCTTTCTCGGCACTCGCAGGGTAGATGTTCGAAGAACTTTCGAGAACTGTAGATTCGTCTATCAAGTTGTTCACAAACTCATTGAAGTGAATGTCCACCTCTTTCATCAATTCACTCTTCAACAGCTATAGCATAGATCAGGGGGACAGAAACCGTGAACACATTTTAAGAATACATGTCACTAAGATACAGATAACTGTACAATTTAAATACTGCTTCAAAATTAATACAAACAGAAACAACCAAAATAAAGATCCCCAAATGTTGTGAAACTACAACTCCCATGATGCTTTGTGTGCCTTTAGAATGAAAATGCATAATGGGAGCTGTAGTTTCAAAACATCAAGGGATCTGCCTTTTGCTCACTTCTGGATTTGACTAACATTGTGGCTGTATTTAAATGGAGAGATTTATGGGATAATGTACTATGTTTGGAGTAATCACCATGAAAAAAACAAAGATCCTGCGGACAGCACCAGCTAGCATTCGGCACTACATTTTAACCCATTTTGCAATATGTCTCTTACACATGTTAAAAGGGTATATATGGATTGCCTTATTTTTATAACCTGGTATTTTTGTCTTATTAGATACTGGCCTTATGGAAACAGACATGAAAATGCATAGCAAATATGAACATAATTAGCCACACAACTAGTCTTAACAGTAATAACATCTAGTAAATCCAAAAGCTTTCATAACAGACGAGTTGAACTATTACTAAATATTGAATAACTGCAGAGATATTGAATAACAACGAATATCAGTAGACCGAACAAATTCCAGTCTAAACAGCTGACCTATTGTCCATCTCACTACAGATAAGATTATAAAATATCTGATTAAAATGAATTAGCCATAAAGCCACAAACTATTCTATGCAACTCACCTATTATATAGATATCAGAAGAGAACAATATTACAGTACAAAGAATTGATAGTACACAGGATAGACTGTTGGGAAAAATCAAACAGTGGAGCTGGTACAGAAATCAGAAATGGGCACTCCAGGATAGGGAGCACTGCAAACCCCCTGCCAATATACAACCTCCCCCACCCCCAAAAAAACTAAATAGAGAAAATACATTTCATACAATAATGAAAATACTTTGACTCAACTTTTTTATGGTTTGCTGCAAACTGGCAGCTTTTTGAGAAAACCAGGAATGGTTGCTATATCTTAGCAAATCCTTCTCTCCTGGGTCTTAATAGGGCAATTCCATATGCCAAAAAGCAAAGATCTTCAGAAGTTATTCTACCAAACAGATCCTCTGTTTTTTATGAAAGTTATCTGTTAGCAGTGCATGTATGTGTCTGATTTACAGGTTATCTTACACATTTACAAACCCCTCCAAGTTACAAACTGCCCCCAGTTACACACTGCTACAGTACAGCTTTCCCTGATGTCTTGAATACAGGTGGGTGTAAAAAGAATTTAGACACTCTCGACAGGTAATTCACTAACAAAGAACATTCTTAATGTATACAGAGGCATCAAGACAAATCCGTTCCACATGTACATTACAGACAAAGTGGGTGAAAAGTGACAGACATCCACAATAAGAAAATCAAACCATTATTTTAGGTACAAATCTGCATTTGTAGCTTGAGGAATCTTATTAGCTGTACTCTTACAGATGCAAATTGATACAATAAAACAATGCAGTCCGGACTGTAAGCTCATAGGCCACCCATTTAAATAAATAGTCACTCAAAGCACCAGAATCACTACAGGTGAGATACATTTTCAGGAGATACATGTTTTGGGGGGGTGGGGGGCATATAAAAATACAAATGCAATGTAGTTAAAAGCATAAAGTATTAGATTAGGCTGCCCATTAACCCTTATGGCACAAACTGGCAGAGAGGGGAAGGATTAAGAGTCCACATATATTTTGCACGTGTAGCTGGCACTTTGTCATAGGCACAAAAGGTGGCTCATGATTCAGTACTGCAGCTTCAGTAAAAAGATACCTGAATGCTCATCTCAGTTTAACATTTCAGCATTGGTTATTTAGCAAAGTAGAAAGAATGTCGCTTACCTCTGCTTTACGCTTCAGTTCCATTTTTCTGTTGATCACATGCTCCAAGTCCATAAGACCTGACAAGTTAAAAAAAAAAAAAAAGAAGTCAGGTCCCTGTGCACTGAACACAAGCCAACAACACAGAAGACATACAAGGAACAAAGCCAGTTGGAGACACTGCAAAATTTAGTTAGCAACTTGGTAAACAAGAGAAACCGTCTAGAAAAACGGCATGAAAACCGTGCTTTCATAAAAACAAAGGCATTGCAAATACCTGAATATTCACACACGAGCTGTGGTGGCATCACTTTATAATATTGTAATGCGCTACAGAATAAGCTGGCGCTACATAAATGCCAATAATAATAATCATAGATCAGGGTGTACTTTTAAAGGAACACTCCAAGGACCATATCCATTACAGAACCCCGCAACTGTAAGTAGTCAAACTGGAAGTGGTTTGACATCTTACCCAAGGTCCACTGGGCACAACTCCCTGTCTCTACTACTTCCTCTGGAGTGCTTGCTAAGAGTGATCAACTGATGCTGTAGGCCAGTAAGCTAGGAGCGTATCTCAGGAGAGTTAACCAAAGATCCAGCATTTTTCTCATCCTGAGGCACAATTAAAAATCATTTCATATTGAGATTTTTACCGATCAACAGCAAAAACAAAGAAGAGTTAAAAGTGTGAGCTAAGAAACTATGTATAACTCTGCTTCCGGATCTAGATTTTGTTTTCTCACTTTGACCCGATCATCCCTCTCCCCACAGATAAGGGATACATTTTGG